TTTTACACCCAGGATCTTGAATTCCGAGACTCACTTCTTCAACGAACAAATTAAAAGGAAAATATCATAAGAACTGTAGGATTTTAATGAACATTTGTCAGTGTTTAGCATCGCAATTCTTTCTAGCCTTTTAGTAAGTCAGTTGAACTATTTGAACTGTTAGGAAGTACGTTTTTTATTGGTTTGAACAGACTGCCGTACAGGGTTAGCACAATATCTTAAATTGAGTGAAAGTACAAAATGTGAAACATTGAATTTAAACTCAATGGTCTTAAGGTTGTGACTGTTCTATTTTCAAATCAGAGTCGATTGGTGTTTGATTGTTACTGAAGAGTTCTAAACCAGGGCGAAACATCTGTTCAGGTGCTTCCTGGCTTTTAGTAGTTCTTCACTTATAATTTCAGTTCATTATTAAAACTAGATGCCAGAACTTTTGAGAACACTAAAATTTAGGGCATCAGTTTACGTTAAAAATATATATTTATTTGATTAAAATAATGTAGCAGTAAATAGAGAGATAGAATGAAATTGGTTTGTCCATTGTAATTGATGTTTATAAATTTATAAAACGTTTCCATTTCATTATTAAAAGAAAAAAAGGAATATCGGAACCAACCAAAAGTTGATTGATGAATTATTCACCTTGAACTATTGATTATAAAAGCAGTAGTTGATCGGAAGTCTTTATCTAAATTGATGATAACTACTTTCTCAGTATAACTTTATGTCAAGATTTGAACTTAACAAACAAGAGGCTGGTTATGACATAATTAGTGATATTTAAAAATTAATTATTAACTAAATAATTCGAAAATGGAAATGAATAAGGGTAACTATGGTACGCAAAGGTTGGATTCAACAAAAAATATGTTGGAGCTGACAATTATAGAATTAATAGAGGTGTATACAACAGATGTATATACATACACTAGACAGTAGACTGAATTACGTGTAAAACAATCCAGAATGCTTAATCTAGGTTACTTCAGTTTCCAGTATAGTAGTTATGGAGTAAATTATTGTCTTTATTTTTCCTTTCCCTATGGTATAATTATTGATTCTCAGAAATTCAACAATACCCTTGTCTAATTATCGATATATAAACTTATTAGTTTATGTGGTGATATTGAAAATAGTAAATTATTTCTTTATATTTAATTATACTTGTAACTGAACAACTTAAACAGATAACGGATATATTTGTGAGACAAGCTAGACCAAGAGGCTATAGGGTGCTAAGTTCACCATGGTCGGTAGATGACCAGCAAATAACTGAAGTGATCTGGTGGCCGGAAAATTATGCATAGAAATCTTATACTCAACAAACAGATGGTTTGATATCATGAGTTCGTTTCTTTTTAAATTCAAGCACCTTATTACAACTAGTGTTTTTATTATTTCCTACATATCTAACCATCTACATAGGTAAGTGAGAATAATTTAATTCAAGTTCATTCCCTTAGTTATAATTGAAAATTTGATTCTAACAATGTTTACTACGTAGCTCAATGTTGGTGCTTTAAATTTTCAAAGGAATATTCGTTCAGTAAATCTAAAAACTAAATTTATAAGACATTACTTGACAAAGTTTTGACAAATCAATCTTATCCCTTCAAAAATATTCTTCATTTTTGTTAGTACATAAGTTTCATACCAATTTCTATCGTCTAAAATAATCCTAGAAATACTAGGATGTCTGCTTTTATGTAGTTGCATGTATTGTCATCTACACTTTCTCTGCATAATCAACGGTGTGTGAAAATTTCAAACTTCTACAGTAGAAACGAATGTCAGGAGGTTAAACCCAGTGTGAATAGAGAGGTTAATCTATCACGATGAATGAGTAACTAGCTACAAAATTTATAGAAAGCTACCGTTGAATGTATAAAGTGAACAAAATTCTATCAAACCTAAGTGTTGTGCTTTTACAGCTGAAGAGCATCTGAAACTCAAAACAACTGTCAACCAACACCAAGGTCAGAATTTTCAACACAAACGTCAAAACAGTTCTATTGTATGAGGCGGAAATTTGGAGAACTACGAAAGCCATCATCCAGAAGATTCAGGTGTTTATTAACAGTTGTCTACGCAAAATACTTCTGATCCGTCGGCCAGACACTATTAGCAACAACCTACTGTGGGAGAGAACAAACCAGATCTCAGCGGAGGAAGAAATCAAGAAGAAACGCTGGAAGTGGATAGGACACACATTGAGGGAAGCACCCAACTGTGTCACAAGGCGAGCCCCCACTTGGAATCCTCAATGATAAAGGAGGGGGGAAGACCAAAGAACACATTACGCCGAGAAATGAAGACAGATATGAGAAAAATAAACAAAAATTGGATGGAACTGGAAAGGAAGGCCCAGAACAGAGTGGGATGGAGAATGCTGGTTGGCGGATTATGCTCCATTGGGAGCATCAGGCGTAAGTAAATGTTGTGCTAAAGTTATATGTACAGACAGTTGTCTGAAATCTATTTAATTATCAATAATCGTGAAAGTAAATCGGGAATTAGAAAGTATGAAAGATTGTAAATATTTTGGTAATCTTGTTAACACAAGAGCTTGAATGCTATCCTGAACATAAATCTTTACAACCCTCATCAAAACGTTTTCTTTAAAGTTACAACACTTTTATTTTATCAGTTGGTTAAAAACTCAAGTCATATTGATGATTTATGATTTTCGCTAGAAAGTAAACCTTCCATTTGAACCTACCGTTTTGACAATATTATTTTTACAACTTAGCATACAATCATTGATACCAAATAAATGATCTACTATTATTAAACATATGGTCAATCTGTACATCAACTGGACTGTAGATTAAGCTGAAACATTTACCATTGTGTAATGCATAAATATATCACTGAGCATTGAAAATATAAATTTTCGTAATGTTCAGAAATATACCAATCGGATGCAATTTTCATTTCGCTGATAATTCGTCCATTTAAACCGTTATTGATTATTATTATTATTATTGTACTTGAACTTTTATTCACGTACTTTCACATTTATCAACTACAAATTATGGTCACAAGACCTTATATAATTAATTTTGAAATATGAAGTAATGGAGAATGCTACCCTTGATAAATCTCCTGAGTACATATTTCAATGTATATTCTTAGTTATTATTGCATATTCTCCAGTAATCATTAATAGTTAAATCATATTAGACCGTCGTATAATTTTATACTGTAAATCATCAAAATTGTCTGACTATGGTGAGATCTATAACTGACTACAGAAATTGTATTCGAAAGTGACGATGAGGTTATTAACTTGACGAGAACTGAAACTAACTGAATCAGAGATCATTCTTATATTCAGTTAAATATATTCTAGATAACCTATAGTGATGGGTCAAATAGAAAAAGCGTAATTCAAAATGAGTCACTTTTCATGTGATGGATGTGACACATAAACGGCGATTTTCGTAATTTCCATTTATTCAAGTACAAATCCTTTCATTAATTATATAATCATAACTTTTACAGAGGTTTATCGGTTATATTCATAATCTGAAAGGAGGTAAAGTATTTACATGTGTGATATTAATGTGAGATATGAAGTGGATAGTTCCTAGGCTTACAAAATAATTAATACACAACCAGTATTGTGTATTTACTAAGCTTTTCAAAGGTTATTTTAAGACCAGGTATTTTCACAAGACAGTTATATTTACATGTCATATGGTTGAAAATTATCGATAAGGCGCTGTAGGCACACACTGAGTGCATTCGTTAATTAGTGGGATCCATCTACAGTATTTATGGAATATAAATTCTCCATGGGATTTGAATACTCGTCACACAGTGTCACAGTTAGAGACATTAACACTAAACAATTTGAGTTGTGACTGAAATTCTTCAGAACTCAAATGTTTACACTGACTAATTACTGAGAAGTAACTACAGTCATAATTTTTCCTGACCTTAGTGTTGATTAAACTCCACCTATCAAATCATACCATTTAGATGCCTGTATGTTGTAGATATAACTTGCTGGAAATTGTTAACTAGCAAGAAATTTAAATAGCACGTTTAATGCCGATTTCCTTCAATCATATAACACAAAAACATATTATAGACATGGTGTCCAGTTAGTTTGACTAGTGATTTTTATTACAACTTTATCGAAAGAATTCAATCAACTCTAAGGATTTCGACAAATATGACATTAGTTACTAGTCCGTAATCAATTAGTGTATCATTGTCATTCACTTAGATAACTATTTCAGATTTTTTAATGATGTTTAACTATAAATAGCTCAAAATACTGATGAATATACGTTTTTAGTTTTGTTTTAAATCGTCGACAAATGAAGAAATAATAGATGACGTCTTTTTAAAGAATAATTACGTATGTAAAAACAACTGGAATAATAAAGTTTAGAAAAATGACTAAAGGTTAAATCTATCATCAGTGTAGTGTAGGTCATATATGTCAGTTAATTTGAAACTTATTACAAGTTATTCTAAGTCTTTTTAAGTAAACTAGAACAGTAACTGAAGAGTTTATAGATAAATGCATTATATTATTTTCACTAAACTAAATCCTCTACTGTTCGGTAGAAGTTAAACAAGGTAGTGTAGTGGAATCTATTCACAAGGTTGTTTGTTAGTAGTACACAGCGGGACGTGGCATCAAAGTTGCAACAATTGTCAGACCGAGTAAAATTTTCAGTACATAGAAAGTATGGCGGTGGTAGGACACTGGGAACCTAGACGAGAAGACGGTTCACATCGAAAGATGCAAATGGATGATTAAAGGCTATATATATTCATCATGTAAATACTTTGTAACTTTTCACGTACAGTAGGCCTTCCTCCTGTCTATTGCCCTCTCACAATACAATGTGTTGAGATAAGATTTTACTGCTTAAAATTTTCTCAGATTGAGACGTAGTTTTTGATAGACAATGAATAAAAGATGTTAAGTATAAAATGTTACTAAACATAATAGTTACTAATTAACTAAATATTTAACTAACCCGACAATCTGAATGGCCACAAACAATTATGTCGTTGATTCTACATCGTATTAAAGTCAACTCTAAAAATCCTGGTGTAACACAATTTTTATTAAAATATTCCAGTGAAGAATTTTCACAACAAATGAAATTTCCTGGATTTCTTTCGATAAATAATTCACCAACATTTGAGCATAAAAGTTTTGATGTTGAAACACGTGAATCGACACATGAGATGACAGCAGCTAATATCTAAAAATTAGGACACATAAATGAATTACATGAACAAAACATTTTTATATGTTTTTAGAAATGTGTAAACGGTTATAATCTTTTGGTTACCCACACTAACAATGTAACTAGATTAGTAGTGGTATTGTTGCTATTTGGATAGTGAACACAGAACCGTATGAAACCGATCAAAACTACTATTGGTTTTTGTTTTATCGTGCTTGTACTGTTAAAAACATACTACTGGTATCAAAGCCCTTCAACTGACAATTCTGATATATTAGAATTTGAAAGAATATCCTCATTCGGTTATTTAGTTTTGATTGGATAGTTATGATAAGTAAACCTGTTCGTCACACTAACGTACAGCCACAAAGTAAAGCCGATGCCTTTCAGTTATAACAATAGGGTGATTGAAAAAGCAGTAGAAAAATAAAAAGCGTCGGACAAACGTTTTGTCACATGATAAGCCTATAGTAATGCTGACTACTGACCCTATTTATACATAAAACTAATTTATTATCATGCATACCAGAACTTGTGGAAAAAATCCTATATCGAGACAATGCGTTCAGGAAACACACATTGTAATAGAGACTAGTCAATTATAGCCTTGAATATTAAGAACTGGAAATTATAAACTTTTTCTATTACTTCCTTGCTTGTTAAACAACTGAGTGTCTATTCTGACTCAGTATATCTGCCTGTAGCTCTTTTAGGTTTATTGCCAGTCGCAAGATCGGGTAAAGGAAGAGGGTTGATTATAGGGTCAGCGACCCCATCCCGTATAAAACAACCTTGCTAAAGAACGTTAACTAGAATAAACAATTTAAATCATTTAAACTCTGCCCTGGGTGTCGGGGGATTTCCTTTCAGAAGAATTATGACGCCTCATAGTGAAAGCCGAGATTCTCCGGACGTCACAAGGCCAATGCCTTTTCTAACAACCAGAGCAACAATCAATATTAGCAATGAAGATGATAAAGACCAGTTTTACTAAAGGCCTCAACCGATCGTAAAGAAATGCCCAGGAAATAACCTGGCCATCGTGATGGGAGCCCTAAACACCAACGTTGGAATGGAGGATACCGAATTTCAAGATATCGCTGGATGACAAGAACTGACTGGAAGAAAGGGATGAGAATAGTTAGAAATTTGCGAATTTCTGTGCACTCAACAAAACGGTTATATGCGGCAAAATATTTCCACACAAACACATACACAAAGCTACATGGGTCTCACAGGGTCAATGAAAGACTTGCAAACCAGGAGACGAGCTGGCATAGCTAGTTTCAGATCACCACTAGTGGTTGTCAAGATGAAACTGAAGGTAAAAGAGCACTAGGCAACTGAAAAAATACAATATTACAAAGGTTCAACACAGCCTCCCTTCGGAAAAAAACGTAACCAATTTGAGATAACTCTCAACAACAGGTTCCAAGCCATACAGGATCTATGGAAAGAAGGAACTACTATGGAAGACAACTGCAAAGGGGTCAAAGAAGCATTAAGTCCAACATATCAAGAGTTTCTGGGTCGCAATAATTACTATCATAAGGAATGGGTCTCTATCGAATCTCTAGACAAGCTTCAAGAAAGGGAGAACAAGAAGACAGCAATACATGGGAGACTTAGCAGCAACAGCGGAAAAAGCTTCAAGCGAAGGAAACACAAAACAACTGAATGATATAACGAAGAAGCTAGCAGGGAAATATAGCAAAACAAAGCGATCAGTCAAATAAATATAACGCTAGCCAATCGAGAACAGAGGAACAGGTGGGTAGCACACTTTGAAGAACTCTTGAATAGACCAGCCCCACTGAACCCAATAGACACCGAAGCAGCACACACAGACATTCCTATAGATGTCACTCCACCAACGACAGAAGAAATCATCATGGCCATCAGAGTGGTAAAGCAGAAGAACCTGACATAATACCAGATGAAACACTGAAGTCAGGAATAAAAGTAGCTGCAAAGACGATCCACGTTCCATGCAGAAAGATTTGAGAGGAAGGAACAGTGACAACAGATTGAAAAGAAGAATACTTCATCAAGTTACCAAGCACACGTGATCTGAGCAAGTGTGAGAACAACAGAGGCAATACACTACTATCGGTAACAGGAAACGTTTTCAACAGAGGGTTCTTGAACCGAATGAATGATTCAGTAAACACCCAACTTCGCGATCTACAGGACGATTCTGTTACGATCAGTCGTGCACAAACCAAACTGCATCAATACGGATCAATGTTGAACATTCAATTGGATGGAACTTATCACTAAACTTCAGCTAACTTAACTATGAGAAAGCACATGATAGAGTGAACAGGAGAACCTTATGGAAACTTCTCCAACACTATGGTGAACCTGAGAAAATTGTTAACATCATCCGGAATTCATATGACAGACTTCAATGCAAAGTCGTGCATGGAGGACAGCTGACAGATGGATTTCAAGGGAGTATTGGAGTCAAACAAGGTTTCCTATTCTCTCCTCTTCCTCTCTCTACTGAGGGTCAACTGGATTATGAAGACCTTCACATCTGAAGAGTAGCACGGAATAAAGTTGACAACTTGGATGTAACTAGATGATTTGGACTTTCCAGGTGACCTGGCACTTCTATGCTATACACACGAACAAATGCAGGTCGAGACAGCTTCTGCATCTGTAGGTCTCAACATTCACAAGGGAAAAAGCAAGATCCTAAAATAAAACGCAGAGAACAGCAACCCAATCACACTTGATGGAGAAGCCCTGGAAAAGATGGAAACTTTCAAACACCTGGGCAGCAGCATCGATGAACATTGAGGACCTGATGAAAATGTAAAGGTAAGGAACATATGGAACTCAAAACAACTGTCAGATAACATCAGTCAGAATCTTCAACACGAATTTCAATACAGTTTTACTGTACGGAACTGAAATTTTGAGAACTACTACAATCGTCATCATCAAAAAGGTACAAGTATTTATAAACAGTTGTTTAAATAAGATACTCAATGTCCGTTGCCGGATATAACCACCAACAACCTATTGTGAGAGAGGATAAACCAGCTCCCAGCTGAAGAGGAAACTAAGAAAAGACGTTGGAGGTGGATAGGACATAAATTGAGAAAATCACCGAATTGAATCACGAGGCAAGCGCTAACTTGGAATCCTGAAGTAAAGAGGAAAATAGGAAGAATAAAGAACACAATGAGTCTTGAATTGGAAACAGACATCAATAAGATGAGTAGCAACTGGGAATAACTGGAAAGGATTGCCCAGGACGGAGTTCAATGGAGATTCCTGGTAGGTGGCTTTTAATCCTACGCGAAGGGAGACAGGCATATGTGAGTAAGTAATCTTTTGCAATAACTCTTTGATTTTTAAAACAATAGATATTCAGGTCCCAGTATATACATCAAAACTCGGATGTAAATTCATCCAGCTGATGAATCTCAGATAGGGCGAAATTTACTTTCTGAATTTCACTATGTGAGCCATATAACAAGCATATTAGATTATTATTAATTAATTGAAAAAACTAAGATTCATTTACCAGAAGATTTAAAAAATATAATTTTTTAAATTAACTTACATTTGGCTTTTCGTTGAATGCTTTAAGCTGATCTAAAAAAGACTGTTTGTTAACATGAGATTTCAAAATTCTTAATAAAATTTGATTCATTCAGTGATGAAATCGAAAAACTGATTTTTATCTACAGAAAAACCAAAAAAAAGGTTCAAAAAGTTATCAAAAATCTTCGTAAATGAAATTCAACCGTTTAATTAGTTAAATGTAAATTAAACATATGAAAGTGAATATATACATATACATATATATTCTTGTTTCTAATAAAACTGAAGAAAACTCATATCAGCGTAAAAGTAGTTGAGAAAATTTAAAGACGGGATAATAAACAATCAGATCATCTCAAGAGATTAAGTTCAGATCTTAGAAGGTGCTCAAGATATGCATAAATGAAATTGAAAAAAAAGCAAAAATTGTATAGTAAATTTCTAATTTTTAGTAATTTTATTAATAAAATAAAAGATGTAAGCTTCTACTGAGTAAATTATGAGTAATTAATTCTCTGAGCACGAATTCAATGTGGAATACATTCAACTTTAATTCGGTTATCGTCTAATATCCATTGTTGATACTTATCACTCACCTGTCTTGAGCGGACTCTGTTGTTAATCATTTACTGATAGGATTTTGTGGATCATTCTCAAGGTTAGTCACCAGTGGGCACATTGATATGATTTAACTAGATGAAGTTTGGATATTAGTCTAATTTAAGTGTAGTTCATCTTACGGTTCCTCAAATTAATATAAGCGCATCAAGATAATCATTCTTTTTACTGAGGTCGATTTTATCATAGAACTCTTCGTTTACTATTTTCATGCTGTTTAGATAAACACGTAATAGTGGATCTTTATGATAAGATTATTGTAAGTGATGTCACAAAATCACCAGGAGATTTATTTGTTCAATATATATCATCTGTAGAGGAGTAGATATGTCCAACCTAGACTTTTATTTTTTTTAATGATTATAATAAGAATAAACATATAATGGTCTGGTAAGGAAAATCTATGGATAATCAACTAAGTCAAACATATGAATAATCGTTTTGTAGTATTTATTTGGAAAGTTAAAGAAGAATTCTGTTGGGATGCACTAAAATAAGCTGTTAGCGACAACGGGATTTAGTTGACACTGAAATGTGTAAAATCTATTTTGTTCAACTAAGCACTGATTCCAGTTTTGAAGGTATAGACCGCAGATAATCTTACTGAACTCTGATTCTTCTTGATCTTAAGTAAGGCAAGAAGTACCATGATTCTCGATGTCGTTCTGTGTTTTTACGTTTCAAAATGTTCATTAATAGCTAGAAGGTAGATTGTATCATTCTTTAGCTGAAAACCTTTTAACCATACACAAAATATGGTTCCCACAAATATTTGAATAAAAAATATTGTTGACCAATGAGAATACTTATTTCAAACAGTTTAACGCTCAACTAACTTATTAAGACTAAATAGGCAAACAAGTAAGGTTATACATTTGTACTCTACAATTAAAAACGTATTAGCTATTCACAATAACAGATCAAAAGGTGAAGATTACTTTCAATCGAACACCTACTTCTAAATCTTTTATTAGGAAAGAACTAAGTAATAATCAAAGAGTGGTTGAACTAGTTTAAACATAAGTTGGCAACATAAATGCAACTATTTAGACTCAAAGAAACTTATGGACATTATTTAATAGGAATCAGCCAAAATATAAGGTCCTCATAAAATCGTTTAACAGTATTTATATTTTCAATGGCTACCCGTTTTTCCCTGAGACGAACGATTTTATTTTACAATTTTTATAGTAAACAGTTAGATAATAGTAGTAAATGTACAGAATATTAAGTTGAATAAAGTTACAATTAATATACGATTATTTTACCAGAAATTCAAATCTACGGATTATAAAATGTTAGGGTCAGTCAATGCGAAAATTATGACGGTAGGCATGAAAGATATTTACTGTCCCTAGATTTTTTATGATATATGAACTAAAAGCTGTTTGTACTAATGAGGAGTTTTGTTATATTTTGTTTTAGCCAAATGTAACGGTCTCTTTTGAAGATTTACGAAAATGAAATTTACATTTGATGTGGAACCAAAAGCAAAAAAGTAATCGTTTTACCAAACCACAGCTAAACATTAGCTATAGTCATAAATATTGATTCAGGAATTGATAAAGAATCACTGAGATAACTTCCAATACAACACCGAAAGATAGTTTTAAATCTGTTTATCAATTTATATTCCGTTAAAAAAAAGTTGAAAAATCGACAGTATTTTGAACATAGACTATGGAATTTAATAGTAATAAGAAATTTTGTTGTATTGTCTTTTCTAGGCCAGGTAAAAGTAAGCGTTAATGATAGCATTCAGAACGGTAATGAAAGCTTCATAAATACACTACCCAATTCAAAGAGAATAGTATCTATCTGAGTTACAAATCTTCACTATATCAGTAAGATATTTAGTTAAAGGCTTAAACAATACTGTACACAGGCCGTTGCACTTCTATTGCAAATTCAAATTTCTATTTATTTTGTATGTCTTTCTCTAAGCTTTAACGTATTTTCAAAAGTGTCGCTCGATCTTGCAGCAAATGTTTGTTGGTTTCATAGTACTGAAAGCGGATACTGATAGATGAAAGTCATCCATATTTAGTGATTAATACGTCCTTAATAAAGAATTGTTAAAAATCTTGTAGAAATGTGGACCAATAATGAAATATGCCAAGTAAAGACAGAATTAGTTATAAACATGTTTTTAAACAATTTAACAAATAGTGTTTGGCGAACTTGTATGATATAAAATAATAAAGAGTCTAACGAGCTTAGACTTCATTTGTATTTCGTATAGAGACTTACACACCACTTTAATTCATCAAATAGACTTTTCGGCCGCTCACAAATTTATGAATGAATTAAAGAATATTCAATTCACAACCTTTGGTGCTTAGATTTCCCTAAAAACGTTTCGTTCATGTTCCCAATAATGTGAACTTTTCAGCCAACATAACCATACTACCTTATTTTTGAACAACCGAAGATAAATTGGTGACAACTTAAATAATAGTTTATATTTAGTAGTTAAGTATATATCAAGAAGTCTAATCTTACATCAGTAGCTATGTTATATGTTAATTTTAAATTTCTTAGTAAGTTGTATAGTTCTTCAATAAATCGTTTTATGATTGACATATTTTGAGATTTATCCATGAAGCAGTTTATTTAGACTAACCAATAGGTTTTGTACAGGCAAGCAAATAAACAGTTGAACATTAGTGCTAATGTATTTGAGAACAGTTGGTTTACCTATCGAATATTTTTAAAGACGAAATCACTAGCACAATAATTGGTTTACTAGACGAACAACATATTTTTTAATGTGCCGTAACCTACATTAATTTTGGGAGCCATAAGATGTAGATAACATCTGATAAGTATCTTCATAGCATTTGAGGTTGATTTGAATAAAAGTTATAAAAACAATTTAATCCACAAAAACGAAATATTATCCGACATTTTGTACGTAATCCTATATTTCAACGTCGTTATTAATCGTTGATTTGTTTGCGGTCACTAAAACAACCACTGTGAGGATGATAGACTGATTCTATTCTGCCTTCAAACTACCATCCAAATTAATCGTTTTGAGAAAATATCATCGCATTATTTGATTTTCTCCTTTACGAAAGTAGAACGTTTGAACATTAGTACTTGTACTTATTAAACATCTCCATCCATCTATGATACTGATTTCAGATATTTGATTAGAAACATCAAATAAGTCATAAGGGTTTGAAGTTTGACACGAAAATAAATGTTGAAAGCATATTTGATAGAATCTTTATGCATTACAGATCCACATATTACTTAAAATCATTAAAAAGATATTCGCTAATTGTAACTGAAAACTAGCTTTTAGATGAAGTCTTTTAAATGACAAATTAATCACACAATTTACCGAGAACTCTTTCTAAGGAGAAAATGTACATATTTTTGTCACTTAGTGCTAACATCTTTATAGAATTAAGTACTGAGAGATTAAGGTAGACGTACCAAGACCTATCCATTCCTAGTAGTTACATAAATTTATCCTCGAAACAACGAACCGATAGATTTTGAAACCTAGTTTACCTCAAAAATAAGAGTGTTTTCATGGTGTAATCATGCATCAAACATTGACAATTCATTTTTTATTTGTATGGTATTTGTTTCCTGAAATACAAGACTAGTAAAAGTAAACGATAATCTGCTTATTGTTTTCAGTTGAGATGTGCAGCCTAGGATCATATGATCAACTAATTAGAACGTAGCAGAGATCTTATTACCAGGGTTTCTTGGCAAGCTTCTGTACAAAATTCTAATACAGTAACATGACCTCTGAATAGAAATTTCGGTACATAATAGAACTGTGCTTCCCAGAACTTGATAAGAAACAAATATAGTGATTTCGTTGATATGAGGGCTAACCTTCGAGTTTGGAAATGTTACGTGACAGTTTCTTTGCCAGTGACATCATATAACAGCATGTCGTTAATCTTTCTATACAAAATAACCTATAGGCTATCATAATAAACAAATTTACTAACATACAATAGACAATTTGTATGCGTTGCTTGACAATTTCGTCACATTTATTGGTTACTTATGATGGATAGCAGTAAGATAACTACAGAAATATTTGTGACAATCTATCAACGTAGATAGATTATGTACATAACCCATAATCCCTAATAATACATATCTCACAAGTTAACAACAGCCAAAAACTAAACTACATGAATAATGTGTGCTACGAATATGAAGGAATTGGTCGACTATTGCGAAATGTTGACAAATATGAAAAATAAACAACACAATTCTTAAGAATGGCGAAAAAATATTCATATTTTTCATTCCGTCTAAAAAAAAAGCATGTTCTCAATCTCGGAGAACCATAAAAACACGATGAGAGTGTTAAATTTTAAAATTGAGAGAGATCGATGAATTTACGTGGTGAGACATCATGATGAACTATTTGGCAAGTAGCAATAGATGAGCATGTTCATATGATGTTTGGACAGTATTTATACAATGTTAATCAATGTTAACTGGTCACGTTTACTTGCTGACGAATATTTCATACTAACCCAGACGATTTCAAGTTATATGAAGGAATGATTTATATGTTGGAACATAGGACATACTGTCACCTTTTGAAAAGCTTCAACGACGGTTAAACGAACTCTAATTTAAATTGAAAAGGTAAAACAAAATAAGTTTAAACTGACAAGTCTTCAGTAATAAGGATAGTGAGTTGGTGAACCTGTGTTTATTCTGACAGATGGTAAATCGTTGAAGGTTCAAACTCTTCTTGTAAGGCGTTCCAGTCAGAGACAACTTGGTAAGAAACACGGGACCCCACTTTGAGTTTATTGGATCAACGTTTGTCGACCCGATTGCCATGACCTCAGAGACTAATAGTACTGGATGGATCAAAAAGATGAGTTATATAAACACCCGAATCATAATTTAACATAAGTTAAGGTCACCCTGTGTCCTACTATAGGAGACGCGTAAGAGGTTTAGGAGTTTTAAACGCTCTTTATGAGGGAGTTTAGAAAGACTTTTCACTAATTTCGACTCCACACGCTGAAAAAGTTAAAGCAATTTAGTAGTCCTTGTCAGACATGGGCCACGCAGGCTCAAAGTGTTAAAAAAGTTGCAGTTTTCAACGTAGTAAATTAATCAGCTGGGTTGATATTTTATGCGATATGAATGAAGATGGTTTTATTCGCTATCACAGTTAGCGCGCCTTAGGAATGTTGCGTTGCGACGTAAAACTGATGGACCAGAATAGGCGGGGGAGCTTCTACATACCTCAACCTTATATCCCTCTGGAATATCTGGGGCCTTAATGAATGGGTTGGACTGTTCTTCAGTTATTAATGCTGTCTAAAACGTCTATCATGATTTATCTATTGTCATTATCGCAATTACCAATATTAATAGTAGTCGGTTTCCTGCCTAACCTTCTTTTATATCATCTCCGTTTCGTGGTCGATTTTAGCTATTGATCTGGTTATTTATTTACTTGATCGGTAAATGAATTATTTGATCATAATTTTAGTTTTGAGCACATTTTCCATCTTTGTAACCATCCGCATTCTACTTAAGATGTTTCGTGCTACGACCAACAAGTAAACGTTCATCTCTCATCGATACTATCAACGGTTTTTGGCGTTTAATATTGCAAAAGTCTTCTCGTCTGACAACGAATATTCATTTGTAAATAAGCTTTGTGTTTGGATCAGTGTCGAAAATGTGAAGTAAGTAATTAAAAAAGCCCACGTGTATCATTTTAAAAAGCACAAGCGCCTCTTCATTTTATTTTCCGACTGAATAATCATAGTATTATGATTTTACTACATCGCACTGACCGGAACAGTCGTAATTACTGTGTATTTGGAGACTATTGTCTCGAGATAAATGTTTTCACTCTATCCATAGGTATAACTAACCCTAAGAAACTGTCAAATCCACCAATACTACTGCCTCCAAGTTGAGCGTTTACCCGTATATGACAGTACCGAAGATTAGATTAGATTAGATTAGCACATCAGCATCAGAAAAAGAGAGCTATTAAATCGGGTGATTTACATTTGGTCCCCATCAAGATATTGGATGTGGTATACATATGTATATTCTTCTATGAACTATGCTATACAAACTTTTTCGGAGCCTTTGTATAGGATTCTTGATGAAGTAAGAAATAAGAACTTCTTACTTCGTCTTTTACGTGTAAGTGACAGTTTGTAGTAAGTAATGCTGTTCCTGCATTGACCATAATCACAGTATTGAGCTGATTCAGCTTCACCGGCAAACCTGTATATCCTGTTAGCCACTAACCTCTCTACATGATCCTTACATCACAATAATCTAGGTGTGATTGTAGGATAAAAAGTAAGGTGTAGATTGAAAATAACTGTCTAGGTAGTCCAAATACCCGCTATTACCCAGTTCAAAACAAAACAAAGTGATTGGGTAACTGACCATGTTAGATTTAAACATAAATATAAACGTACATTATTACCTGAACCAATATTACAACCCGGTTATTCAACCAGTAGTTGTTCAATCAGTATTCATATTGACGGCAACAATTAAATGTTATTCTATGCTTTCTTGATAGATCGCGTACAGATGCGGTCGAAAGATAACTTTTAGTTGTGTTATTGATATGTCTTGTCGTTTAATGCTAATTTTTATATCTGGTCGTCGATGATTGTTGTGTCGAAAATGCTTATCACATATACTCGAAACGAAGGAGTTTTCCAATTACCATGACGCGAAAGTAAAGGATACAAAGGTCGGTATAAGTAATGATTAACCCCAAAATACGACCACGATGACTCTAGTCGAAAATACACTAATTTACGTATGGATTGTACACATAGTTTGATTACTAATTAGGATGAAATCACATATATGAAAAATATTCAGTTATGACAAATCATGTGCTGAGCATAATCCATGTCAATTGAATACACGAATATCGTATTTTATACAAAATAAGAAATCATACGAGAAAACAAAGCAAATACTAGATTGAGTAATCATTACATTAAAACAAAACGGAAGTAATAATGAACAAAATTCATAATGAGTAAATCAATCGAATTTTGAGTTTTCTTCCCGTCATGTCAGTTATGACACAAAGTATTTCTCATTCTCGAAAAGTGCTTCAATTCGCGATCAAAAATGCACCATTCCACAAGCAACACAATCAAAAGGGGAGCAAATCAATATCAGACGTTAAAACAGAGTATCAACTAAAACAAAAAAATGAAGTTCAGGAAGGAACATGAGAACTCAGTAAAGAAGTGGCGAAAACTACAACAAAATACAAATTTTATCCTTTCAAATGGAATCAAAAAGACTGGCAGAATGTATAACTGAAATAATCAACAGGAATAGACTACAAGTGTATACATGGAGGGATCTTCACACACAAAGAATTCACGATGGATCTGGCGGTGATCATTATGGTATCTGATATCTTCGAACTTGCAAGTAACAAGTAATATAATTCTGCTAGGACAGTGCTTACACTCATCTCTAAACTCTGAACTTTTGACTATAAATTGTGTATATAGTGTTCCAGTTTGTTTAGAATACGTTTTATCTTATTCCAAGAAAATTTAAGTAAACGTGAGAACAAGGATAATAGACACAAGATGGCAAGAGGTGGATGGCTAGTAGTAGAATGATAGCAAACACACATCAGGTACTGAAGTTCCAGGGAGGTGTAAGATTCAGCTCCTGTACCTAAGGGTTCTCTCTAGTGTTTAGGCTTTTCATCTTTAGCGATCTCATTTCCGGCTCGTCGACGTTCTACTGAGGTGGTAACAGGATATGATTTAGTTCCCGTTATACTCTTCCGTGGCTTGAAATCGTAACGACAGATATTTGTAGACATTGAACGTAGTGTTATGTCTCATTGAAGGATCTTTTCAGCACTTCAATAAACACATTAATTGTGGTGGGTTTGGAGTCACTAATACCCGGACAAGTCAAAAGTTCAGACTAATAAAGCTCGGAGTTAAATTTAGTCTATAAAACCACTCACTAAGTGGCTTTTAAGGAAACTGAAAAATTTATACACTGACGTAGATACTATAGCCACTTCAACCTGGATAATCTTTACAAGTACTTGTGTAGAATTATGATCTACTGTGATATTAGTACTGCTCTAATAATAGACAATCCTAAATTTGTAGATTTGTCATGATATGACTGCCTAATTTATAAGATCTTACGTGGAAGTCACACCATCGACTACACCAACTCACTGTATCGTATCAATTACCAATACATGATGTAGAACAAGGTTAGGCTAGAGAAAGAACAATGTATGTAATATGAATAGAAGATATAAGATAACGTTCAGAGGGACCACGCCTGCATGACCGAGCTATGCCGTTCGATCAACTCTAATTTATTCAGTTCATTGTTCGCGCTTTCTCCATCGTTAGGTATTTCTTCGCGTTAAATATTGAATATCTATTTTCCGAGTAATCTCGTATTCAGCTTTGAAGATTGTGTGGTTATAGTCCAATGCCACTACACTTGTATTTATGCCCTCATTTGGTTACGAAATACTTAATCACTTGATGTGTAATAGACCTAAGTTTGATGGACGATAAGATACAATATGTTTGAATTGGAAACCATATATTACATACGGATCATTGAAAGTATGCAAAATAGGTTATCGAAAAGACATCGCCAAAACACATACCTATATCAAATGTGCTAGTTGAGAGTCCAAATGTCCGTCACCAACTGTGCTGCTAACTCAGTTCAACTACCAAAGTTGAAATGCTCATAGTCACTGATGCATCAAACAATAAACACACAGGTTTTTTTTTGGAAACCGGATAGTTCTCAGAAGATTACTGCACATTTATTTAGAACACTGTCATATTCCGAAAAACCTTCAGTCAGACAGAAAAAAGCCCTTGCAGCTATCGCTGCAGTTAAAACGATTTATGGGATGGTCTACAAATGACAGCTCACTATCACAACATAACATAAGCCCGCGTATCAATTTTCAGTCCAAAGAAAGACATTCTGATGTTCAGCAAATTGCTTATAGCGGTGAGCTACATTCCTTTTTTGCTATGCTGATGCGTTACTGTGATCGATCTGCTTAAAGGAACCAATCGATGAGGATTGTTTCATTGCGGTAGTAATAACAGAAGTAGCAGTAGAACGACTTATTTTTGTGACGTTGAAGCCTTGCTAATAACGGTAAATATAGCCCAGGATGCTCAGCTAATGAATTATGAACTTCAACATGTCGTGAAGTATGTACATAACGATTGGTCAAACAATATTGATGATGTTTTAGTAGAGTATTTCTGACAATGTGGTGTAACTTATATTAAAAGCTCATGTTTATTGTTTTTAAAATGCCAGTTATTCCAAAAACACTAAGATCTCGAGTATTCAAAGAAGTCGACTCTGGTCACCCTGGTATAAAGCGTATAAAGTCGCGTGCATGTAGACATGTCTATGGACAACTGCTGGACAGTAACATTGAAAGTATTGTAAAGTGCTACGTTTGAAGTGGTTACGAGTTCGTTTAGATTGCAAACGGAACGAAGACTCGATGACCAAAGATCAATAAGCTATTTGATGCGACTAAGCCCCGCTAACTAGAGGAAGACGTCCAAGCTTGGAATGGGGGAGTATATTCCGCGAAATCCAGAAGCACGAGCGATAATAACAAACACAAATGAGAACGTATATATACAGCACAAAACCGTCCTTGAGGAGAGTTACACAATAACATATTAAAAGACACAACGGACCACTGGTATTTGAGATTATCTCAAGTGGGAAATACAACATAAAAACGAAAAGTGCGCTTCCGGTGCGAAAACAAATAAATTCAAATTTCCTAAATAAAATGACAAAATAAGGTCCTTTTACAAGTGAGTTCTGGGGATCTATCGTCCTCAAGACACTTCCCCTTTTTGATAGCGTACTTTCCCGGAGTCGACCCGTATCTTGACTGTTGTTCACCGCTGTCAGAGTGGCCACTTTGTTGAGCGTTTTTTCGTGGTGGGGATGCTGGTGAGTAAAGGGTATCGAGCAGGACGTCAAAGGCGAAGAGTTACTTATTTTGATGGGCGGTCTGGGGCTATCCGCTTCCGTAGTTAGTTTCGGTGTCCAGTCTGTGTGTCTTTTACTACCTTTACCTCGCACTTAACATGGACTAGTCTTCCAATAACACGCACTTCGGTTCAAGGACCATGATTTGCTCTGTAGTCTCGAGCGAACACCGGCCATCCAACCTCGAACGCTGGCAGCTTCCAAGAATCGGTTTTAAACAGTGTGGTTCTTGAGCACATGAGACTGTGGATCGTCCTCGATTTCTTTCCAATCAGGATTTCTGCCAAGGACTTCTGCTGTGGTAGCATATCATTAGGTGTCGTTCGGTAAATAAACGGAAAACTGTGCAGTGTTTCTACTGACGCCCCTCGCCGCTTCGACTTCATTAGAGCTCTCTTGAATGCATCTACAAATCTTCCTGCTTGACCATTTGCCCGTGGGTGGTAAAGTGGAGAGCGAAAATGTTTGATCGATAGGTTTTTTCCGAAATTTCTGAAAATGACTTGAGGTGAACTGCGAACCGTTGTCAGATACCATTTCATCCGATAATCCGTTGTTGCAGAATATCTTCATCAAAAGTTGCATCGTTTGGGTAGTCGTTGATGGCATGATGGGAACGAGGATGGACCTCATTTCTAAAGTCTTTTTGAACTTCTGCATAATGAACACAATTACACACACATTGTAACCACACCATTTCAGTTAAACGGTCAAGCAGAGTTTTGTCAGCACTTAAAAGCGAGCATTCATCAAGTCACAATGGAAGAACTCGTCCAGAATAATACCGAGTTATGTATTACCGAGCGTTGCCTCTACAGTTCAATCAACGTTCGAAAGATCTAGGATCCCCTCGATGGCGTATATTCACGAAGAAAGCCAAATTATAAACACAAAACGTCAGATTTTTATTGAGTTACCAGTATAGCAAAGAAACGTTCGACAGTTAGGACCAGCCTGGGTAGTGTGTCCTTATAACAAGAGTCACTGACGTAATGTATAAACTTGGTGTTCGAAGTAAATGCCTGACGCCGCGTGCAAACCACATCCGGACAAAGAACACTTCAGCTAGAACTTGTCACTAGATTATTTCACTGATAGTCATTTTGACCAAACAAAATCAGACCACAAGAGACTGACGGACCCTGAGACTGTTAGGAACACGACTACCTTTACAACGCTTCTGGCTAGATCCAAGGGGCAGGACATTTTTCAGGTCAACTTGGTATAATAAGCCAGTCAGAAGTGGCCGAATGAGACCAATTAGAGGTGACCTACAGGACAAGTGCATTTAATTGAATAAGAGATGGATTGATTTTCTAAGGGGTAGAGTTATATATATATATATATATATATATATATATATATATACATCTCGTTCAACTCCAGAAGACCGAATTTATGTATCCAGAAAAAATATAACCAGCCTCTTTGTTTACCTTGGTCTACGACTGGATCACCGAATACCTAGACTGAATATTAGAAACCTCTTATGCCCTTCCTTATTATCTCCATGTTAATCTTCACATCCATCATTCCCAATCCATTTATCGTAATTACCTTGATAACACCCTCATTATTATCATCTCAATTGACAAGATAAAATTCTCCTAATATGCATTTTATTCACACAAACTTTTTTGCATTTTCATTTTTGCTATAATACTATTATACTTATTATGACTGAACACTTTACTCCAAATCATCCTGACCTTTCTAATTTGCAAATAATACAGTTTTGAAGTATATATATATCGTAACAGATGCAAACATGCACGATTTTTAACACATAACATTGTCAAATTCATTAATACATGCCTTATTTTTGGCCTTTGTAAAATATTATAATTATGGACTTATAACTGATAAAAATATTTATTTATGAATATCCAGGACGTTTTCGCCACAGTAACAAAGGCATCAGAAGTCTCGTCGGCTCAGAATAACTACAGGATCATAACATGTCCGTTATTTTTAAATTGAATATTGATGAATGAGTTGAATCAGTTATTTGATAGCAATTTTCCAGAAGGTAAGTCTAAATCGAATTGACTGAGACACAGTAGCGATAAAGAATACCGAATTCTAATAAGACTGGATGGAAATAACTTGACTGAGTAGTGTTAGTGGATGAATACAAGAATCAGACCTGGTATTTCTTGTATTGGAATTAAATTGACATCAGCACTGCAATTACCTGCAGTTGCTTCGGATTAAAGATAGCACTGAGAGTACAGTACCCAGCAACTGCATAGTAATAAAATAGATAGAGGATTGCAATAAACAGGTCTAACTCAAATTGCACTGAAGTGAGTAAATCATCTACTGTCAATTTAACTGTTTCATACTCGATCTGAGTGGGCAACGAACAAAATACAAAACGTTTAAGTCGAACGTACCATTGTGATCTATTTTACTTGAAACATTTAACCACTTTCCCATACTATTCGGAGGGCTGCGCCTAATACTACTCACACCGCATTTACCTTTAAGAAATAATGAGAGCATCAGATTCATGACAATATCTAAAGAATTCTATGAAAATGCACAAAACTATGTTAATTTGTCACCTTTAAGGGATAACGTAACTTAAACCAATGGGAGCATTTATTGAGGACATACAGTTTTCATTCTTTTCTAAAGAGAAAGGAAAGCATAATGAAATAAAATATTCTTTTCATATGTTAAATCAATGCATTGAAGCAACAACATACAGATAGTTACATCATAGGAGTTAGGTGAATATTGATTATACACTGAAAAACTGACATAAACATGTGGAAAAGATGCACAGGACATAATCACCAATCACAAATGAACTCCACAGTATGACTTTACCGTATACCACGTGCATAAACAGAAGGTCGTAGACTTTTTTCATGAATACGTTTCTTATTTTGATCAACTTGAAAACAATGCCAAATACGTAAAGTTTCATCAGATGCACAGCTAACAACCATTTCTTCATTTGGAGACGATGCAATACACAATACACGACCTTGATGCTCTGAAACAGGAAGGTATATTATTTTTTTATGATCACAAACATAACACAAATGACTGCACATTTGGAAAAACCCTAATAACTTATACTTAAATGCTTTAAAAATTCATGAAAATCGTATTGTGAATGCTTTCATTACAACCAAAACATACGTATGTTAAGATTTAACGACAGAAAATTTTAGTAAGTCAAAACGTCACAGAACATTTTACTAATAAGTTTTATTTGCAAGTGTAGGACCGCATGCTTTTAGTTCATTTTAACGTTATAAACATGTCAGGAAATACACACAATATATAACTAATTTACAACAATACCTGTTGTTAGTGATTTATTAGCTTAATAGACAGTTGAATTATGCAGTTTAGTGATATGAGGTATGTGAGCTTTATTATTTCCATTACTAAACAGGAAGAAAATCAACTGAAAAAATCCTCAACAATTCGGATTGTAATTTAAATAATGTAAGGACTAACAAAACTACTTGAACTGTTCATTTACCTTTCATGTAAATAAAAAAACTGATGTAACTTTCAAAATATTAGTGCTTGGATTTCTCTTGTTTTGTGAAAGCAGATGTGTTACGGGGAATGATACACACTAATGAATATTGGTTTAGTGGATATTATTCGTCTTCATTGTAGTACACTTAAAAACCAAAGACAACTATGTTTAATAAAATGAAATCACGTTAAATCACATACACATTAATAAAAAAAAAGTAATTTTAGATTTAATAATACAATTTCATTTTGGATCAGCTGCGAGAAATTTCAGTTGACGTATGAAGTAAAGTAGGAACTAATGAGTTCCTTAGTATCATACCAATCTAACATAACATAAATCAACAACGTACATACACGAGTGATATACTATGTAAGAAATAGATATGATGCAATGTATTAAACAATCATTTAGTGAAAATCAACCGGAGCAAATATGAACGAACATAATCGCTGGCAATACCTCAAAACAAAATAGGATATGCATATTGTAGTGTTTAAGTTCATATTCAATATTGAATTTTGCATCTGTACACAATTATCATCTTTTTTTAACCTTTACCAGAATTTCTTACCTAAGTGAGTAATTTTGGTGATTTCTGGATATTTCCATATAGCCAGTTGTTTAAGAGGATCCCCATGACTAGTTAAAATTTCACGATATTCTGTATTCCATATAATACCAGAAACCTAGAAATCAAATAAATGAATGAAAAATGACTTATCATACATTTTTACTTGTTAGATAAATTTGTCAGTCAGAAATGAAGCTTACAACAAAATACTGGGTTTGTTTTAGTACCGAATAAAAATAGTCAAATCCTAATAAAGGAAATAAATTAGTTTAAAATGGTAACTAAATATCCACAATTGTCTTAAAAACATGGTAATATGATACATCTTAGTGTGGATATTAGAAACGATTAAAACAATTAATGAGATCAAAATCGATGAAGATTGCCGACGTATTGATGTGGCGCGAAATATGAAAACTGTAAAACATAGTATTGAAAACATATTGTTTTTGCAATAATACACTTTCTTCTTAGTACAAAAGATTTAACTCTCTAATTGCTCTGTAACTAGTATGCCCTACTTTAGTTTGGACGTTTGTTATTTAGAATAAAAATGCAAATAAAATTGATAAATAACGGATGAACATATTATCATTTACTGGTTTAAGCTGTTTCTACAAAATATGATACTTTGACAATAAATGTACGTCGATTTGGACCAGAAAACCCAATTATTTTGCCACCGAAAACGTAACTTATCAAGTACAGGTTTGTATAACATGGCTTTGATTCAGTGACAATAATGGGTAGACCGAATTGAAGTAGGTGGTGTAAGATTCTACCCCAAAACTAGCCGAGTGAGAAGATATATCCCCACTAAGCCACTGGTTCAGTTAATAATACTGGAAAATTTATCTTTAAATATGTATTTACGGTGAAGTACTTCAGCAATCATGTAAACACTTATCATGAAAATTCGAGATTTGGAATGTTTTGCAAAAACACTACAATACAAATGATACAGTATTCTGAAGAAAAGTATTAAAGACCTACGTGAAGTGTGAAAATTTTAGGTTACAATATTTTAAATGCTGCTATTGCGTTCGTACTTCACAGAGTAGTAACGGCTGTTGATTGACTGAAAGGATGTTCGGAATTTGCCGAATTCGACAAAACTTGTGTTAGACAGTGAATGTAACTTATTTATCAAGTACATATTGATGTACATAACTTTAAGCGGGACGTTTTTAAGTGTAAGATTTAATAATATTAATTGGCTATCCAAATTGATGCAGGGCGTTAAGCACTGTGCCGAATATATCAGCATTTCTGTATTATACATAGATCTTTTTTTACAGTTATTCGCTTTTGATCTACATTGAAAATAATTAAAATATTATGAATACTTTCCTGTACGTGGCTACGCAACAAGATTAATTTGCCAAATAATGAGTTAATGAACTCATCTTCAAGCCAAGTGAAGTGTGAGCTAAACCTACGACCTACTGATTGAGTGTTTTATCCACTAGATTTTACTAACTAGTTCCACTTTTTCTAAGTACTTTTTTTAAATATTTAGTACGATTATTAGGAATTACATTAAATTTAGTGAGAACTATTGGATATTTGTTTCAACTTGAGCGAAATGCTACCTTACATCATTTCTAACTTTTTATGTGTATTTTGACTTTAATCGAGTTTGGATGCAGGATCATGAAAAGCTATCATTCATTAACGTCTTCGACAAACGTAGTAACAAAGTAGCCTTAAGGCTCGTGGATACTGGCTTCCTCGCTTTCAGAAACAAAACTATTTTAGGAAAGTTTTTCAGTTACTAGATGAACCTAAGCTTACCTGGGCCACTACATCAACTGATTTAACACAAGCTCCAGTTGTTGCATTCCAAAAGCGTAGAGTATGATCCGACGTTCCCCCACCTGTGCATAAAAGATTTGGTTTCCAAGGGCACCATGATAATGCCTTAACTGCAGCCTGGTGATCTCTTAGAACATGTTCAGGCTTTGAGATATCACTAAAAGGCCAAATACAAACAAAGTTGTCATTTGCTCCTGATGCAAGGAAACGTTTATCTGGTGACCAACTCAATCCACAAACTTCCTAGAAAATAAGCATAAAAGGATGAAAACAAAATAAATGTATATCAAATGGAAATGTAGTGAAGCAAAATCAGAAGAACAGATCATTAGGTGATAGCCGATCACGTCTGTTAAAACAGGCAAAAATAAGCCATTTGTTGCTTTTCGAATTTTATATTAACCACTGATTGTCAATTATTTACTATCTGACAAATCATTCATGGTTACACTAATTTGGTTCAAAAATTTTGTACATAAGTCATAGCTTTGATTTACTAATACATATCTATACAATCACTCAGTCAGTTGGTAAGCCCCCAAATGCCCTGGCACGGCCGAGAGTCGGGAGAGTCCGCTCTCCCTCTCGAAATACTCTCACACGGCCACGCGTATATAGCCTCTGCCAGGGAAGTCAAACTCACTGCCTTTTCGTGGCGGGGGTGTTGTTTACGAAAAGCGAATGTCCGGCGCTTTGACCGGATTCCAAACCAATGGTGCACATGGGCTCCAGTATCCTGCGAGAACAAATGGCGAATGAACCAATTGTTGGTCACCGGCTTCCATGGGACTGCATCTCCTTACGATGCTCCACTGCCTTGTGGACCAGACCTTCAGGTCGAAGGCTCGGGGTGTGGCCCCCTAAGAAAACCACCTGCTTCGGTTTGGGCACCCGGGCAGTATCACAGCCCTCACACATATCGAATGAGGTTTGTGTGGCGCATATGTATTTGGTGCCTCTTTGAACCATTATCTATGTGTTGAAATAAATAAATAAATAAACAGTTGGTAAGCCTGTCTTTTGACATTTATTAAACAGAGATTTTAGGGGTGAAATCATCAGTTTAAACCAATTTAGTCATATTTAATTAAATCGAATAGTTCATCATCATCATCATCATCGAAAATAGTTTATTTCATATGCTAACATGGAGAATTGCACTTGCTAAATAAGATAGTATAGACTAGTTAATGTCAACGTAACAACCATAAAAAAGTTGAGCATTCGTGATGAGTAATAAAACAATTAGAAGATAAGGTGGATAAGATAATACATATTAGAATGAACGAATTAGACTATGTGGTTTAAGGATTGATAATAATAAAATTGTTAAAATGTTTGACAAGTAGTTTAATATTCATAAGAGGTGCTCAATCATAAAAAGAATATTACAATTAGACAGTAAATATTAAGCAAAGAAACAATCGGAAAAAATATAAAAAAAGCTTAACAATGTTGGGGATGTGCAATCTTCGATAACGTTGAAATCCTGTTACAGTTAATTATTCAGTGTGAGCACTATCCATGAAATTTCAATACATTTTTCACGATGATTTGTATTAATGACAAATACTTAGTTTGAACGTTCTAATCATTTTTATTTGATACACACTCGACAGACTTAAAATATTTTGATCAAAATCAAAAAACATCTATAAAACTAGTATTTTTACTCTAGTTAATGAGACAGCAAAAAAGAACAGGATAGACGTAATTTTATTCAAAGTAGTAAAGTCATAGTAGTCAATTATTTGTATAGTTTATGAACGTATTAAATAAATCCAATGGTTTTTGTCATATCCATATCAATAAACCTAACCATATTTGTCCGTAAGAAATTGGTAAAACCGCCCTCTTTACCCTGGTCAACATAGCAGTCAACAATTGAGTTACAAATCACTTAATGAACCATTTTTTTCATTATTTCTTCCTTCAATTAGCTATCCTTCTGTTAATTAACTGTAGTTTTAATATATATATATATATGGAAATTTAGACAGGTAACTTCAAAACAGCGAAGGAAACAAATTCGATATTACAGAACCACAGAATTTGACTTAAGTAATAACAATTTAAATAAGATGAAAACACGAGCACACAGTCTTAAAACACCGAAATATTACAGTTGATTAATCACCATTTAGAGACAAATGTCATGTTTGTCTAGTCCTTTAATGTTGATCGAATTCTATCGATCAAGTTACAATGTAACCACCAGTCTAAATGACTTGAAATCGCGTGCACTAAATTGAGATGTGAAGTAGAAGTAGTCGACAGGACATTGACGAGTGCCAAATAACACGAGACATATGTTTAAGGTCTCCTGTCAATTACCTCCAGCTAACATCTCCATTTAGTGGACGCGATGTCAAGTAACTTAGATTGGTGGTCACAGTGTAACTTGATCGGTAGAATTCGATTATCACTAAAGGACTAGACAAATATGGCAGTGGTCTCTAAACTGTGACTAAACAATGGTGAATATTCCAGTCCCACAGGAGTTCAGTCGCGGCCAAAACAGCTCAGTGATAACTTATCAAGCTGTGTTGCGTGACGTGGGTCCGAATAAGCAAGGGGATATCAGTCTTCGCAAGACTACGGTTATGGTTTGCTGAAAAGTCTTAAATGGTACGAAAAATAGGTCGAGGATTTCCTATGGATTACCTCAAACCATCTAACACTTACACAAAATCCTCTACTTGAAAAACATCATGGTGTCCAATGGCATTCTCGAACATGTGTACAAAGTGTATAACATTCTGATGCAGTTTTCCAGTAGTATACACTTGTTTATAAGACAAAAATATTGGTAACCGAAAATATCACATAAGTGATATCCATTAGATATCAACTACTATTTTTACGAAGTCCTTTTAATTATTTATCTGAAAGGATAAATATTGGTACAAAGGGGCACCGAATACATATGCGACACACAAGTCACTTGATTTGTGTGTGGGCTGTGATGCTGCCCGGGTGCCCAGACCGGAACAGGTGGTTCCCTTAGGGAGCCACGCCCGGAGCCTTCAACTTAAAGGTCTGACCCATAAGGCAGTGAAGCAACTTCAGGAGATGCAGTTCCATGGTAGCCAGTGACAAACAATAGGTTCATACGCCATTTGTTCCTTCAGGATCCTGGAGCCCATGTGCACCATTGGCTTGGAACCAGGGTTTGCCAACTCCCTTACGTGGATCCTCCATATCCACCAATCCGGTTAGAGCGCCAGATATTCGCTTTCCGTCCTCTCGATTTCGTAAACAACACCCCCACCGCGAGAAGGCAGTGAGTATGACTTCCCTGGCAGTGACTGTATACGCATGGCCATGTGAGAGCATTTTGGAGAGGGAGAGCTAACTCTCCCCACCATCGGCCATACTAGGGCAAACGATTTGTCACGTTAACATTAATTTTGGCCAGAATCTGAGCACACAATACCACAAAAATGAATGTTTAATAAATAAAAGACAAGTAGAAAATATGTATGATGATCTCTGTAAATGAAGCTAAAGTAGTCCTAGCTTTGTAATCAGTAATCTGGTTCGGTCTTCAAGTAAATAAACCAAATCATCAAATTTAGATAGCGAAAACATCTCTGCCTTACGAGAAGTAGACAACTATTCTGAGACAACCATAGAAATAAACGTTACGAAATAGCCTGACTTTATCTAAATGGAACTTTGCAAAATAGTTAGTTGACTTAGGTTGTAACACTCCTGAGCAATAAAACGAAGATTATAAAGTTATAGAATAAGACCGGTACATGAAACAAAATTATAAAATGCTAAGGTTTTTAGTGTCATGAAAAATTATTAAGACTAAGCATCCGGAATAATTTAAGGGCACTCCCGAACATATATAATAACAAAATGAATGATATAAAACGTCTAAGACCCAAGAGCAAAGGATCGTTAGGACAGTGAAATACAAATATTCAAGTAGGTAGAAATCAATAACCAGGTCATCATAAATGGCTACACGTGAGCAGAACAGAACACACGGTAAGATTGTTAGTTTAAACCTACCTGGGTATGAAAATCACCTACTCCGACTTCATGATGAGCGATCCGCGTATCGTGATGTCTAATATGTCCTGATTTAGACGCACTAGAAACTAAATATTCACGCCAAGTGACGGCTGGTACGCGACCGGCAGAACTGACACCTCCAAGTCGCATCGTACGTACTAGTGACTGGCTAGAAACATCCCAAAGTTGAACACGACCAGCGCTAAGACCAATGGCAATAATATTGGGAGAATCAGGAGACCACTCCAAACTCGAAACATATTCATCGTCAAAACCACAGGACATAAGACAAGTGATATCTCCTGAAGATGAGTTCCAAAGATAAACTTCTTGATTTAACGCAACAGCCAAAATATTGTCCACAGACCAGTCCAAAATATTTAGATAAAAATCATCAATAATGTCTGGAGCATCAAGAACTTTCTCTGGCATCTAAAGGATGAAATAATTTCAAAATTTGTGCAATAACTACTAAACATAGTTGTAGAGCTACTTTAAAAATCCATAAGGAAATAAATTAAAACGTAAAGGTGAAGGGAAATTACTAGTAATGCCAGTATATGTAACATCATAGTTAATACTGCATGCTTCAGATTTGTTGTTTAATAAACCTACTGTTTGTCACTGGCTACCATGGGACTGCATCTCCTGCCTTGTAGATCAGACTTTTAGGTCAGAGTCTCCGGGCGTGACCATTTGTTTGGGTCTGGGCACCCGGGCAGTATCCCAGCCCTCACACAAAAAGAAAGATTTAGGTGTCGCGTATCAATTTGGTGCTTTCTTGTACCAATGTTTATTTAAATAATTATTAGAGCTACTTCTAAAGTTTTGTCGATGGTTGAATGCTCATTTTTGTACCCAAATTTACCTGTACATTTAAATCTTCAACCAGCACTAAATATTTTTTGAATATACTTGCTCGAGAAGACCATTTACTTACTTTATTTATTTTAACACACAGATATTGGTACAAGGAGGTGAAAACCATTTACTCGATAGTGAACCTCATTTCTCGTTGTGTTCCTGTTGTAATGCCTGCGCACATGTGGAGATTACGAGGTTTCATTCTCCACCGTAGTTTCTTCCCACACTGATGTGACTTTTGAGTCAAAGGGCACTTGACCTGTTAATAAGAATTCAATTGATTAGTGCTGAATTTGTCCTGGAACTTGGTGCAACACGTGTCAGCAAAACCGGATTCCGCGGAAGCACCCATAAATTAGACTATTCAGTGACTTGATACAGTTTGAACAGGACAGAACAATTACCAGAGATGAGACGCTAATTGGTTTGGAAGGTAAAGGTACGCATTGAGAATAATGGGGACTGAAAACAGTAAAACATTTTCATTCTTTATGAAGCTGCTGTATGTATTGTTTGAGTGAGTGATGTAGCGGAGAACAGAACAGTTCCTTCAAAACACTACCTTGACATATTTTTGTGTGGGTTAGGCTACTACCCGGGTATTTGGTCTTTTTGGGAGACTTCTCGGTGCAATGATCTAGAGGTCTAGTCCACGAATAAATGGAGAAGTGTTAGAAGACGCAGTTCTATGGTAGCCAGTAACTAAAAAAGACTCGTACACCATCCGCTCCTTTATGATCCTGAACCTACTGCACCATTTGTTTGTAAACAGGGTCTCCTAACTCCCCTGGGTGGTCCTCTGCATCCATTAGACCTATATTCTCATCAAGTATATAAATAGAAATCTTTACATTAACTCAGTTCATGAAATCCCGTTTTAGGCACTGACTTTAAAATGAAAGTGAACATTCGTTAATGTTCCGCTATTCGAATGGATTGGAAGGTTATCTAGCGTAAAGAGATGTGATGTGACAGAGACGCTTTGACTTGATTTGAAGGAGGGGACAAACACCTGTAGGTCTTCGCATGGGTAGAAGTTATTTTCATACCATTAAAAGTAGTACCTCGTTGAAGCTAAAGATCATGCCTACGTAAGCCTGTAGTTATAGTTCTAAAAGTTTTTACAGTAGGAAACGATGGAACACCAAATGGATTTCGAAGACAAAGCTGAAACGTCCTTACCGTTGAGACCATAATACTAAAGATAGAGATGCATCAAAACCTACCTATCATAATCCTATTTCCCAAATCAAATAGAGCATCACGAACCTAATTGCAAACCAGCCATATGAAAAATGTTGCTAGTCGTGTAAATAAAAGTGACCGCCATATAGTGCCGATCCTCAGTTACTCAACAAACTAATCAAACGCTCGTATCTGTAGTAATGGACTTCAGTAAAAGTCTGAATGTTTTGGTTCTTACCTGAGGTATAGTGCGCTTATAGAGTCCCTTTACAGCGGATACAGAGCTATTTGTGGGGCAGTGTACATTACCACTATCTCGAACAGCAGCATTATAGCGCAGGATCCGACTTCCAGGACAGTCATTAGTATTTAAACTATCTGCTACGGCTTGTTGATAATCAACAGCCTCTTCATTTGACGGATCTTCGTTGCATTTTCGAATTGCATGTCGCGCCCTGCACATATTTGTTGATGACCTGTTAGGGATAAATCTATTACAAAGTAAGATCAAAAGATCTTTGTCACCTGTCACCATCACATTCATGTACCGTTGGTATTTTTTTAATGGAAGAGTTAGGTGTCCTTTTGGAGTTACTTGAATCATCTGAGACTAGGCCACTGCGAGATGGCGTTCTCGTTGGAGTTTTAGAACTGCGAAGTAATTGATCAGCATGATACCTACTTAGGTTTGCCTCTCGAAATTCCAAAAGCTCTGTTCATTGTAGGGTTTTGATTATTATCCTGAAGGGATCTACTGAGGCTTCCATCTCCAGAACTGATATCTGAGAAGGTCCGAGAAAATCCTGATAAAACCATCAAAATGTGGATATAAACTGGAAAAAAAACACAACGACAGGTATCTTAAATTAGAAGCATTTTTCATTAAAATATGGTTCGAGAACAGAAAAAAATAGTAGTAAAACTACTGCTGACAAGACGAAAGTTCACATAAACAAAAACGAAGTTGATGTTCATAGAACTTTTGTCAAAATATCAGTAAGGAATTTCAGGGTTTTGTACCATTTCCCCAAAATTATCTATTGTGGCTTCGCCATAATAGGGAGAATGAGTCACTGTCGCTCCTGAACTCATCTGGTTGCTGGCTGGAGATGGAAAGGATCGTATTGTTAAAAGTTACTGTACAACTAAACATCAATTCATCGTCGGGGTTAACGACTGGGACATACAGTAAGCTTCACGGGCAGGAATAAAAATCGATTAATCAAATGGTGCGCGAAGCCCAACGAATTTTGATAGCGTATGTGAACTGATTAGAACAAACGAAATATTCTGTGCTAAAGTATGATAAAAAATCCAGTTAGTAATCAGGCGACTAGTCAATAAACATGACCCAAGTACAGTTTTGAGTTCCTTTTAGTCTGTATCTTAAGTATGTATTTTGTGAGTACTCAGTATTGTGAGTTTCAGTTGGAAGGAACAGCAGGCTAGGTGGCCTTCGTTAATCCTAGCAACAGGTACCTCCCATTTGATCCTACTCAGTTCTAAAGGCGTTAACAGACTAGGCTTCAGTGACGTGTTGAAGTAATAAATTCTATTGGTTAGAGATTAGACGAATAAGTCGATGGCGGTAGTGAATTCCTCCCTTGACTGCTCTTAGAGAGTAAGATGTGTGAGTACAGTTCATTCTTCTGTGTTGTGTCTCTAGTTTATGGGTGTTAGTCCCAAGGTTTGTATTGAGACCGAGCTTAAACAGGTACTTAAGGGAATGCCCATGATACTGTAAGTCATTAGGTCACCCTTGAGCCGCCTACACATTATGTACAAAGGTTAAGTGATTCGAAGCACTCTTCACAAGGCCTGACTTTGAGTTCCTGAACTGATTTCGTGGTTCGCCGTTTGATACATTCTAATGTGTCTTTATCCTTTTGGGATGAGAAGGGACACACTATATTTCTATGTTGTAAATGAGGTGGAATAAAAATGTTGAAGATTAAGCGGAAAGTTCTACCGTTGAACTAACTATAAGAGTGCTTAAACGTTAATAGTGCAAGGTTTGTTCGGAAGTGATTCCTCGTCCAGTCGAAGTAAAACTTCAGGTAATAGGATGCCAACACTCTCAGATCTTTTTCAATTCGGGATGCATTTAATGAGGAGTTACATAAGTTGTATATGAAATCAGAAGCATGTTTTAGGTTGACTACTTTACACTTTGAAGCGTTAAAGGTAATTTTGTTCGTGCTTTTCCAAAGCCATTTGTATAAATTGAGAAAGGAAGGGATTCTAGGATTTAACTATGAAGGATCCCACTAGGACACTCTGTGGCCTAAAAACGTGAAGCTTACTCCCACCATAAAAATTCGATTATTTGGACGTGAATTGAGCCTATCAATCAATGGTGATTTGATATCTAACAGTTTGAGCCTATTTATGAGACATATGTGACTGGCCTTATTAAAAGCCTTTGCGAAGACGAGGTATATGATATCGATCTTTTCCTTGCAACCAAGGATGTTAGTTCATCTGTCAAACACAGTCGGCGGGTTTGTTGTATGGCAGTGACTCGTAGGTGTAGTTAGTATGGGACGGCTATCATGTCTGAATTTACCGTTCTGACATATAGTTAGCGGCGTCACCGCTAATGTAGGTTGGAACATTAGGACCTAGGACTTGGGACAACCCGATTCTGGCTTGTCAAAGAGGGGAGGCATGACGTATAACGCTTTTCGGATTGGAGACAACTTTATCGATTCGACATATATAATAATGAAGCTTGTTCTTTCTTATTGCTTCTGTGCATTGGCTCCTCTTTTTGAACTGCTCGTATGTGCTGTTGTCACTTGTTCGTTTGTATTCCGCTTAGTACTTCTTTTTGCATCCTGACTGTCGAAGAATGAGAACGCCAATGACAGCACGTTGCTTGTAACTTTGCGAAACCGTTCATCGGATAGACTGTAATACATAAAATCATGTGGAGTATATAATCGCAATGAGTATCCACACCCAGTTGAAGGAGAATTCTTAGTTCACCTGCTGTAGATTGAACAGTAAATCTGACTCATTCAACCGCTTTTTATTTCCAAACCTGCTGTGAGTAGGATGCTTTAGTTTACTTTTGCTGGCATCATCAGTTTCATCCAAGGGGAGTCACGTTTGAGAGGTTGTCATCAAGTAACTCTTCGTTTGTAAATATGGAGTCTGGGCGTGACGGCGTCTAACAATTTCTTCACCGAGTCGTCAACTCCACATTTTCGAATAATCCCAGATCTTCGATGATGTTGGAGAACCGAACTTCCGTAGAGTTGTTTCCTTCAATATACGTTTGTTCATACGAACACCTACGAACTATCTTTTCTAAACAGAGATGGATAGTGGCTAGCAGTGGAATCCAGGACGCGCGTTTCGTCCTGTTTGGGACTCGTCAGCTGGATGTACCTGCATCTCAGAGTTGATGTTCACTCTGGGACTCGAACTCAGTAATGTCCTGGATTACACTGCTAGCCACTATCCATCTCTGCTTATAATGCTTGTAAATTAAGGCAATATCGAGGCATACGCACAGTATGCATATATGCCAATAAGAGACTGATCAACTTCAGTCCTAAAACATCAATGGGAAGATTCAAATAAAACAATATCTTTTCTAAAGTTTTAACAACCACTTTGGTCAAGTCGATTGTCCTCAGGTTCATGTCTCTTATCTGTTTTGAAGATAATGTTTAGTATGATGTTCTTTTAGGTAGAAAAATTTGCTAATTTTTTTGGTAACCCAGGATGCATTTCAACGAGCCTCATGGATTTGCTCATATCAAGCTTATTTAGCAGACCAAATACATTGGCTTTCTTAATGGTTTTCGTGTCCAGAGTATCTGGGGGGTTGTGAACTAGGGGGAGGGCATCCCTACGGTATACACATCGCACAACTGATTTCAGAATATCTGTGCGTTGCTGTAATCGTTCTCCACTAACCATTCAGTCCTATTATCTCCCCACAATGCTGGGATATTCCTCTTTTATTGGTAATTTTGTTTGTGTAAGGGTATAAACGTTTAGAAAATTCAATAGCATCCCCAATACGTTTTTCTACTTACAACCTCCTAGACTTGAGGAGTGTTGAGGTACAGGTATCTCACGCTTACAAGTATTGAGATTTAGTTTCATCAGTACCCAGAGATTCAAATCGCTCCCACATTCTCCTCTTACGGAGAAAGATGTGAAACTGCTTAATGAACAGCGTCGGAGAGTTTCTTGGACACATTGATGCAGTTCGAGGGACGTAAAGTGGAATAGCTTTTAGGCACAAATTCCTGAATACCCCCAAGCCGTTTTAAAAAGGTACTCCTGCTTCGAACACGACTTTACCGGGGATGTTGTGTTCAACATCTTTATTTGCTTTTTAGATGTTGGTCTGGATTGAGCTGACATATCCTGATAATTGACAAATATTTGGGAGTCAACAACCAGAACTGCATGACATTTTTATCTAGGGGTGGTGTATGATGATGGTTTGTGACGTTATCCTCACAATGGGTCGATATGAAGTCTAGTAATGATGATTCGAAATCTGGGTTGTACCTAGTTGCTTATTTTACATGTTGCGATAGGGCACGAGTAAAAATCGCATCAACTAGTTCACTTGGACTTTTCCACTCTATCGTAGGTGCATTAAAGTCTCCTATTATTAAACATCCACAGCTTGATCACAGAGTATTGAGACTATTTAGCAAAACTTCATTCACCTCACAGTTTGAAATGTGGAAGACCAAACCATTTCGAAACTCTCGTTCTTCGCATTTCGTGTGGCTATTAACGTAATAGCAAATTTCACTTTCATGCAGTGTATTATAGATAATGGCAAAGAGGATAATATTAATACCGAGTACAGCTACTTCTCCCTCACGATCACGGATTCCGTCCGCCCTCTCAGTAATACGAAGTTTTCGAAACCAAGTTCTTTACTGTCTGCAGACTGCATAAATCAAGTTCTCTTGACGGTGATTAAGTCCAGACTGATGGAGTTAATCTGTGCATCTAGCTCCGATCGCTTGTTAAACAAGCTTCAAGCATTTGTGTAACAAATTCGAATGAATTCGTGCCGCATCCCAAGCGGCTTTGAAATCATTCTCTGACAAAGCCTCCCTATCTGAAAATCCAAAGTTCTGATGTCGTTCTCATCAGCATCTAACCTTAATTCTGGTTCCTTTTTCGGTTTTGATCTTTTTGTGTGGTCCGTGAGCGGCAAGTCTTTACAAACAAAACTTCACAACCTCTTCAGTTTGTGTTCATTCTTTGGTATAAGGTCCCTTTTATTGAGAGATTTGACTTCTTTTCAAGTTCATATTATTACCTGGTCAATAAACCTTCATCAAAGTGTCGACAGTTGCTTTTTCCAACTGTCCAGTCATCAATGAAAGATTTTAAAATGATGAAACTGGACGCAAGCAATTCTCCGACATAAAAGACTGATGAATAGGAAGAATGTAGAAACTGAACTCTTAAATACAAAGGCATGGACAAATACAAAAAGACCAGATGTACACAAAAATTACAGCCGTCTAACTTCTCAGGATGTTTAGAAGCGCAAGACCTCCCTTCCCTAAACCTGTATTGAGACTCGTTGCGGACGCTGTTTTATCGATTCATTATCAAATTGTTCGTCGGCCTCTACTTCCATCGCGATCGATTGTATTAGGAGTAATAATAGGGAGCAATGGTCCATGTTGAGTCATTCTTATCTCTCTCTCTTAAGACTGGGGAGACAGTGGCCTGTTACCTTGTTTCCTGGCAGTCGGTGAGTGAGTGCCTAAACAGGTCACATGCTACTGTAATAATTTCCTTTGCTCAGTGTTTCAAAATTAGATAAAATTTTGTTGCGTCTTGATGACATTCTTGGGGTTCAGGGACTTCACATTCTAGAGCACTAACTAGGGAGTGAGACGGATAATCTCTAAGTCATCTGCTGGTACTAGAGTCAGGAAACGTCTTCGTACTGTAGGTTATCGCTCCATCCAATCTACAAAGTTGATGCCAAACATTCCTGCCATTCTGACTCGGCATGATCCTTACTATCAAGTCTGTTATTGTTTAGTTATGAATTTATAGAACCATTTTTGGTAAGCTTTTATCATAACTGCTAGCATCGTATGAGAATATTCCCTAACGTTTTGAACTTTGGCATTGCATCAATTCCAAGTAAGAGCTACGATCAGAATCCTTCAGGACGTCTTTTCACTTTTTCCAGATCCTCCATTTGGCTCGCCCTTAGCGTTCTGCGTGTCTCTTAATTAAAGATATTATTTCATAAGTGTGCTTTGCCCGAGGTACATTGTTTCAGATATAATTTCCAGTTATGTCCTTTACTATATTTCAATGGTCACCCAGTGTTAGCCCCCACCACTTTCGTGGCCATGTAGTTTGCCCTAGTGTAACAAATTCGAGGACTGTCATTTCTTTTTCGTTTTCAGGATTGTGAATTATTCCTTATCGATTCAGTTTAAAGTACTATTGGTCCAACCCAGTTTTCTTTCCCTGCAGTTTGTTTGGATTTGCGTTTGAAAAAGCACAAAGAATGATTTTGAAATACCTGCTTGAAGAATATTTGTATCAAAAACCGTCCGTTACATTGGATGTGTTGGTCTTTCAAATGTTAATCTATATCCTTGGTCTGAAGAGCATTTACTTCTGTGCTTTTAAAATATCCCAGTTAAAGTTGATAGAATTTTGCATGGAAATCAAAATCATTGCATTAGCTTTTCTGCAAATATGTGTATTCACACGACTTTAAAGTAATACGACAGAAGTTTTTGGATTTATTATCAACTTTTTTATACGGTCCAGTTAATTTTGATTTGTTATTTGATGGTCACTCATCTACTAAAAACGGATGTTTGACTTTGAGCTAATCAGTTGTTAGCAAACAACCTTCATTTATGGGTTGTCTCTCCATACCTTATCTTATGGCGCCACCTGCATGTTCCACCAGTCTCACACTCATAAATGCTGTAACGCGTCGCTTATAAAGCCATCCAGTAGGGTTGCGTCCCACTTGATGAGATTTAGGGACGAAGTGACGGATTCTCCAGCGAAGACAGATTTCACTGTCATTCTTTCACCATGGCTATGAAACAGCAGTGCTAAAGGATGTTTCTCATCAAAGTAATGATAGCGTAAGCGAGCTATAGGGTCTCGAGACCAATGCCGAGGTTCTCAACGCTGTCACGCCCAACCTCTTCAAAGAAGATTTAAAGTTCCTTGATCTACCACAGAGACGAGAAACTTAGTTGATTATAGGACGAAGCAACAAATCTCATGAGGATAGACTCAGACACTTCAGGATATCCAAGTTGGTCAGAAGAAACTAAGATGTGATTCGACAACGGAATACAAAATAACAGGAATGCCAGGTCACTGTAACACAAGTACATCACCAATACCTTAATAACCATCCCTTTCTTGAAGCAGATGTACATGACACAGATATCGTAAGTTAAAATTAAGACATACCAATAACTGATTTGTTCATCGCTTATTATCATCCCCTTTTCTTTTTTTGTTCTTATACCCCGGCCTCCACACAAAACGTATTAACTTAATTATATCTTGTTCACTTGAAATAACTGCCTTTCCGTAACACCCAAGTTCTCATTCCATTGTTATCAATATTGTAACCAATCTCCAGCTTAGTAATGTGATAGCTGCTGATGCTCACAAACCTTTCTGTATTAAGACAAACGTTTGAACTACAAAATGTACAAATCCACAAATAGTTGGCACACTGACTTGGACGAGTGCATCCGAATTGCTAGACTACCGCTATTTAAACATTACCAAAACACGGAATCGTATGGAAACCTAAAGTAACAAAAGCAAAAAAGCAATTGCTTCACACAGTTTCGTGATAAAGAAATTAGATGTCGGATCCAAGAAATGGATAGAAAGGATTCACCTTCTGTACAACAGCTATTCAATATTGAGATTTGTTATAGTGTCTCAAAAACTACACCTTGTTTACATTCTACTAATTCGATCAAAGTTACCTGTTACTTATTCCAGACATTGCTCTGCCAGTTCTCCGTTTAGGACACAAGACTACGTGAGACAATATAGACTGTAAAATGAAACTTGACATTCCTCACGTTATGCGGTGGTTCTTCCTGTATTTCACTACCTTTGCATCACTTTTACCCAGTCATGTATCCACCAAAAGTCTACCCCTCTATTCTTATGATAATTCTATGCTTGTTCTCCTTCATCCATTTGATCCGAAACTCTTAAAACCATTTGATGCTCTAGCTGAATATGCTCGAGTTTCAGTGTACGAGATGCTTAGGTACTTAGATCAGAAGAGGTTAAATGGTAATCCATTGTATAACAACTCTGCATGCGTCGTCGATGTGACCTCGATTGTTTATGGAATCTTTCGATCAGACAAGGAGGCAGTGAAATGTAGGCATGTGCGTTTGATTTTATTTCTTCCGAAGGGTTGGATGCTGCAGGCAAGATTGTCCCTGGTGTCTCTGGTGGTGGTATCAACTGGGTGGGAAGCATGGAATTGTGTCGAAATATTACAGATTTTAGCTACGGTTTGTCCCAGCATGTTCAAGGAAAGTATTGTTCTGCATATGTGAAACTTCCTTCAGCGGAAGAACTTCCTCAACAGTTGGTATGTTTTTCTCGTTATATTTTCTTATATCAGTCATTCGAACTGAATTATGGAGTGTGCATTCCTCATTCTTGTACGAAGGATGATTTGATTTGGCTACTAGACATGGGTTTGTTAATTTTTAATTATGATTGTATAGTGCTTTCCAAGGTAAATTTATCCATAGATAACTCCACAAGCTTCTGTCATGCAGATTTTGGAGAACTACCTAAAGACGGTTGGTTTTGGGTAGCAATGTGAGTTGTTAAACCGTTTCTTTTTAACATTTCAACAGGCTGTGCGCAACAACTATTTTTACTGAATTTCCTCGGTCGGTCGGCCTTGGTTTAGTGTGACAATTTTGATCATTTCAGATTCAGATTTGTATAGTGAGGACAGAAGCCCTACGGCCTATGTTATTCCTTTTCTATTATGCTTCTGTGAGTGTCCAGTCTTCTCTTGAAAGTGCGGACACCACTGCTTCGGGCAGCAGGTTTCAAATATTGGTGACTTGGTGTGGAAACCTGTATGCCACAGGTATTTTGTTCGTTCTTGACTTTTCTACTCGCCTGCTATATCCTCCGAGATGTCCCGATCTAGTGGGAAGATAAAGAGAGAATAAGTTAGATCCAAAATCATTTCTCAGTATTCTGTACATCAAAATTAAATCTCCCTTTAGTCTGCGATAGGACAGAATAAAGAGGTCCAGCTTTTCAAGCCGCTCTTTGTATGGTAAACTCCGAAGTTCTTGAATTGCACGGGTAGCCGCCCTCTGTACTTTTTCTAGGATATCCGAGTCACCTTTTGAACAGAGGCTTGCAGCCTGAACGCAGTTCTCAAGCTTAGTTCTCACTAGGGATGCGTATACTGTAGTGAATATGGTAGTATCTAACTTAGTGAATGTCCGTTTTAAAGCCCGGAGGGTTCAAAACCCTCTAGCTGCGACCTCACAGCAATGGGCCGTCGTTTTAAACATCATGACTCACCGTCACCCCTAGATCCTTATGAGACTGGACCACGGGTAATGGCACTTCCCTTATGTTGTACCTATTACCCTTTGAATCCCTAAAGTTCATGCAGACACACTTTGCCACGTTGATAAGCATCAGCCACTCTTTAGACCAGTAAGTCATTTTATTTAAGTCTGCCTGAGGAGCACATGCGTCTGTGTCTCCAGTTATTACTCGCCAGATCTTTACATCGTCAACGTATAATAACATTGGAGACTGTACTATACTTGGAAGATCATTAAGATACATTATAAAGTACTAAGTACTGGTCTTCAAATGGAGAACTTGGAATTTATACTTACTTTCTGTCGACGACCTACTAGGAAATTTTTAATCCATTTTAAAAGAGGTCAAGCAATGCCAAGGTTTTCCAACTTCAATGGCAGTCTATTAGTTGGCATCTTGTCAAAAGCCTTACTGAAGTCTATGTAGACAACATCCACTGAGTTTCCGTTATCTAGCGCTTTTATCCAAAAACTCCCTTGCTATAAGGAGGTTTGTCGTACAAGGTAGACCCTTCTTAAAACCATGTTGTTTTATGTCTAGCAAGTTATTGGTTTCCATAAATGCCATTATGGTCCGTTTGACTATTCTTTCCAATATTTTAACTACAACGCTGGTTAGGCTTACAGGTCTGTAGTTCGATGGAAGTTATCTTGGTCCTGTTTTATGTATGAAAGTGACGGTTGCGTCCTTCCAGTCTATATGTAACACACCTTGGTCAAGTGACATATTGAATATCACAGACAGTGGGGCCGCGATATATTGTGCAATATGTCTCAAGATTTTGGGGTGTAGTTCATCTGGTCCTGTTGACGTTTCCATGTTTAAGGTGCTAGGAGCCTTAAGCACATCGTCTTAACCAAAGTCCACGGTGAGTAGGTGGTTTGTTGACTCTTTATTTTGGTCTGGTTCTTTGTCTAGAGGAGGTTCCTGGGTGAAAACTGCTCCAAAATAGTCAGCTATAGCCTCTGCTTTTTCCTGATTATCCTCTATCATTTCAGATGCATTTCCTTCTTTAATTAGGTTGGGAATCCAATGATGCATCCTTGTTTTGTACTTTATGTACGAGAATATTCTCTTAGGCTGCTTAAGTGTTTATTGTTTCATTCACTGGACTGGATGCAAATATTTTTTAATTATTTTGGGAGATTTTCATTAGGCATGAGAAGTGTTTAATTTGTGACTCTTATGACTTTTGGTAATCATATTAGTAAGTTTTCATCTGACATCTCTTCCGTTTACGAAATAAATGTGATAAAACAACAGTGGTTTCAAGATATATATACAAATATATCATGCAAAATGAAAGTGTTATTTTACCTATGAGGAGAAAACACTTGAGTTCTTCGGCAGGTTTGCCACCCTTATTGGGGATTTTATTTAGCTGTGTAAGTAAACAGTTGCTATAAATATATATATGAAATGTTGGAACTGTTTAACTGACTTATGAAAGCCGAAATCTGTGTTGATATTCCGTTGATTAAGAGTATTAGAAAGTACTCAGAGTTTACAGTTGTTTTACAGAGCTTCTGTAATTAATCCATGTCTACTTCAGTTTAATTGGAGTTTTGATTAGGCAGCATGTTGTACGACTTGTACTTACTGCTTCTAAGGAATACAATGTTATTGTATCACCCTTAGGTCTTTGTTAGTTTCTATGATCATTCTTCTGATAAGTGGAACAATGGTGGATGTAGTTCTATGGTGCAATTGGAATTATCGCTTTTATGAATTTCTGTACAACAGGATAAGAGTCGGTTTGCCTGAGGATACATTTACTACCAGTGAGGAGGAAAAGCTAATTGAACAAACTCCGTGTGACCAGTCGGAATCAGTTAAGTTATCATATTTTGAATACAGAACCGGTAAGTAAACTTACACATTGTCGCTTATGAATTTATAATTGCTTTTTTTGATCAGCTATTTGAGATTGTTAAAAGTCTTATAAATCATGAATTTATCATGGTAAAGAGTTTTAGTAAACAATCAGATTTCCAGTTGTTCATTTATATGATGATGGTAGATGATAGGATGTGTCTTCTAGTGTGTTTCATGTGTGTAAAGCTAATTGGCATGCAATCATCGAAGTAAATGTAATAGATGACATGATTTATCAGTATCTGAGTTACTAGTAAATGAGATGATAGACTTCTCATAATGTGAACAACTGATTTTAACGTTTGTGGCTGAGTGATGCAGGTATTTAATCTGGAGATATTTAAATCTTTACGTACCTGAAGTCGCGTCCCTTAGAAGAGGTCTTACACAAGCAAAAGCCTCCGCCAATGGCTTGGTAGTTTTCGTCAAACACAATGAAACAAGATTTTGAATCTATTGGCGACCACCAAGAAAATATCTCCGATGAAAATTTGTTGAGGTTGAAGTTTAGTAGCGTGATTCTTGTAAAATTTCAGCTATGTGTTGGGTTGTAAGACATTTTTGTCCACTTGTAATGCTACTTTGATTGAAAGACTAGCGTGCTGAAAGTTTTTCATTCAGTAGTTTTCAGCAAACGATAATATTAAACGTTCTAACAAAATACAATGATTTAAAGACTGGGTTGTTTTATATCACCGTGTATAGCCGAACATGTTTTCTATTTCGTTGGTTTTTGTGTACTCTCAGAGTTAACTGCAATGTTTCCAGTTTGTGAGTGAACTGTTTGTCTTTCAGTTCTGTTCTATCAATTAGATGAGATTCAATCATCATATATATATATATTTATTTACTTGAACACATAAATATTGGTACAAGGGGGCACCAAATATATATGCGCCACATAAAACAATGAGTGGGAAGAGAAAAAAGGAAGGGAGGGAACGTAAAACAAAGAAGAACAATGACGACCAGATTATTGTAATGTAGTGTAATAATAATAATAATGGGGGAAACGGAAAGACACAACCAGAAGAAATCTTCCAGTTAAGGAAGATACAACCACTTTTTTATGAAGTAAGAGAAGGTTACAGCAGGATCGCCACTGACTGCCATTCTGAGCCATATCTGATAACGTCTCTAGCCACTGTGTTGCACCATCTCTCGGACCTCAACCAGGGAGTCGTGAAGGACCAACACAGACCAGCCCTTTGCAGCTTTCCTTCACACCACGACAACATGTCATACACTGACCACCTCTCCGCTCTTTCCTAACAGTCCCAGAGTCAGCAAATAATGCACGACGTGGAATTCTCTGGGACGACATTCGTAGGACATGTTCAAGCTACCAAAGTCGATGTTTCAAGATGGTGATACCAATTGCATTATCGTCTCTGTGCCTGAACACACGATGCCGAACCTCTGAATTACTAACGTGGTGTTGCCACTGGATGGCAGCAATCGTTCGGAAACAACGATGATCGAACACAGAAAGTCTTCTAACGTCCTCAACTAGGAGAGGCCAGATTTCACAAGCATAGAGCAAAACTGCTCTCACCGACGCGTTGTAGATCCGACCTTTTACAGCCAGACTAACATCACGAAGACGCCAGAGATGGCCCAGATTGGCATAGGCCGCTCTGGCTTTCACTATATGTGCATTGATCTCATCACTCACGCCACCACCAGCACTTATGCAGCTACCTAGATACACGAACTTCTCGACTACTATCTGCCCACCATTCAGGATGAGTACAGGATTAGAATCCTGCTAGTCTTGTAGAAGTACTTTGCACTTCGAAGGTGCAAAGCACATACCATACCTACGGACACTGATTGACAACTGATTAAGTGCGGATTGCATACATTGGGCATTATCTCACAATAAGACTATATCATCCGCATACTCAAGGTCGAAAAGTCTTTCACCAGGCAACAGATCCATACCACCGTTACTTACATCCATCAGAGCTGTTTCCAGAATGTCATCGATGGCAAGGTTGAAGAGGAATCGTGAGATTGGGCAACCCTGTCTAATCCCACTGCTTAAATGGGACAACGGAGAAAGGTGGTTATATGCCCTCACTCTGCCTGAGGTATTTGTATATAGGGCCTTTAAGATGTTAATAAACTTCTCAGGCACACCCTTCTTCAATAGACAATCCCAGAGAACAGTAGACTTATCCCCCGATAGTTGTTACAGGAACGATATGAACCCTTTTTAAAGATGCAGGGAGATGCAGGGGGAGAACGCCAGGTGGAACATCGACGATGACTTTGTCAAAAGGTAGTGCTAGACAGAAACAGGTAGTTGTCTGTGCTTAGTTGCAGTAGACGGTCCCCGTTATCTGACCTGCGACCAACGAGTCCCCATCGGCCACCTAAACGACTCTCTTCTGTGCCTAGACGCCCCATCTGAGCATTCAAGTCTCCGGCTAGTACTACAATATCTGTCGAGCGCACTTTCTGGAGAAGAACAGATAACTGGTGGTAAAACCCATCCTTGATTGCATCCGGGCTGCAATCTGTCGGAGCGTAGGCGGAGATGACGAAAAGACATCGTTTCTCACGCCGATTCCTTCTCACTTTGATGGAACTTTCTGATCTAACAGCACATAACCGACTGTTAATGGGATCCAGTCGATTATTGATACCTCGGCTCTAGCGCTTAGTGTGACACGAACGCAAGCAAGACCAGATGACGATGCCACAGGGTCCCCGGATAAGCGCACGTAAAACAAGCTTTTTGAAGAGACAAATGGAGAACGAATTTGTAGTACTTCACTAGAGTCTTAAATACGGGTCTCAGATAGACAACAAACGTCGATATGAAGACTTTCCAAAGACATAACCAGCCTTATCTGTTGTCCGACTTGCATAAGTGTGCGAACGTTGAAGGCAGACCTAAAGATTTAACCCACAAGGCAGTCGAGCATCGTGAGGAGATGCAGTCCCATGGTAGCCGGTGACCAAGGAATTGGTTCATACGCCATTTTTTCCTTCAGGATACTGAAGCCCATGTGCACCATTTGTTTGGGATTCGGTTAAAGCACCGGACATTCGCTTTTCGTCCTCTCATTTTCGTAAACAACACCCTTGCCACGAGAAGGCAGTGAGTAGGACTTCCCTGGTAGAGGCTGTATACGTGTGGCCGTGTGAGAGCATTTTGAAAGAGAGGGCGGTCCCCACACTCTCGGCCATACCAGGACATTTGGGGTCTGTTTTACTACCTTTGATACTAATATTGTTACTACTTCTACTATTTAGAGGCTCACACCGCTTGGACTTAAGTTTTGACAGTTCGCGTGTAATATTAGCCTAGTTTCTTATGATAGAAAACATGGAGAAAATCTCTGAAATAATGACTAGCAAACAGCATTTTGGCGATGATTGCTTCTTGAAGAATTTAAAAAGAATCGGACAATGGTTTTTAAGATAGTGGACCTATTTTTAATTTTGAAAGTTTGCTAGTTGATCCTCAATTTTCCATGTAATTGCTCCCTCCAACTGCCTGATTATGTGTTATGTTTATTCTTTGTTTCGTAATCATCAGATTTGTTGTCCAATACAACTCCGTTTGTCAAATTTCTTACAACTTACTCTATACCGTTTAACACATCCCGTCTATGGCACTTCAAACCAAGTCAAGTTCTAAATAAATCGGGTCACCCTTGTGATCATCCTTTACTGTGCTTAGATGGCATTCGATTTCTGACTATGAATTGGATAATTTATGGGCATTGTATATTTTTTAGCATGTTTGTTGCAAGTGAGCTAAAATCTTTTTATTAGTATGAATGAAAATTCTACAAATATCTTTCGACTTTTTTATTCGATGAATGTGTAATTTGTCAAATATAACTCTTCACAAATGGATTAAAATTATTTGAATGGGTAAATTTTATTTTTCAAATAAATAAAAATGATAATAATTTGAAAACGAATTACGAATTTTCCGAATAAAGATGTTTTTCTCTAAGAATGTCACTTTACATATTGTACAATCGTATTTAAATACAGAAACATCCGAAAATACAGCTTCAATTCATCTGTTACATGTATTTCGTAAAACGAATGTTTATTTTTCTAATGTACATGTTTGGAATTTGTTAGTTCATATTTTGAAATCAGTATATATACTTAGGATTGGAACTTGAAAGTTTGTATATTGGCGTCGAAAGATAGTTTTTTTTAATAACTATTTGGTTTTATAGAAACGTGACATTTGTATGCATTCATCTTGTCATAACTTGGTTTTATTTCATTCACTTTAAGTTTCTTGAATAATCTCTTGCAGATAACATGTTACTGTACTCACAAATTCATCGACCAAAATGGGCCTATCAAGCAATAATTGGTTCAACTTTGTCTGTGGATACATTCTTTTTTATGTCGTACGTCCACTTAATTAGTTTTTTTGCTCATCTTTGACAGAAACGTCATTTCGTTTTAATAGTAATCATATTTAATTTTTTCACGCAAATATTCACATTGTTATCGTGAACGTTACTGCTGAGTATTGTTCGATTAAACCGAAATAAATGAGGGTAATTAATAGTTATGTTAGCAAAGTGAGTCACTAATCTGCACACTTATAACTACATATAATAAGCCATATTAATTCTTGATTTTGAATACAGATCAATAGGTAGTAGATTTACCATAAGGTTGGAAGTAGTTAAATCTTGAGGATATAGGAGTGGACTAGATGGTACTACAGGCAACATTGTTTAGGGTATGAATTATTTTTTAAAATGTCAGTTGTTAGTGAAGCTTTGTGTATTTGGTGTTATAACTTGTGGGTTTGTGCCCCTACCAATGTATGACGTAATGATACTACCAATTAGAGAACAGTGATTATTGACCGGATCAATGACTCATAAACCCGTACGAGCCGTCTAGTGGCTTTACCGCTCCTTCTTCCCATCTAGCACTGCCTGTTGAGTCCAGAACACAAATCCCAGCCTCTGCGATGTGAATTATGTATTTCAAACATACTGGGTTTATATACAAAGGAAACAGGCCAAATGTGACTGTGAATGTGGGAGATATTAATTGATAGACTGGGTATAACTCAAGAGTGGTAAATTGTATAACAATGGTTCATAGGTCAAAATTAAAATTGTAATAAGAGGAACACGAATATGAATAGTTTAGTTATTTACCAATTATGTGATAAGAATATATGTATAGTATTACTCCAGGAATAGATTCCAAGTTACCATGAATTATTCTCATCGGGATATAAAATTTGAGTTAAAGATTATAAAGTTTAATTTCATTATTGAAAAGGTGCAACCTGTACACAACTGATGAAAGATGTTTTTTATTACAATTCCAAGTACTTATCTTCATGTAATTGATGATTGAGTTGAAGTGTTGTATACATTTTACTAACGATTGAAATTGCTATATGTCTGTCGAAGTAAAATGTAGCTTTACACAACATTAAGGATAAAATTTCATTTATACTTCTTCAATGATCTAAGTGAAATTTGAAAAAAAAACTAATTTTCCTAATAATACAACAGAAAATCTTACAGAGTAAACCAATTAAACTGTATGACAATTAGTCGTTTCAAATGAATTGCATAAATATTAAAGATGACCTAGAAATGACACTATAGCAATCATAAACGTGATGTTTTTTGATATGCCACTTGCATCATAAATGTGAAGTAGTTTAATACCTAAATAATTAGTAACTACATGAATGTGATTACAATTTACTAGTTTAGAAATGTAATGAAAACCTGAATGCTAATTTTAGTATAAATTTTCTGTTTGACTTAATTTGGGGTACTTGTAATTATTTTGTTATTTTTAATGAATTGATCAATATTTTGTACAGAATATTTGTTCATGGAAGTTGTTGTTTATACTTATTTAATGTTCTACCTATGTTATTTGAATGCATTTAGTCGCGGCAGTAATATTTAGGTTGTTTCTAAAAATTATTCACACAATCTAAGTTTGTTTTATACGCCCACTGAAAAAATTCATATAAATTATATCATTACAATACACTGGCGCTATATCTCGTAATGTATACAGTGAACTGTTCATTTTCGTGTTTCCAGGATACATATTTTAAGAAATATGTAAATTAGAAGTGAAACTGTTATTAAAACCAATGTCACAATGTCCATTTATAAACTCCTTGAATTAAGAGTATGGACATTGTTGCATTTCACACCCAACATTGTCTACTTGAGAATAATTTCGATATTTTAAAATTGCTTTTATCTTATCGTAGTTTAAAACAAACAATTTTAGTCTTGTTTACGATTTGTTCCTGTGCATAACATAGTCCTATGTCGATATATTTCACTTTATATTTAGAGGTTTATTATCTACGTATCTCACCATTCCAAAACTTCGACGAATTCCCAGTTGGAAACATTGGATAAAATTTTGGTGGAGCTTCGTATTTCATCGTATTTTACGGTAAGTGTAATCTGAATTGACGGTCACTCACCAATCGACTATTTCTATAGACATTCAGTGTAGTTCACCGAAGTGATAAGCATCAGTGATTTTGTTTTTCATTAATTCTGTATGAAGAATGGAAGTTGTTGAGTTGGTTTTATGTGAACTAGATTGAGAGTGTATTTCTGACTCACGAACTGTTGGTAAAATATATTCACACAAACAACTATTGTTCGAAACCAATATCTCATGTGATTTGTACGGAACTTATGCGTAGATCCATTTGTTCTAATCCAGTTAAACCTGTTAATTAACTCATAAGTGATCAACATTTGAATGAATAGATTGGTTGCAAATGTAAAGAAAACGACCATAGATTATCACGTTTTAACTAAATTTTTGTTAGGAATAATGAGTTTGGTGAATTTTAAAGAATCTTTCCCAGAACAATAAAACTAAATGGGTAAAATGTTATTGAGAAATGAATGAGTTGTATTGAGCAAACTAACGTTTTGTTTAGTTATAAATTGCCCAAGACTCACTGTAGTTTTGCAATGAAGTTTTGGCAAGTTTCATTTATGATTGTCTACACTCTACAGATGCTCCGTGTCATTTCATGTACATATATTCTTTAGGGTACATATAATCTTTTCACATATAACATAAAGTATTGTGGGAAGTGTTGCGTGAGAACCTGAAGATCGAAGTGTATTTCACTCATATTCTTCATAATTATAAGAAACTTAGTTTGCAAGTTGGTGTGGATGAACCCTGTGGGAGGTGAGAATGCTAATGAACAAATCTTTGCGTTCAGCAGACAAGATGTGTATTTCATGATTTTTTATGATGCTACTCTGTTTTATGTGGACGTTTCTCAACGAAAGTTTCCAAACTTGTTTCAAAAGTGTTGTATTCTGGCTTGACTGGATAGTCCATTTGTTACTGTTTGATATTATAGGTTTATAAAATGGTATTGATAATTAAAATGGATGATAGTTAACTGCAACAGAATTGAAACAAACAATTATGATTTGTTCACGTAGATGTTTTGAGGTGAAACATATAATTCCATCACTTGTGTATTGAAAAACGTTTTACACAATTAACCTTAAATCTAATTAATCCTATAAACAACGTGTTCTAATCCGCAGAGTGTGGTTATTGATCATGGGTGTATTGAAAAGTTATCCTGCTTAGAGAAGATTAGTTTAATCACCAAAAGTAACATGTATGGTTGCATTGGAGTTGAATAATAATAAGTTGTACATGTAGCTGATTGTATTTTGTGTGACATTGAATAATGTAGGTATTGTGGTTAACTCGAATAATTTGTATTTCATGGAAGTCTAAAAACATTGATCACACTTGGAATCACAGAGACATAATGCGATCTTGGTCATTGATATCTGTGCCTAGAATGAAATCTCAATTGTAATTTGAGAGAAGATGCTCTTGACTTTAAATGAATGTTTACGAGATAATCTTTTATCTGCAATTGTATGTATATTTGTATATGGCTTTAGTTATTCATTTCCGTGACAGGAACATGTAACCATAGATTGAAATAAGCTCACGTCTCTGTTCTCAATATCTAGTTTTCTGAAGCAAATGGTAGGCAGACAGGATTCAAAGTAGAACTGCAAGTTCTCCTCTTTTCTGAACTGATCAGTCAGAATTCAAAGAGTAATGGATATATTTTGAGACAAATCGGTTCGGAGCTGGGACACAGGAGAAAATGATGGATGACTGACAGTTTTCGGACTCCTAGTTTTAGCGAATCAAACTTGATATGAATGCTTGAGAAGAGATAACTGTTAGAGTTCAATCCATCATTTGAAATTGTGGCATTCATCAGCAATAACGAATTATGAAGAGTGAAAATTCAGGTGAACAGTTAGGGTGTTTGTGTCATGCGTTTGCGATTTATCTGAGGTTATTGGTAAGTTTTGCAGTCACTTGAAGTCGAAGGGTTTCAGTTTGATGCGTTATTGAGGTTGAAAGTTAACTTCTCATTCAATTGAGGACTGTAGATGCTTGTCCTCAAGAACTTCATTTCAGCGACTCAATTCGTTCAGTGAAGGTTTACTCTTTCGCTCGGTTTGTGTTGCGTTCTCATACGTATATAAAAAAATTCTGCAGCATTTTGGAAGACTCTCTCGGTCTACCACATTGTACGATCATTGTATGTACCTAAATAATTGGTTGCTCTGGTTGTCAGAAGGATCATCAGCCTCGTGGCTTCCAAAGGAGCTCGGCTTTCACCACGAGGCGTAATAACTTCTAAATGAAGACCTTCTGACTCCTAGGAAATAGTTTAAATTGTTTGAATATTTTTTCCTGATTAGCATTTTTAGCGAGTTAGTTTTCTACTGGATGTGGTCGCTGAATCCATGCCTAACTCTCCTCCTTTATCCGTGCTTGAGACCGGCAGTAGATCCATAGAGGCTCCAGGCGGAATTATATAAAAAATTAGCTCTGTTTTATCTTTGAACAATGACTTCTGTTTTGTTCATAAAATCACAGTAGACATCACCGAATGTTTTAGACGACCACCTCTGGAATTTACTTTTGACTCCAACTGATGTCATGTTGTATCTCATTACCAACTTGATGACTCAGATTATATCGTGTCTTTTGAAATATTGTACATCATGTTTCAGTCCTGATGTTGTCTCAAGTTTTCATTGGTATATGTGCAAGTAGTGGTGTTGCATAAAGTAATGTGTCTGAAAGCTACAGTAAATCTCAGATTTGGATATATACTGAAAATAATATACTGTTGATCAAATTACTTAATCTGCGTGGTCATTAGTTATTTTCGATTAAATATCTAATATTAAAAATCACCGAAATCAAGGTTTGACCCTTTTTTCAAGTGAGATTAATTTAATTTCGTCCCAAACCTGTTACAATATAGTTTAGAGAAAACTTTATTTTTAAATTTTATTTGAGAAAGATTTCCTTCCCTTAGTTTTTCCCTTGTTCGTACTTTCTTTACTTACAGCGTTAAGTTACTTATTAACGTTAAGTAGTTTATCTTCAGATATATTAATAACTTGAACAACGTTTAGTGTGACAAACTTTTATTAGCGACAATTCTAAAGGTAATAATAATATTAATAGTAACAATAGTAATGTTCGACGTACATTTGATTGAATGATATAGTGTGTATAGTTGCTGTGACTTATTTAGATTTTGGGTAACTGAATATGTTATGATTGAACTTGAAAAATAATTCCATACTTAGATCTGACAAATGAAATTTCCTTGATGAAGTTTACCCAATAATTTGTTTGTAAAACATACTGATAGACCTGACGATTATTTCTTCATAAGCTAATATTTATGCTTAGGATGAAAGTATTGCTTCATAACCTTGGTAGTATATGATGTATGTTTTATTTACATCCAGTTGTATAAGTTCCACCAACCAAGAGTAACTTTAAATATCCCAAGTGAATAAAGTTACATTAAAGTAATACAAAGTTAAACAATATTGATAGGTAAGAAGGACTTAGTTTGGAATTTATTCTTTACAGTTATACACATAAATATTGTAAATTTATGTTGAAAGCTCCACGACTAAACAATCCAGCTCAGTGAACAAAACTCCATCACATTCATCCACCTGAACTACAAATCTTTTCCACCATGCTTCTCTAGTATTTGATGTCTCTCAAACACAACTTTATATGGAATGTAGCCGATGTTAATTCGTGATGAAAATCAGTGTACTATAGATTAGGAGTTAATTAGTTTTAAGATATTAGGTAAACCGCGGAATAGAGACTACAAATATAAAAACAAATATTAGTTAGTAGCTTGTAATCACTGAGAAAAAATATCTGATTTCGTGTGTTTCATGTCAGTTTACATAGGTAGTTTTTACGTTATTATTTCAGATGTCGTATACGTTGGCATATCACTTATTGAAGTGACTGATCTCATCTCTTTGATCAACTAGGAAACATTTCAAGATCTTCGTATTATACTGTTATTTGACTGTGCACATCATCTCATAGAAAATTTTAATTTCATGATCGAACTTATGTATTGACAAAATTGTCCATCTTTCAATCCAAAAATATGTTTTTTCACTTAAATTAGGATCTACAGAAAAAAGTTAGAGATTATTGTCTGTGAACAATTTTCAAGACGATTGTTTTTGTATCAAATGTCGCGTTTTCTTTTAAATTTCAGTTTAACTCCAGCTTATCTTTTAGTCTTGATACTGTATACTGGATTATTTAATCATGCTTATGTCGGTCCAATGTATCCTCAAACTCCTAATTTGATGGATATAAAATTTTGTCGTGATCATTGGTGGATAACATATTTGAATAATTTTATTTATCCAGATGAAGCGGTAAGTGAATGACAAGCTGTTCTATGAAATAAGCTGTATGAATCTGTTTGGTTTTAGTGCTTTATCATTGCTACAGATATCATCTTCTTCGACACTATGAACTTCACTGGGAATCAGTGAAAACGTCTCATAATAAACGTTATGTATTTTCCATGACTGGATGAAGTGAAAATGATTATCAGTGACTGGTTCGAAACACAACTACAAAATTTAGTGAATCCAAGCTTATGATATTATTGAATAGCTCTGATTATAATATAAAAATTGGTTATGATATATCATCAAAGGGTCACAGAACTGCCAAATTTTAGAAAATCAATCTTCACAGGAACTGAAAAAGATGACAATTCACATGGATATCGACCATCTAATATTTCACAGACTGAAATCATGAGTCAATTGAAGCTAGACCGTCATGGAAAACCTGGAAGCACTGGACAACCGTTTCGTTCTAGTATGGGACTCCACAGCAGTGGCGCAACTTCGTGGATTGGTTGAGGTTAGACATAAACACCATTGGATACTGGTTCAGTGGTCTAGTTGGTTAAGCGCTTGGCGCGAGACTGATAGGTGCTGAGTTTGAATCTCGCGCAGTGCGGGATCGTGACTGTGTACTGCTGAGGAGTCCCATACTAGGACGAAACGGCCGTTCAGTGCTTCCAGGTTATTCATGGTGATCCAGCTTCAATTGACTCATGATTTCAGTCAGTGAAATTTCTAAAATCTCCACAAACCCCTTCTGATATATAATATTTCTAATAAAATATAATAATCCCAATGAATGCAATCACCAAATATTCTGATGTTTAGTAACTCAGTGTAAGTCATTTCTTCTCACAATATATAACTAAACAAAGTGCTTCAATCTCCACTATTCCCCTATACTACGTTAAATTAACCAGAGGAGTTTAATTAGTAAAAGAGAATTAGACAAAACTATTCATTACAATCAATCAATCAAAAACATGTCTGACCAAGTCAACATAACAATCCAGTCAAGATGATTTATATGACACATGTTAGTGCATTTTTTGTGTTAATGTTTGTTTGGTTAGAATGTGACATTCGTAATATGAAAGGATAAAGTTGAATTCGTGTGATAATTATGTAATATGTACATGGATTTAGACATTGTAACTCGGATAGATAGTCCAAGTCAGATGGATAGTAGGGCCTTTTTTCTTCCTATTCAATTTTTCTTTATATCTACTTAGTGTACAATTGTCACATATATTTCTGACTGTTAAATTATTTCCACCCTACCACCCTTCTCTAATCTGTTGATCAAAAAGTGACCTTTTCTTGATATTTGACATCTCGAATATATGTATGAAGCCATCTCTCCTATTATTCTATAGATCTATGTTTGGCCGAAATTATTAACAATATATTCTGTCTTACTTTCTAAACTCATCGGGTTAATTTAACATAGTATAGAGGAATAGTGGAGATTGAAGCACTTTGTTTAGTTATTTATTGTGAGAAGAAGTGACTTACACTGAGTCACAAAACATCAGAAAATTTGGTGTTTGCACTCATTGTGATGTTATAAACATAGTACATTTTATTGGGAATCCACAGAATGTTCAGTGTATTTGAAACGGTCAAGTCAACTTTTGGTAATGGTGCCAGTTGAATGTTTGTTGTTTATTGTTAAAATACACTAATTCTGTACATAGTTATTCAAATAATGGTTGGAAATGTGAAAAAGAGATTTCTTCCTAGTTAAAGTATTTTAATAGTTGAATTGATGAGTTGGTTTAAGCTAGACCACCATTAAAAACCCGAATGTTCTATTCGATATCTTTCATGCTTACATGCTTACCTCGTGATTTATTTTCGTGAAAATTATTCATTTTTCAGTGCATGGGATGGTCATGGTATTTGTCAAACGAAATTCAATTTTCAATTGTGTTATCTCCAATCTTCTTATGTTTAGTAGCATGGTAAGAAAGCTGTGACAGTTTAATTGAATAACTCTAATATTGTTGTGTAAATTATAATGAGTGAACTTATATGAAGGAAGGTGTTACTTAATATTCATTGACATTCATTTGAATTGAAAATATTTTAATAAAAGGTGAGTTATTTTCGGTTGAAACACCAAATTCCCTGAGAGTAAATATTCATTAATACTATGTTCCTATCGACAAATATGGCCGAAACACAGTAGTGAGTTAAATCAGATACCACTGTGGAGAAATGAATTGTTGTTGTTGTTGTTGTGAAGCCTGTTATCCCTTTTGTAGTAGCATAGGTCGCCCAACTTGATTGTCCACCGAATTCTATCGTGGGTAATGTATTGCAGTTGTTTCCAGTTGCTATTTATTCTCTTGATATCTGCTTCTAATTGTCGACACAGTGTGTGCTTTGGTCTTGCTCTTTTTCTCTTGCCTTCAAAATTTCAAGTTAGCGCAAGTCTCGTGATGAAGTCTGATGGTTTCTGAAATTTATGTCATATCCAGTTCCTCATCTTTTGGTAATTTCGTCTTCAGCTGAAAGCTGATTTATTCCCTTTTAGAGTAGGTTGTCGCTGACGATATCCGGCCAACGGACATTGAGTATCTTACGTAGACGATTGTTAATAAATAATTGTACTGTTTTGATGATAATTGTAGTAGTTGTCGAAGTTTCGGCTCCGAAAAATTGAGCTATCGTAATATTCGTATTGAAGATTCAGACTTCGATTTCGTTTGACAGTTTTTTAAGATTCATATATTTCCTTATTTGTAGTAATGCCGTCCTTGCTTTGCTAATCCTTGCCTTTACATCTGCATCAGATCCTACTTGTTTATCAGTGATATCATCCAGGTACTTTAAAGCTTTTACCTCTTCCCGAGCTTCCCCATCAAGTATGATTAGATTAGTGTTCTTCATGTATTAGATGTGAAGGTCTTCATAATCCAGTCATCAACCAGAAGAAAAAGAAAAGGAGGAGAGTAGGAAACCTTATCTGACACCGGTCGTCACATGAAATGCATCTGTCAGCTGTCTTCCATGCACGACTTTGCACTGTAGTCCGTCATATGAATTACGAATGATGTTAACAGTTTTCTCAGGTTCACCATAGTGTTGGAAAAGTTTCCAAAAGGTTCTCCTGTTCACTCTATCAAGTACTTTCTCATAGTTAAGGAAGTTGAAGTTTAGTGATAAGTTCCATTCAATTTAATGTTCAACATTCATCCGTATTGATGCAGTTTGGTTTGTGCACGACTGATCCTAACGGAATCATCCTGTTGATCTCGAATTTGGGTGTTTACTGAATCATTCATTCGGTTTAAGAACCCTCTGTTGAAAACGTTTCTTGTTACCGATAGTAGTGTATTGCCTCTGTAGTTCTCACACTTGCTCAGATCACGTGTGTTTGGTAACTTGATGAGGCATTCTTCTTTTCAATCTGTTGGCACTGTTCCTTCCTCTCAAATCTTTCTGCATGGAAGGTGGAGCATCTTTGAAGGTACTCCTATTCAAAGTGTTCTACCCATCTGTTCCTGTGTTCTTGAATTTGAATGATTATCTCCCCTCATTTTGTGTTTGAATGATCGCTTTGCTTTACTATATGCCCTTCCAGTTTCTTCGTTATGTCATACAGTTGTCTCATATTTACTTCTGTTGCAGTCTTTTGCTTTGTCATTGCTAGATCTTCTGTATATTTCTGCTTTCGGATCTTGATGCTCTTCATAATCCTTTTTGGTCTATGTATTGATTTTCTCTGTTATTGCCTGACTGATGTTGATTGCTGCTTTCTCGTTCTTCCTTTCTTGAGTCTTGTCCAGGGTTTTGTAAGAGATCCATTGCTTATATTGGTACCTTTTGCGGCTCAGAACCTTCCGGGAAGTTGAAGTTAGTGCTTCTTTGATCCATTTCGGTTGTTCTCGATAGTAGGTTCTACTACTTTCAGTAGATCCTGTAAAGCTTGGAACTTGATAAGCAGACCATGGTTTTTATCAAAACACTCCACAATATTTATTACTGAATTCTTTATTTGACTCTCCAGTCAAGTAATCAATTTTCTACATCCTTAAATCACTTTTGATGATTTTTAGGAATGAATCTATCGGTGTACTGTTTGGTTTTGGACTTATAATTTCTAGTATCGCGTCCACATTTGGCATATCTTATGCGAATGATTATTTACCTGGTCTTCTATCAACGTAAGCTAATGAATGTTATAACTTATTTACTCAATTCTTCCATACATCACTAAGGTTGTGTAGACGTGTACAAATTGAAAATCACTGTTGTACAAAAATATCTGTACGATTTTATTGAGTAGGCTTCATTATACTGACTAATAGATGACAATATCAAATAATCACTTTCAAATACTGATAGCATTACGACTATCGATCGTAGATGGAAAATAAATTGATTTCAGCTGGATAGAGCATTGATCACGATCTTGGCAGCGACCTTCCTCAAATGTTCGAGTGTATGACTTATTTCAGTCACTTGCAAAAATAATTCGAAAACTATTGAATTAGAAAGGATTTGAAAGATATTTGTTACAATTCTTTAATTCTCTGGAACTTGTGGCGAACCTGAACACATTGATAAAATAAGAACAGATTGATTAACTAGTTCATCAAATAATTGGTTATAAGATACGTTTCAGACGTGTGAACTAGTATCATTGCATGGTCGTGCAAACCGAACTATGTATGGCAGGACACGAACGTAGGATTTTGTGTCGGGATTGCGATCGCCGAAACTACAAAGCCATCGCTTGATTAAATCAAGTGAATGCAATGTTTCGTTTTAAAAAAGAAACGTACAGTAGAGAAGACATTGCACGACGTTAGGTAGTTCGATCAATCAATTGGACTCTCGTGTATCTGAATCTTTCATGTAAGTTATCACTTTTGAGTAAAGCGTATCTCCAATGATGAGTCGGTGCTTGTCAACATACTCAATATAATTCGATAAGCAGCAGAGATTAGACAATCATGAAATTGGTTGCCACTCAGTGATGAATCAATTCACAACTTAGATTATTAAGGAGACATTCCTGGGAGTCAGAAGCAGTTTTGAATTTGTTAAAAGTTATCAGTATTTGATATCTGTCATACTGTCAAGTCACAAAAGGATTTCTGCGATTATTATTGCTCAAAACAATTGGATAATACGTGAATTTGGTGAACAACCGATTTCGTAGTTACATCGTGTTTAATCCAACTAGTATGTGATTTATAAAAGTAATGTAAATGTGTGGAGTTTTTTAGTAGTAGACCAGTGGGAGATGTCAGGTTGTATTTGATGGTTTGTAGAGTTGGGAAACAAGGTAGCTCTAAAGAATATGGATTAAAATCAATTGATATAAGCTACCGGTTGTGATGTGGTTACATTGGATACTGAAGGGGCTACTGTTGAGGAAAATAAGTAACATCATTGTTTATTTATAAGTCGGTGAACGAATCCTGTATGCTCACTCGGTTGCAGATGTAGATATTGTCATCTCTCAAATAATCATGAATACTTTTCTTCGAGTGAACTAGCTAGAATATATCAACACTAGAAAATTCTGGCTTATTAAACTGCACTAAAATAAGGTAATTTTGAATATTGAAGTAATATTGATAAAAAAAGTCTTGAGATAACTTACGTCTACTTTTTTGTTTAGTCCGTGATATCTGCTTCTGATTGTTCTATCTAGCTCATCATTCACAACTATTTACATAAAACCGTATACACGTTGGAGTACATATGCTATTGGCCTTTTATGCGGCTGGTTCCTAGAAAAACACATCAATATTTTGAATGTAAGTTCTTCAACTAAATGAGATTGATGGATTCAACCATTTGTGTTTACAACTTCTGTCAATCTTTTAATGTGTGTTAGTTTATTTAAATTAGCCTTTATCGGAAGGAGTGTTATTTTTTACAGGGATATATCACTATCACTCTTTTAACTGAGACTATCCCAAACAGTCTATTAATTCTAAGTTTGTTAATTGCTCAATCTGCTTGATTTGTCTTCATTTTGACTGAATTATAAATACATTACTTAACGGGAAAGATCAATAGATGTTATGGATTACACAACTTCAAGTCTTGAGCAAAATGTTTGGTATTTGTGGTGTGTGGTTAACACCGTATTCAAGGATATTTATTTCATTCTACTTGGATTTCGTTAGTTAGATTTATATACATTTCACTATTGATATTTATTGTTAAACACTGTCCCGAAATATTACAATGCTTACAACTATAGTCATTAGGTAGATTTCGATTTGAGATGAACGGATATCATTATAGAGACTGATAAAATGTAGTTCTGCGAATCAACGATGACTAATTAAAATACCTTACACATGAAATATGTAGTAATTCAGGAAGTTTTAGACTTTACCAGTCATTGGAATTTATCATTGAGTTTAATTACTGTATGATTTAGGTTCTCTTTCATTTTAGGTTATTTGCTCTGTGTAAATTTTTCATAGGTATTTAGAGATTAAGTATACTGTTGTGACGTGAGTGACTGCAGATTATGGAGCAGCGTATTTATCGATCGATTCAATGACACAGAAAACACGTACGGACAGCCTAGAGTCTCGATTGGCCCCGCTCCCCTGTCTAGGCCAGCCAGTTGAGTCCAGAACGCAAGTCTTAGCCTCCGAGATATGAATCATTATACCTCAGATATACTCTGTTTATATTACCAACCAAACAAACCACATGGTACCATAAAATAGAAAAACAACATTTGTACGATATTTAACGAGTGAAACAAATATTGACCAATAGGGAGTGTACATTAAAGTCCAAGGCCACCATTAGACTTAACATGACAATTATTGATATATGTTTCTGCACATCCTAACATATACACTTAAATGTATATCACAGACTGACTTCAACTACTATTAGACTTTTCATCTGTGTTCATCGAATATTCGTTCATAGTTCGAATTTAGGGTCTTTTGGTTGTTTGTCAATCAGTAATCATCAGAACAGTAAGTTGATATCCAGTATATTAGTTCTTTCTTATTACAATCAATTTGTCTATTAAATTCTGTGGAAAATTTACTGACTCAACAAATCAACACTAAAATTAAAAATTGATTTGTGGACGAGAATGATAGTGATTGGCTGTCTGCTTAGTCAGATATGTAGATAGTCTGACACGTGTCAGATGAGTTATATATTCCGCTATCCTTATTATTATTACTTACTCACTTATTATTGATTGTTCATTGTTGTTAGATTGTGTCGGGTTTTGGTGTGGAAATATATTTACGTTGTGGTTAGGCTAATCACGTGTTCTTGATCTGAGTTGTGTTGACGTCCTGTAGAATAGGCACTGGGAGAGAATCTAGTGTAGATATTCGTCTAAAGTAAATTAGCGTCCTATATGTGCATACGTGTGTAAACGTGGAAACCCAACCATTATAACATTAGATGAAGTAAAACACAAGTGTTATAACAAAAATAATCAATATACATTTTTCATAATCTAACATATAAATGAATGTATCCGTTTTGAAAGGATATTGGTTGATTATCTGTAATGTTGAAGATGATAATATTCTATTACCTGGTCTCATTCAATAACTTGTAGTTCATAACATATATGACATTAGACTATTTTGTTGAAGCAGAACTTGAAAGGAAGTTTATAATATTTACTATGTTTTCACTAATTACTGCAATCTGTATAAATAAACAAAACACTATGGGTTTTCAGCTATTAATTTATATGCTCACTAATAAAAAAGTTTCAGTTTGAAAATGATTACCATTACATTATTTATGCATCACTACATTGATAATCAATCATATAATCAATCATACTTTTGTTTGTATATACATAGTAAACTGTGGATATTATTGACAAAATGGATTGGGAAGCCGAGACCTTCGGCCTCAGGCATGAATGGTCACTCAGAGTTGAAATATTAGATTTAAATAGGTTAAGCGTTCTTAACTTATAAAGACTAGCATCATTTATACTAGATTTTTTGTACGTTTACAAAGAGAAATCGTTTTACAAATATTTCCCATCTTGTTTCAGTAGACATTTTAATGTTTTATCAATATAGACTTAGTGGTACTCTTATATAGATCACAAACACGTTGCCAAGTATATGACGACTTCAGTGTTTATCTTAAGGACCTTTCATTATATTTTAGAATGTGAATACAAAAACGAAGGTTTTGATTGGTGTGATTGGTGTATGCCTGTCATCAATATTCTGTGTATCTACTGTCTACGGATTGTATGGACTACTAAGTGGAAAGGTCGAACCATTCACAACGTTTGGAGCTGCAACTTATACAGCATTCCATCGACCTATTTTTATTCTCGGTATTGCAATCGTTGTATCGATGTGTGCTCTTGGTTGTGGTGGTAAGTCAGAGTGTGAATTATACTATATGATTCTATATTACTCATCGTTTCTCAACTCAGTGTTCTAAAACATAGAATGTTAAGATAAAGTTTAACTATGATATCCACATGAGATTGAGAATACCTGGTGTACTGGTCCGACAGTTGACCTTGTCAACGCACTGATAACCCAATTTGTAGGAAACCGTGGTAAATAACGTTGCGGTAATGGAATTCATATTTCGAATTAGGTGTGCACTAAGCATTGTTTGAGTATAATGAAATCAGTAAGAGAGGAATCGGTAGGTCTGATTGTAAACCCTCACTGGATGTTTCAATGTCGAGACTTGTTGCAAAGGTCCAGAAGAGCTGTGCTGAAGAGCATAGGTGTTTGTTATTGAAGAACGTAAACGACAGTAAGATAAACTTTCCTGAATTATTCTGTGTTAATTGGACATGCTTTAGTAAAGCATTTGGTGTGGTTAGTATTTTACATTTACTGATTGTGTGATGTGCTTTAACGTGTACTCTTCCAGTGAGCAGAAAACGTGAGACTATATGGACCAGATGAAATAATCCGATATTATTATCATATTTCATAAAGTTTGACTTCATGACAAATATACAGTGTCACATTAGTTTGGACGAATCTAAATCTCTTTTTCTACCATTCCATGCTTACACAGGTCCAATTCGCTGGATTCTCACATTGTCTGTATTCCGTGTTCCTTCACGGTTGACATATACAGCTTATCTTGTACATCCGATAGTGGTTCTATTCATCGCTTTAGGAAGTCAGAACCCAATACTGCTGGATGACCTGCATTTGGTGAGTCCTGTACTGAGTTATAAAATGTAATTGAATGTTTTGAAGAGGATTTATCGAGTATTCTATAATTCAGGCTGGTTACTGATACATCTTTATAACAACTGACTAGCTTGAGTTTTGAAATGTAACAATTTGATGTTGTTTTGAATAGTTTTGTTTTGAAGTAGAGATCTGTTTGAGATACTGCAGGAAATTGATCAGAACTTCTTATAGTGATATTCAGCACTACCTTTCAATGACCAACATCTTGCATTGATAGTCGTTACACACATTGAAGTTAATAATCCACATATTTGATATTTTAATGGGAATTCTCATGGTTGTTCTGATGGAATTGATTCAGCAGTTAATTTGTCAAACAGATATTACTGGTCTTTTATGTTCTATAAAATAAATCACAACTCGTAACATTTCCACCTTCTGGAGTTTGCGGTTCAATTAATTGTAGAGAATTGAATATATTGGATGAGATGTATGTCATAACAATTTACTAAGAATCAAACTGTGAACTGTTCAGTCAGTCAGTCAATCAGCTACAACGTAGGACCAGGCACATATATGCATCGGTCCAAGTTGCCATACCTCATTAACAACTCGTAACATTTCCACCTTCTGGAGTTTGCGGTTCAATTAATTGTAGAGAATTGACTTACGTTTTTATTCGCTGGATTCTTCAATCAAATCTCACGTTTATATCATTCAATGTATTAACTCATTTCTTGTTTTTCATCCACAAATGTTCAAACGGTTTTCAAACTTGGGAGACTGTTGTAATAAGGTAGATAAACAAAAAATAGATGTTGAACAATATTTTAGTGTTTCGATTGTAATATGACAATGCAAACAATCTGGAAATATATGGATGCATACATATACATTCATGTTATATCCGAGCGATGTTTACATTACGAGTAACTTCTGAGACCTATTATTGAACTAATATTATCTGTATATTCTTGAGGTATAACTATTCAGTAATTAGATTGTGTATATTTATATTCCCCTTATTATAAGCATCGTTTTGACCTATAGATTTTTATTGTACGATTTACTGTTCTTAAATTATATTGAGTTTATTAATTACCGTCTCTCACGTTGACAGCCACTTTTTGGCTTTTTTGTGTATGAATGTTATTTTTTATTTTTTCGGTGCGTTACGGTCTGTTTGTTTGGTATATTAACCCATTATGTCTGAAATAAATGATTCGCATAGTGGAGGCCGTTGTTGGCATGCTGGAGTCAGCTGGACGGGGTAGGTGAGCAACGGACCAATAGGATGCTAGGCTGATCAGACCGGTCGGACGTGATTGGTTTAGTACAGTATAAGAGCGAATGAGTCGTATTTTGATTGGCAACTAGATTTCATGATAACTAGCGTGCCATACCATGAAGACACAACAATTCAAACAATCAATACAAACATGAATATATATATATATATATATATATATATATATATATATATTTGTTTATACGGTTTAGTACAAATACAACTGACTGTTTTAATCTCTCTCCTTCCAGATAGTTATGTTCTTTGCCGTTCTACCAATTACTTATTGCTTGGCATACTTGGTCACACTGGCAACTGAGTCACCAGTAATAGCTATGACACATAGTTCTGGAGGGAAAAAGCCTTTGTCATCAGAAAGTTCCATGTAAACGAAAACAATTGATCATGAGTAAAATCTAGTCAAATTTAAGTTTCACTACTTGTCTTTCTTGAAGTTATCAATTTGTATACCAATGTAAAGCTATGGAATTTTGCTTAGCTTTTTTTTTCATTATTCTTGATTTTTGTATCCATGCTAAATAAAGTTTAAAAATTGCTTTTTTGTTTGAATACGATAATAAATTACTTTTTAATATTATCTAGTAATTTTGAAATTGATCTTTGTAAATTAACGGAAATAGTTTTCTTCTAATTGTATTTTAGTTTTACTTTATATTTGATCTTATTATTTTTATATTTAAACATTTGTGATGTAATAGTTTTATTAGATTATGCTTAAATGATGTATGGCTTCATTTCTTTGAAATCATAATATAAATATGATTTGCTGACTATACTTTAGATTTTCTATTCTCATTGTCCCAAGCACTAAGGAAAATGCTTTTGCACACTTTCCCTTTTGTTCTCCTCAAATCAGTCCAACAATATTGATAGTTTAAAGAAATATTTTACTGATTATTATTATTTTTTATTAGTACGGAGACTTGTGGAGATTGTAGTATTTTCACATGAGGTGATGTAAGCAAAACCACCATTAGAAACCTGAAACTGAAAGTCAATAATTTGAATGATGTTAAACATTGTGATTACAGTATGATTGAGTAATCCCACTATTGCTACCTACTTCCAATTCATGTTGTTTCCAATATAGTTTCCGTCATGAGAAGACCTCAATAATACAGTAGCAAATTTTGAGCAGGCGGAATTTTCAACAGTTCAGATCGTAAGTCAATTGAAGCTAGACCACAATGGAAAAACCGGGGGCACTGGACGGCCGCTTCGTCCTATTGATGGACTACTCAGCAGTGCGCATCCATGTCATTTGTGATTCTCAGTAACATCGGAATCGGAAACCGTGCTTTAAGCGTGTGTGCTGTAGAACTGATAGTAAAGCTTACAAAAGAAACCCCAGTCATTCCCAAAGAAAAAGGTAAGAGTAATAATTTTTTAAGGCTGTTTCCCCAGAGCAGCTTCATCAAAATCCAGATGTATAGCATTTATGTTTTCCAAGGAGATAGATGGATATTGGACTTCAATCTGTGGAAACGTGGAAACCACAAGCATAAATGCAATGCGCTGTCATAATAGTTATTTGGTGAGGAAGCCAACATAATAGGAGTTCGAGTCCTTCAGGCCTCTACTAATTCCAGCACTGCTGCATTTAATGTTGCATTAAGTATACACTTCATTTTGTAAGCGTCTGTGTCCACAGCATGTGTTTACTTCATGAAGCATTTTCTCAAGCAAACGTCCCAGATAAACAATGTAAATAAATAAAATGACGGAAATTATGAAAAGCCTTGAACTTGTATACTTTCGGTCACAGCATGTCATGTGTATAAACCAGATAAAGGTAATGAGTTGCAATATTATTTATTCACAATCAGGAGTAAAAGGAACCTGATGAATTGTTAACTTGATATTTTCTGTTTACAACAAACAATGAATGCTTATTTCTTCAAATCGTTGCACTCTCCATGAATTTCATGACAATACCGATTTGTTTAGCCTTTCCCATTCAATAAGCGTTTGTAATGGTTAGTTAGTTATTGTATTTCTTCAAACGAACAACAGGTAGCAGAAACCTTGCGGGGTTGGAACAGGAGTTTGTTATTTCAATAAATTCGGGATAAATAAGTGACATAGATAAAAACTTAGACGAAGATACTCACTACTATGGAATATATGACGAATGCCAACAAAACAGTAACGAAACATGCTATGCATCCAAAACCGGAAATTTCTATATCACTGCAAACTAATATTTTTATGAAGTCAGTATACCGAATTCTCTCTCAGAGACGCATGGCGGCCGGTCAAGATCTTTAACAAAGCTTTAACAAAACTTAAAACTGATGACAGTGTTTTAATTACGAAACCAGACGAAGGTTAAGGTGTATTACTCCTAAACTCATTGGAAAAGATCAGAAACAAGGTTTTATTTTAGGAGAAAGTGCTCGAAATGTTGAAACATATGGGAACGATAACACCAATGCTACATGATCCACCAAAAGTACATAATAGTAGCTTGCTCTCTCAACCCGTTTTAGATATAAATAATTCAGCCTATCATAATATGGCAAAATGTTTAGTACAGATTATCAAACATTTGCACGAAAAAAATTGTGAAAGATAATGTCAAGGACTCCTATGGATTTGTAGATAATACAAAAATCTGTCGGTCAGAAATGACATCATGATATCACTAAATGTATCGTCCTAGTACAAGAATATTCTCCTACTGTAAATCGGGTTTTATTTCCAGTGAACTAAAAGAGAATGGTATAGAAGCCCTGATTCCTGTATCCGCAATAAAACAGTTAATTCTTAAGTGAATCATAAACGTCCACTTCAGATTTAACAATGAATACCATAAACAATTTTATGGCACAGTCATTGTGCCCTCTCCAGACGTTTATCTTTCAAAATTGCGAAGCGGATCACTTAAAGGCAATCAGTCATCTAACATATTATTGTTGCTATATATATCAATGAACTACAAATAATGCTGAGCTATCATAAACGTTTGCAAGACAATTTATGACCTACATTTGTACATTACTTCATGTATTTTCTTAGTTAATTAGTTCTATGACAGGAACATTTATTCGTGTATTCAACTAAGAAGTATCAAGTTTATTTGAAACTAAAGTTGAAACTCTGTTCTTCGTATAAGTATCAATACCAAGATTAAACTTGATAGTTTCAAATAAATTAAGCAATAGGTAGAGTCACTAATAAATATAATTTTTGTTATATCCCAATAAGTTGAAAAATTCTATTTCTGATTGTTAAACCTGTGTTAATTTAATTTCGGTTATTTATTTACTCTGAAGAAGTGGGCTACATTAAGTTTCGAAACGTCAGAAATACCATTTTTCTACTCATTGGAATATAACAAAAAATATATTATGTTTTTTGTATGTTATTTATTTAAATGGATATTACGATTTGAGAGGTTGTCAAATTCGTTTATCATTCAAACTGGCTATTGGTTTATAAATTTCAGTTTATATTATCAATAAAACTATTTTTCTATTAATGATAAGTTTAATGACAGGTTTTATTAATGTACAATCTTTACATGAAACAATCCCAATTGATGATAATCAAACAAAGCTGTACTTTTAAATCAGCAATATAATTACAATAACAATGGTGCTTTGAAATGTACTTGACATTTTACTTACAAATGAGTAATGACCAGATAACTTTTTTTTCAATTCTACTTCAAAGTAATAACTACTGGAACTAATCTATCTGAATAGTGATACTTGTGATAATGATTGTTTGTCACACTATATGATGAATTTGCTGAAATCTAAATTAAATAACATGTGGCATTAATTCAATGGTCTTAAGTGTAATGAGCCTGATATAAAACGTCTTTTGAACAAAATTCGTCCTAGAGCTTTGAACTATACATCATTATTCCGAATGTTACTTAGCTTTTAATCATTTACTTCCTGAAGTCAATCTATTATGTAAATCGACTCAAAATATTAAACTTTTGTTTTAAGGAAATGGATTCATAACTTGAATATTATCTATAACGTTTCAACTTCGGATTATAGAGGTATATTGTTTTTAGTGTGTAACGAGATGGTACAACCTGAGTATATTACCTCAATCTTAGATATATATTTAAACCGATACTGTAAGCCAGATACACACTCTCTAAATCATGTATTTGTAATAAAGAGTAGCTTACTCATTTCTGATAACTGGTGATTTATTCAAGTTATAACGTAAAAGTTTCGTCTAAATAAGTACATTTAGTCAAATCAATGCAGTAATTTCTGCGGTTACAGAATTTAATTATTTAAGGCTCAAACTGTTCACCTCTATTTATCTACAAACTTATATCAACAATCTCTATTATGAGTCAGTTGAAGCTAGACCACCATTGAAAACCTGGAAGCACTGGACGGCCGTTTCGTCCTGGTATGGGACTCCTCGGCAGTGCGCATCCACGATCCCGCACCACGCGGGGATCGAACCCAGGACCTACTGGCTTCGCGCGCGAGCACTTAACCATTAGACCACTGAGCCGGCATCCAACGGTGTTAATGGCTAACTTCAACCAATCCACGAAGTTGCGCCACCGTACACCATTGTCTTCAGTGAGTTGTTATCTCACAACAGACTGGTTGAACTCCACTGGTAACGGCTTCTCACTAGAACTCCAGGAGCTTTTCTTGAAGTCAGTCACTAGTGAGCAGTTGATTATTATTATCAGAATGGGTTTTGTGGAGAATTTACGAAATTTCACAGGTTTTTAAATCATGAGTCAGTTGAAGCTAGACCACCATTGAAAACCTGGAAGCACTGGACGGCCGTTTCGTCCTGGTATGGGACTCCTCAGCAGTGCGCATCCACGATCCCGCACCAGGTTTTCAATGGTGGTCTAGCTTCAACTGACTCATGATTTAAAAACCTGTGAAATTTCGTAAATTCTCCACAAAACCCATTCTGATAAAAATCTCTATTACATTATTTCTTATGTGATTTACATCAAGTGACCGTACATATTCCATGGATTCAGATATATCCACTGAAATTAATGTTCTTCGAACAATATCATAATTAGCACATTGAAAACCAAAGTACTTAATAATATCAACTCAACATTACCTGTAAAATGTCATGAAAATTCTAAGATATTTCTGTTATATCTCGATAAGAATAATAAATGTTAACTGTTGGAATCTATTTCTGGACTAATGCTACACAAACATTTTTATTGTATAATTGTTAATTAGCTAAGTCATTCATATTCGTGTACCTCTTAGCATAAGCTTTATTTTGACCTATAAATTATTATAATACAATTCACCATTGTTCAATTATACCCACTTTATCAATTAATGTCTTCCTCACTCACAGCCACATTTGGTTAAATCTTGTACAAATGTTATTTCCTATTTTATGGTACGATGCGATCTGTCTGGTTTGTATAGAAACCCAGTATGTTTGAAATACATGATTCACATCGCAGAGGTTGGGATTTATGTTCTGATCTTAACAGGCAGGGATAGGCTTGAAGCAGGATCGATAAATACTCTAGACTACTCGTACGTGTTTTATGCGTTACTGGTCCGGTCGATTAATCTTTGTTCCCTAATTAACGGTATCATTACGTTATACATTAACAGGGCAGAAATTATGACAATTTCATTATGTACATTGTTATTATTATGATATCAATCAACTGAAAACAGCTGTGTGCTTTATGAAACCAAGTTTACCTTAGATATATTCTCTTCTAGAAGCATATTCGATGTTTTCTCTGATATCCTCTGCTTTCATGTTTGTCTAGTAAATCGTAGTTTGACATACGTTTTTGGATCGTATCCCTTTATTATTTAAATTTAATAAACTAATTTTTGTAATTAAAATAGCAACTCAGAAAGGTACTCTTATACTTATTGAAACGACCGTTGAAGCATAGAACAAAATCTCTCCTTTCAAGTCAGTATTGATAATATGTAATTTTATCTGTTCGAAACAAATTAGATCTTAATTTTTAGGAGTTGATGACGAATTTAATTTAATTTTACGTAATGCTTCAAGAGACATCTCCAATAAGTCTGTGTTATAGGTTCAAGACAATCATTTTGACTAGACTTCTGTTCATACTGTTAATTCTGTAAATATCGATTTCATTTCCTACATACACGTTAGCTGTACATTGAAGTACATGTGTGATGAAGGCTACTTATATTATTAAATATAAGTAGTATGTGACCGGTCAGATTGAACTGAAGAAAATAAAAAAAGAATTGTAAAGTGGAAGAATCATATAAGATGTAAAGAACAATTGATGGGAGATTTGCCAATGAATTACTGAATGTATGGTTTTCACATATTACCGAAGAACTCTGTAATTTTGTGTTAATTAATAAAGTGATTGATTTCATTAAGTCTTCGTTCAATACACATGTCTAATAAAAAACGAGTTTCATATTTTGACATATAACGAATGTTAAAAAAACGAAGATGAGAAAAGGTATCTCTTCTCAACGAATTTATTATATACTATACATGGAAATTTTTTATTAAAGTACAAGTTACGTGAGGATCTATGAACAAGGAATTAACTCGATGATGTAATAGAATGATCATAATCCTAAATTACGTAGTATGAGTTATCGCAATAAAAGATTGTGTGTGAAACAAGAAATCCTTGAAAGATTGATCAATTAGCAACGGACTGTTATGTGAATAAGGCAAGAGAATTAGAATGTTTTTGTTACAATTTTTAAAGGTAATGGAGGGGTTAAAATGAAGTGATTTCAGGTACAATTAATGAATATAATCAAGAGGACATGAAACGGAAACAAAGAGAGATAGAGTTATATATTCCAATATGAAACATAACAATAGTGGTAATAATAATTAAAGTTTGAGGCTAATGTAGAGATGAGAATAATACGTACTTCTTTTGTATGCATATTATTGCCTACATCTCATGAATGGCAACAGCATCGGTTGCTTTAATGAATTGGATTCGAAGAAATCTAAGTAGATTTGGATCAATTGTATTAACAACCATAAAATTAACCTGTGAATCGTTTGAGTGATTTGAATCAACTAAATGTCCAAGAATGCAACTTCTAACTGAATTCCTTACACTCTTGTAGAATCACACTGGTACATGTTCTCGTGTCCGAGTTAAAAGCAAGCGGTGGCTACGGCCTATATATCTTGATCCATAAAATCAAGTGAACTGGTAGATGCACGTGGAAGTGACCAGACAAGGAAGCTTACATTTGACGGATAAAGAAAAAAGGTTCCTACTAGTGAACGTTATTTGCAGATTTGCTGTTTAGAATGTAGTTTTTATCGACTTTTAATTACATCAATTGATTGTATGTAATGAATAGATATGATGATATAAAGTCAATATCGTAGGGTTATTCAAGCAAACTATATTAATCAGGTTTTATTAGTAATATGATATAAATTACTAATATTCGAATGCTTGAATTTCAAATTCTACAAATGAACAATCATAGATTTTCGTCACAGTGAATAATATGTTGTTTATTTTCAAGTGTTTTAAGTAAAATCTAAAAATTAGGGATGTGTTTAGCTTGGATACATAAAAGGAATTAGATGAACATTATATATACATTTATTTGCGATACCATTTAGGGTAATAATAGGACCAAGTAAGAACAATTTACACTCTTAACAGGTACATTTACTGTGTTTACTGCTTTAAAGTTTACATTAATGAGCATAGTAATCAGTCATTAATTGATTGTTTTAAATGATTTTTACTTCAAGGAAAATCTATTATTTCATTTGAATATTTACTAAAAGCGTGCTTTCAAATACTATTAAATTAGATATAACACATATATGTTTTATGCTTCATGACCGTGTAACGGTTCAGTTCTTCCATTCAATGTGACTTTTGTTACATTAATTTAATGTAAATATGAAGTTAGTTCACTGAAATTTAAATTGCCGTTTCTTAATTATTTGAATAATGGTAAAATATCTGTTGAACCTAATTCCATTGATAACCTGAATAAATTCACTGATAATCATGCGGTAACTTAAACTTTATTCTCTACTTTGTAGAAATGATTACAGATAAACTATTGCTCTACAAAAATATAAACTAATTACGCAACCATTCATCAGATATCACTAATGTTCAACAGTAAAATTACACCAACACAGTTAGCGGAATATTACTAAAGCTGACACTTCCACTATCCACTTCACTCTGAATCAAACAAAATTATCATAGACACTATGTATTTCCAGTTCAGATCGTATGAAATCCAGTAGTAGAACAATCGATCATCACTAGAAACACAAATATAAAAGTTAATCAATTCATGACTTTCTCCAGCTTTATCGTATATAAGCATATTACAAATCACTTTTTGCTTCACGTAAAGACCTCTTTCGTAATTCAACAAAATATTGATTATAAAATAAATTCTTATAAAGAAAACTCGTTCTTTTATCTACAGTTATCTAATCATATTAATGTCATATAAAATGACTGGAATCTTAAATAATAAGAGACCAGTTTTTTAGAAATCAATACCTAATAATAATTATAGTTGATTGACTTTAGAATGTGCGATTATGAAATTGTTTCCATGACATTTGTTCATTGTATTTCTTTTAAGTATCAGTAGTGTTTACATTCACCCAGAATTACAAGTAGCCCTATGAATATTGAAATCATCTAATTGCTTATAATGTCATTGATATATACACTCATCATATACAGAATAGAATCATGATCAGCAAATTAAGTTCTACATTTCATTCAAAGAGAACCCAATCATAAACAGTTTGAATAATCTGACATGTTAAAATATTTATTCGAACTAAATCGCAAGGATTTAAATATTGAATTGAAGAAGAAATGAAATAAAAAACAATAGGGATTGAATGAAATTTCAGGTTGTTAAATTACAAGGGTAACTTAAAAATTACTACATAATATCACAGAACGTCTTATTATCAGATTCGAAATTATTCACTAATATGGTACTATTTCGACTATAAAAATGGAAAATAGCAAAAAATACTATGTAAAACTCCATAGCTTTATAATAGTATACAACACATTGATAACTTCAAGAAAGACAAGTAGTGAAACTTGATTTGACTAGATTTTACTCATGATCAATTGTTTTCGTTTACATGGAACTTTCTGATGACAAAGGCTTTTTCCCTCCAGAACTATGTGTCATAGCTATTACTGGTGACTCAGTTGCCAGTGTGACCAAGTATGCCAAGCAATAAGTAATTGGTAGAACGGCAAAGAACATAACTATCTGGAAGGAGAGAGATTAAAACAGTCAGTTGTATTTGTACTAAACCGTATAAACAAATATATATATATATATATTCATGTTTGTATTGATTGATTGAATTGTTGTGTCTTCATGGTATGGCACGCTAGTTATCATGAAATCTAGTTGCCAATCAAATACGACTTATTCGCTCTTATACTGTACTAAACCAATCACGTCCGACCGGTCTGATCAGCCTATTGTCCAATTGGTTATTCTGGGTAATGCACTATTTCAACTGTTGAATTGCCATTCCGTTCGTTTATTCTTGCAGAGGCTGATTCTAGGTTTTGGTTTCATTTGTTCTATAGGTATTCTAATCTTTCTTTCAAAAATTGCTTTTGCTGGACTTTCTTGATTATTTGTTTCTTTGCTGGGTTGGGTGTTGCACGGTATTTTAGTAAAAATCTTTGAATAATATCTTCTATTTCTCTTTCTCCTTCGACTTTAAGCAGTGCCATTTTAAACGTGTCCAAGAACCTCTCGACTAAACCGTTAGACTACGGATGGTATGGAGGTGTCTTCATATGCCTAACGGCATTGGCGATGCAGAACATCGAAAATTCAACAGAGGTAAACTGTGATCCATTATCTGACACCAATATATCTGGACACACAACGCAGCTGAATACTTGTCTCAGTTTTTCGATAGTAGCTTTTGTCGAAACAGACTTCAAGTAGTGGACCTCTGGCCATTTTGAGAAGGCATCAACGATCAACAAGTACTGTTTCCCGTTTATGGGACCGGCGAAATCCACAGGCACTCTCGACCACGGATTTGTCAGTGCTCCCCAACTCTGTATTTCTGCCTTGCGAGAGGCTTTAGTGGCTTTCGCACACGCCAAACATCTCGCAACATATTCTTCGATCTGAGCATCAATATTCGGCCAATATACATAGCCACTTGCAAGTGCCTTCATCCGTGCTACCCTTGAGTGCGCAGCATGCAGTTCTAACATCATCTTTCAACATAATTTTGTTGGTACAACTACTGGATTTCCAAACATCAGACACCCGTCCATTAATAATAGGGGATTTCGTCGATGAGTATATTGTCTAATGTTCTTGTTGCCTATATGAACAGGTCAACCATGTTCAATGTAACTAATGATCCGCTTCAGCTCGTCATCTTCAGCGGATAATGGTGGTGCTTTTATAGCAACTTGTAGAATTCGGTGAATGTCCTCTTCCAACGATACATATAGGGTACAAACATACTATGATATCCAATCATCCCTAAAAATAAATGAAGGGTTATAACCTCAGTTGACCTGGGCATACTTTCGATAACATTTATATTGCCTGGATCTGGCCGGCGACCATCTTTATCAAATATTTATCCAAGGTATTTAACAGCATTCAGCATAAATTCACACTTTTCTTTTTGCAACTGAAAACCACATTGCGATATTTTAGTGAGCACCACGTCCAACCGACTCATTAGTTCTTGAGCAGAAGATCCAGCGACGATAATGTCATCCAAGTAAACTGCTACTCCTTCGGAGTTAGACAACATAGCATCCATTATCTGCTGGAAAATTGCTGGAGCTGGCTTTACGCCAAACGGTAAACGGTTAAACTGATACAGTTCACGGTAAGTATTAATAGTTAATAACTCCTTCGAATCATTGTCAACTTCCACTCGTAAAACAGCTTCAGATAAATCAAGTTTATAAAAATAAAGTCCACCGTTTAGTTTAATAAATAGATCTTCTGGCAAAGGAAGTGGGTATGAATGATTTTGTAAAGCGTCATTTATTCCTGTTGAAAAGTCTGCGAAAAGGCGAACAGCCCCGTTCGCCTTTTGGATTACTACAATTGGTGCTGAATACTTAACAGGTTGCATAACACCGCTAGTTATTACGTAATCTATTCGCCGATCAAAATACGACGTATTCGCTCTTATATTGTACTAAACAAATGACGTCTGACCGGTCTGATCAGCGTAGCGTCCTATTGGTACCATTTTGAATATGCATTAACGAAGGTAGATAGATGGCAAGTATCATGTCATATAACAATACTATCATAATAATTCGATAGAAAATACACGAGAAAATATTACACTTTATTCGACCAACACCACATGTATATTGAGTGTGAACTACAAAACACAGGCAATTTGTTCCACTTGAAAGTACTTTATGGAGTTATTCATTTAAGAAATTAATGCAAATATGTGATTGGTTGGTGATTTACAAAGATCGACAGTGACCAACATCCACCCTTTACACCAATTCACCTTGAGTCAAATAAAACAATAAGAACTTAATTTGCTGACTTTAAAAGTTCACTGACCCGACCGTTGTTGCTACCTTGACGTGGTGGTCGGATTTGCCTATCGTGATGAAGCGACCGAGCTATACTGGCTGGAACAACCGTTCCTCAAGGTCCTACCATGTCAGACAGGTTGGTTGAAGAGCGGTAAGACTAAAAGCAACAAACCCAAAGTCCGAAGGCGAAGTCGTACTGCTGACTGTACAGAGGCGTGACAGCAGTAAGGTGTTTCCTTCAGACAACCGGCATGACAGCGATGCTGCCTTCCCACAAGGAGGGGTGGGGTTAGAAAAGGTCGTCCCTAAAAATGCACACCTCACTTTATCCCACGGATATCCGTCTCCGGCGGTAAGGTCTCAATAAGTACGGAGCTAACACAAAAATTACCCATAAAAAGGTCGTGTGTGACCAACCTCAAGCAGTTGTCCCTTGGGCACTGCGGTCACGCTCCCAGGCCACTAAGACCACCTCTAATCCAACTTCCTTTTCAGGTACCTCCAGAACTACCCCTCCACGGTGTGGGCAACCGGGAAGTGATAACCGCCCTCATACCTCTAACAGCGCTCAAGACCACTGTATTCATAATCAACCTCCGTCTTCGTTTCCTATTACTTCTCCTACATCGAATTTCACCCCTAAACTTCCTTTTTCGGCTTCCTCCTCAAATGTCACCATAACCAACGATTACAGTGCTCAAATCACTGTCCCAGGTCTTCTGAAACCTCGCTCCAAACTACACATTGGAGCCTTTAATGTACGCACCCCATGTCAAATCGGTCAACAGGCTTTCTTGGTTAAACTAATCCCTCTATGGTTGTCACAGGATGATTTTGACACTCTCTTACATATTGGGACGATAAGTGATTGTGACAAGTCAGATGGAATAACATCTAACTCCCAGATCTTAGCTAAAATATTAGTAAACATAACCGCTAAAATTGGACCACCATCCTTAAAGACTTCTGGAGCCAATCCATCTGGACCAGCTGCCCTTCCTCGTTTCAGATTAACTATAGCCTTTTGAACTTCTACTAGAGTTGGGGGACGTACTTCAATGTTCCATTCACACTGCCTGGGAATAGAGGGTAGTTGTAGAGTAGTTGAAGGTCAGCTGAACTGTTCTTTGAAATGTTCCGCCCATCGTTCTAAACTTCTGGACTGAGAACGAATGAGGGTGCCGTCTTTTTCCGAAATAGTCTGACTTACACTTGACTTATTAATTCCAGTTTCTTTTATTAGTCTGTAGAGCTGTCTTGTGTTCCCTATAGTCGCCGCTTTTTCCATCTCTTTTGCTTTCGCTGCCCACCACTGCATTGCACGTCGTGGTGATCGGTGTTCGGGCATACGTAACCCGTGGCCCAACCATCTCAGATTGACAACCTCATCGACTGATTTACCATCTTTCCCTAATACCCTAAGTCTATCCTCACTATTACTTACGCGGTGATCCCAGCAGACGCCAGCAATATTTCTGAAGTATCTGTGATCAGATACTAGTAGCTTACGAGTGTCTTCTACTCTTAATGGCCATGTTTCGGTACCGTAAGTCAAAACAAAACGGACTGCCGCGCAGTATACTCGTCCTTTTATTGAAAGACGGATATCTCGCCTTCGCCATAGGTGACGTAAGTTGGCTTGACTGCCGTAACCAATGGTTGGAGACTCTTGGTGACATGGCTCAGAATCGATCACAATGGTGTAGGTGTATACACTCTATCTCCCCTTAAACTAAGAGATTAAAATCGCTTCATATGTTTCTTTCTACGAACCAATTCTTTCTTCCTGTACTATATCCTTATTGCAATCTTTCTTTTATACATAACCACCTCTGAATTAATTACTTTTATGAATCCGGTGTCCATCTTGTTGTGTTAACGAGGTATGGCAACTTGGACCGATGCATATATGTGCCTGGTCCTATGTTGTAGCTGATTGACTGACTGACTGAACAGTTCACAGTTTGATTCTTAGTAAATTGTTATGACATACATCTCATCCAATATATTCAATTCTCTACAATTAATTGAACCGCAAACTCCAGAAGGTGGAAATGTTACGAGTTGTGATTTATTTTATAGAACATAAAAGACCAGTAATATCTGTTTGACAAATTAACTGCTGAATCAATTCCATCAGAACAACCATGAGAATTCCCATTAAAATATCAAATATGTGGATTATTAACTTCAATGTGTGTAACGACTATCAATGCAAGATGTTGGTCATTGAAAGGTAGTGCTGAATATCACTATAAGAAGTTCTGATCAATTTCCTGCAGTATCTCAAACAGATCTCTACTTCAAAACAAAACTATTCAAAACAACATCAAATTGTTACATTTCAAAACTCAAGCTAGTCAGTTGTTATAAAGATGTATCAGTAACCAGCCTGAATTATAGAATACTCGATAAATCCTCTTCAAAACATTCAATTACATTTTATAACTCAGTACAGGACTCACCAAATGCAGGTCATCCAGCAGTATTGGGTTCTGACTTCCTAAAGCGATGAATAGAACCACTATCGGATGTACAAGATAAGCTGTATATGTCAACCGTGAAGGAACACGGAATACAGACAATGTGAGAATCCAGCGAATTGGACCTGTGTAAGCATGGAATGGTAGAAAAAGAGATTTAGATTCGTCCAAACTAATGTGACACTGTATATTTGTCATGAAGTCAAACTTTATGAAATATGATAATAATATCGGATTATTTCATCTGGTCCATATAGTCTCACGTTTTCTGCTCACTGGAAGAGTACACGTTAAAGCACATCACACAATCAGTAAATGTAAAATACTAACCACACCAAATGCTTTACTAAAGCATGTCCAATTAACACAGAATAATTCTTACTGTCGTTTACGTTCTTCAATAACAAACACCTATGCTCTTCAGCACAGCTCTTCTGGACCTTTGCAACAAGTCTCGACATTGAAACATCCAGTGAGGGTTTACAATCAGACCTACCGATTCCTCTCTTACTGATTTCATTATACTCAAACAATGCTTAGTGCACACCTAATTCGAAATATGAATTCCATTACCGCAACGTTATTTACCACGGTTTCCTACAAATTGGGTTATCAGTGCGTTGACAAGGTCAACTGTCGGACCAGAACACCAGGTATTCTCAATCTCATGTGGATATCATAGTTAAACTTTATCTTAACATTCTATGTTTTAGAACACTGAGTTGAGAAACGATGAGTAATATAGAATCATATGGTATAATTCACACTCTGACTTACCACCACAACCAAGAGCACACATCGATACAACGATTGCAATACCGAGAATAAAAATAGGTCGATGGAATGCTGTATAAGTTGCAGCTCCAAACGTTGTGAATGGTTCGACCTTTCCACTTAGTAGTCCATACAATCCGTAGACAGTAGATACACAGAATATTGATGACAGGCATACACCAATCACACCAATCAAAACCTTCGTTTTTGTATTCACATTCTAAAAATATAATGAAATGTAGTTCATAAAGGCAATATAACGAATATTTATTTCAGTCAATGAATAATTAAGTAAACTGAGGAACAATTTGAGAAATAATTATTTAGATATTACTATTTGCAATCACATCCATGTTTTTGTAGAGGGATATCTGTGTTTCAGCCAGTCGTTAATTCTTTCGAAATAGAACGTGGCACATGTTTACATTGGTTGGAGTTACCACTTCTTATTTTCACTGAGGTTTGAAGTTTTCAGTGTAAATCTCAGAACATTCGAGGTGGTAACAGCATTAGCTCCGATGATATAATTCAAAATGAATATAAAGATGGGTGGAATGAAATTTAGACAATATTTATAAAATAATTTTGAAACTTGTTATCAAAGAAGACAAAGAGTGAATGCACCTGTGTTCATACTGAACTGTTGATAATCTAACTGACAAGTTGTATATAGGATGAAAGTAACGACCACAAACTACTAATCTTAAATATTTTGCTCAGTATTTCGAGTTACAAAATTCAGAGCAATTATTATTCATTTCTGTAAGTTCACACATTTTCATCTAAATCAAAATAAAATTATTGTTACCACTATTATTATTATTATTATTATTTTTATTTTTATTATGACTAATTTATAGACAGTGTCATAATCGAATTATTGCGTAACGCCACTATTAGATGAGTATTCTTTCATTGTCGTAAATCGTTTTCTGTTTAGCGTTTTTTACCGAGTTATTTTTCTACGGGATAAGGTCGAGAACCCCATTTCCAACCCTCCTCCTTTATCCGCGCAGTAGCCTCAGAGGGGATCCAGGTAGAGTTGTTGTAAATCAAACATATATAAATATTAGTGTAGAGCCAATGGTCAAACCGGTTAATAACTAGACTATACGAGTAAGTCTAATTAACGAGAGTGATAACCGTGTTGTTTCAAACCGAATTAACATCGCAGTGTAATAAAAACAGTCTTCCATCCATGAATAATTTACATAAACGAATAAAAATGGAAAATCTAGAGATTAAAACATTGACAGAAGTTGAAAATCCAGGGTGGTGTTCATTCATTTTATTCAGTCTAAAAACTTACTTCCAAAATAGTGAGATGTTTTTCGAGAAACCAGCCCAATAAAAGACCCATAGCATAAGTACTCCAACGTGTATACGGTTTTATGTAAATAGTTGTGAATGATGAACCAGATAAGTTAATTTACAGGAAATATTTATCAGGTCATTCAAAAATGTTTTCAATAAAACTCAACTGAAGACTTACATGATCTTTCCCGTTAAGTAATGTATTTATAATTCAGTCAAAATGAAGACAAATCAAGCAGATTGAGCAATTAACAAACTTAGAATTAATAGACTGTTTGGGATAGTCTCAGTTAAAAGAGTGATAGTGATATATCCCTGTAAAAAATAACACTCCTTCCGATAAAGGCTAATTTAAATAAACTAACACACATTAAAAGATTGACAGAAGTTGTAAACACAAATGGTTGAATCCATCAATCTCATTTAGTTGAAGAACTTACATTCAAAATATTGATGTGTTTTTCTAGGAACCAGCCGCATAAAAGGCCAATAGCATATGTACTCCAACGTGTATACGGTTTTATGTAAATAGTTGTGAATGATGAGCTAGATAGAACAATCAGAAGCAGATATCACGGACTAAACAAAAAAGTAGACGTAAGTTATCTCAAGACTTTTTTTATCAATATTACTTCAATATTCAAAATTACCTTATTTTAGTGCAGTTTAATAAGCCAGAATTTTCTAGTGTTGATATATTCTAGCTAGTTCACTCGAAGAAAAGTATTCATGATTATTTGAGAGATGACAATATCTACATCTGCAACCGAGTGAGCATACAGGATTCGTTCACCGACTTATAAATAAACAATGATGTTACTTATTTTCCTCAACAGTAGCCCCTTCAGTATCCAATGTAACCACATCACAACCGGTAGCTTATATCAATTGATTTTAATCCATATTCTTTAGAGCTACCTTGTTTCCCAACTCTACAAACCATCAAATACAACCTGACATCTCCCACTGGTCTACTACTAAAAAACTCCACACATTCACATTACTTTTATAAATCACATACTAGTTGGATTAAACACGATGTAACTACGAAATCGGTTGTTCACCAAATTCACGTATTCTCCAATTGTTTTGAGTATTACTAATCGCAGAAATCTTTTTGTGTCTTGACAGTATGACAGATATCAAATACTGATAACTTTTAACAAATTCAAAACTGCTTCTGACTCCCAGGAATGTCTCCTTAATAATCTAAGTTGTGAATTGACTCATCACTGAGTGGCAACCAATTTCATGATTGTCTAATCTCTGCTGCTTATCGAATTATATTGAGTAGGTTGCCAAGTACCGACTCATCATTCGAGATACGCTGTACTCAAGAGTGATAACTTACATGAAAGATTCAGATACACGAGAGTCCAATTGATTGATCGAACTACCTAACGTCGTGCAATGTCTTCTCTACTGTACGTTTCTTTTTTAAAACGAAACATTGCATTCACTTGATTTAATCAAGCGATGGCTTTGTAGTTTCGGCGATCGCAATCCCGACACAAAATCCTACGTTCGTGTCCTGCCATACGTAGTTCGGTTTGCACGACCATACAATGATACTAGTTCACACGTCTGAAACGTATCTTATAACCAATTATTTGATGAACTAGTTAATCAATCTGTTCTTATTTTATCAATGTGTTCAGGTTCGCCACAAGTTCCAGAGAATTAAAGAATTGTAACAAATATCTTTCAAATCCTTTCTAATTCAATAGTTTTCGAATTATTTTTGCAAGTGACTGAAATAAGTCGTACACTCGAACATTTGAGGAACGTCGTTTTCAAGATCGTGATCAATGCTCTATCCAGCTGAAATCAATTTATTTTCCATCTACGATCGATAGTCGTAATGCTGTCAGCATTTGAAAGTGATTATTTGATATTGTCATCTATTAGTCAGTATAATGAAGCCTACTCAATAAAATCGTACAGATATTTTTGTACAACAGTGATTTTCAACTTGTACACGTTTATACAAAATTACTGGTATCCTGAGTAGTTGAGTATATGAGTTATAACATTCAACAACTTACAGTGATAGCGCACCAGGTAAATAATCATTCGAATAAGATATGCCAAATGTGGACGCGATACTGGAAATTACAAGTCCAAAACCAAACAGTACACCGATAGTTTCATTCCTAAACATTATTCAGGGCAAGCCATATATGTAGAAATACGACAAAATAGTATATGAAACAAAAAGGATAGTCATAAATAATGCGTGTCATTTTGGTAAAAACTGCATCCAATAAGAACTGCAGATTAGAAAGAAACTTGAAACTTAATTTCAAAAATTACGTTTAATTTCTACACGTAATGAGGCTTGTTAATAATTTGATTCACTTTACCATGTTTGTTTCCAGAATTTCAAACACATAAATAATCTGACTTCAATCTATTCAAGAATATAAACATTTATTTGTCCAGTATGGTTTTCCATGAAGTTTTGAAGATTTTAAAGCGTTTAGAATATAAATTAATTTGACAACTAGCTTGATTTTCTCTAAACATTTAGACAGCTAAGAATAAGATAGATTAATAAACTTATAACTTGAAAACATCTTGAATAAGCACCTAGTCTACAAAAACATTGACTGAATTCAACTTATCTGTGCAGAAAATATTTTTGTAACACAACTGAATGTTCAGGAATCAACTGGAATATAAACGTTTAAGTATAAATTTTAGAAAACTGAAATTCAAATCTTAGACAGCGTAACCACATCAACAACAAACAAGTAAATTATATTGTAGCCAACAATTATTTGTTAGAGACAGAGATTTTCCAATTTCCGGAATAAGTCTGCTGATTAGAACCCTCAATTATTTTAAACAGTGAATTATGATCATTGTCAAACAATCAATCGAATGGAACTCGTCTCCATACATCAACTTCCTTGACTATGAGAAAGCACTTGACAGAGTAAACAGGAGAACCTTATGGAAACTTCTCCAATACTATGCTGTACCTGAAAAAATTATCGACATCACCTGGAATTCAGATGAAGGACTATAGTGCAAAGTCGTGCATGGAAGATAGCTGACAGATGCTTTTTAATCTCCTCTCTTTCCTTTTCTTCTGGTGGCTGGATGAATTATGAAAACCTTCACATCTCGGGGAAAGCACGGAATATAATAAACAGCTTGGAGAATTGAACATCTCAGATGATAGCTCTGCCATTGCATACAGCAACAAATGTGGGCAGAGATAGCCAGTGTAGCAGCAGCCTCTGCAGCAGTAGGCCTGAACATACACAAAGGAAAACCCAGAATCCTCATGTACCACACGAAGCACACCAATCCAAGTACCCGGACGACATCATTGATAAACAAGGAGGATTAATGTAGATGTAGAGCAAGGATTGGGAAAGCGAGGGCCGCATTACTACAAATAAAGAACATATGGATCTAAAAAAACTGTCAGCTAACATCAAACTCAGAATCTTCAATACGAACATCACGATAGCTCAATTTTTCGGAGCCCAAATTTTGAGAACTACTACAATTATCATCAAAACAGTACAATTATTTATTAACAATTGTCTACGTAAGATACCCAATGTCCGTTGGCCGGATATCGTCAGCGACAACCTACTCTAAAAAGGAATAAATCAGCTTTCAGCTGAAGACGAAATTACCAAAAGATGAGGAAGTGGATAGGACATAAATTTCAGAAACCATCAGACTTCATCACGAGACTTGCGCTAACTTGAAATTTTGAAGGCAAGGGAAAAAGAGGAAGATCAAAGCACACACTGTGTCGACAATTAGAAGCAGATATCAAGAGAATAAATAGCAACTAGAAACAACTGCAATACATTACCCACGATAGAATTCGGTGGACAATCAAGTTGGGCGACCTATGCTACTACAAAAGGGATAACAGGCTTCACAACAACAACAACAACAATTCATTTCTCCACAGTGGTATCTGATTTAACTCACTACTGTGTTTTGGCCATATTTGTCGATAGGAACATAGTATTAATGAATATTTACTTTTAGGGAATTTGGTGTTTCAACCGAAAGTGACTCGCCTTTTATCAAAATATTTTCAATTCAAATGAATGTCAATAAATATTAAGTAACACCTTCCTTCATACAAGTTCACTCATTATAATTTACACAACAATATTAGAGTTATTCAATTAAACTGTCACAGCTTTCTTACCATGCTACTAAACATAAGAAGATTGGAGATAACACAATTGAAAATTGAATTTCATTTGACAAATACCATGACCATCCCATGCACTGAAAAATGAATAATTTTCACGAAAATAAATCACGAGGTAAGCATGTAAGCGTGAAGGATATCGAATAGAACATTCAGGTTTTCAATGGTGGTCTAGCTTAAACAAACTCATCAATTCAACTATTAAAATACTTTAACTAGGAAGAAATGTCTTTTTCATATTTCCAACCATTATTTGAATAACTATGTACAGAATTAGTGCATTTTAACAATAAACAACAAACAATCAACTGGCACCATTACCAAAAGTTGACTTGACCTTTTTAAATACACTGAACATTCTGTGGATTCCCAATAAAATGTACTATGTTTATAACATCACAATGAGTGCAAACACCAAATTTTCTGATGTTTTGTGACTCGGTGTAAGTCACTTCATCCAGTCATGGAAATACATAACGTTTATTATGAGACGTTATCACTGATTCCCAGTGAATTTCATAGTATCGAAGAAGATGATATCTGTAGCAATTATAAAGCACTAAAATCAAACAGATTCATAAATCTTATTTCCAAGAAGAATGAATAATGCACTTTCAATCTACGGAGATTTCAGACACTCGGAGAATTAATTTCAATGTCGATTTCATTGAACATTCACCACCTACAAGGTCGCTTCCTAATACAGGTTCGTTTACTTAAGAAACATCATTTAGTTTTAGTTCTAATAGTGTTTTGTCTCTACACGACAAAGTCCACATATCACTCAGAGTGAATATTATGGACAAACATTGTAGAAACATCATTCGACTATTTTCGTTTTTGCCGTCTCCTCGTTTGTTATAATTTTCCATTCTATGTATGATGAATAAATTAAATGTAAGCGAATTATTTCTACCCAACTTTGATTTGCAGAATATCAAGCGAGATTACCAAAACAGGTTTATGATGATGATTGGTGTAGCAGAACTAAAAGTAATGAAGTACGATAAATTTGTCGTATTCTGCACTTAATATCCTCCTTGATTTAGTTCTGTTTAATGTTCATCTATAATGAACTTTGAAAGAATCATGTTACGATGATAAATGGAACAAAGGTTTCATAGAATAGCTTGTCAGTCACTTACTATTTCATCCGCATAGAAAAAATTATTTAAATATGTTATCCACCAATGATCACGACAAAATTTTATATCCATCAAATCGGGAGTTTGAGGATACATTGGACCGACATAAGCATGATTGAATAATCCAATATACAGTATCAAGACTAAAATATAAGCTGGAGTTAAACTGAAATTTAAGAGAATACAAGATATTTGTTATACTAATAATAAATGTTGTAGAGATCTTACTTCAAACGAAACATACTACTTTCTCAGAGGCTTTCAAATAAATGAATTGCAAAATAGTTTTCGATAAAAATGAAACAAGCTTAACTTTAATAAAATCGATCATCTCATCCAACCCTTCAGTTGAAAATTCACCAGAATATAAACGCTATGTTTATGTCTTAAAACAAGACTAATTTGTCCTGTTTGTTGCTGCAAAATACTTATAAATGTTGTTCATTGTAGGGGTGAAGAGCCTGCCTTTGTCAATGTAATTAAGAAAACGAAACTCCAGAGGTAAACTGATTTATTCTACATTAACTAGTTAAACGAAGTCCAGGAACAAAGTTATAATAATAGTCATAATTATAATGATCATTATAAAAACAGTAATGATGGTAAATTACATGTCTTAAATGAATGGTCAATTAATAATTTTGAATGAATTGAACTAGTAGTTAATCAGTAGTTTGAATTGTCTGTAAAATTTGCAAAATTAACAAATTGGTTAAATTGACCATGAAATATTATTCATCACCGAATTATGTATTTGTTTCATTCGTAACACTAGTAATCAGTTAATAACGAGAATACAAAAATATGATGTAGCTAAACCAAAAGAAGAGATCAATAGCCAGAATAAGTAAGTTACATGTTAATGAATTAAACTTGTGAATAACAGATAAATAATATATTTGTAATATCCTAACGATTAGATTTTCTGACGTTTCGTGACTCAGTGTAAGCCACTTCTTCAGAGAATAAATAATCAAATCAAAATTAATCCAAGTTAATCCAATCCATTGAGATATTACAAATATATTATTTATTTATAACAATCTACCCAATGCTCAATTTGTTAGAAATTATCAAGTTAAACCTTGGTAATGATACCTAAAAGTGAATAATAGGTTAAAAATTATAAAAATAAACTGACACAATACATTGATAGTCTATAAAAGAAAATCTAGCTATCTAGCTACTTCAAACGGATATGATTCAGGGTAAACACATCATTCTTTATGCTCTAATCGGTCCGTTTGAAGAGGTTTTGTTCTTCAAATAAATGAACAGTGATTAGACTAAATTACTTAATACAGTTTCATCAGACAGTTCTTTTAGTAGTAATTAACAGACAAACTTGATTGTATTTTCCAAAGTTAGACAACCAACTAGAAATAAACAAAATCTAAGAAAATATTGTATGTAGAAATTACCTAGATTAAAAGGAGGGTATAAATATTGTTAAAAGTAGTCAATTGACTACTATATCTAAATAAAAGTATAAATAATTGAGACAGATAATTTCTCACAACAAATAATTGACACGCATTCTAGTGCATAACTCCGCCTGGAGCCCTCTGGGGGCTACTGCTGGTCCCAAGCCCGGATAAAGGAGGAGGGTTGGGTGTGGGGTTAGCGACCCCATCCAGCAGAAAACTAACTTGATAAAAAACACTAATCAGAAAAAATATTCAAACCACTTAAACTCTGCCCTGGAAGTCAGAAGGTATTCATTTAAAAGAGTTGTTACGCCTCATGGTGAAAGCTGTTTTTTTCGGAAGCCAAGAGGCCGATGCTTCTTCTAACAACCAGAGCAACCATTTATTTAGGTACATGGAATACTCGTACAATGTGGGAGACCGGGAGACTCTTCCAAATTGCTGCAAAAATGAGGAGATACAACCTAGAGGTGCTTGAGATCAGTGAAACACGTTGGACACAAGTTGGACAACAGCGACTAGCTTCAAGGGAGCTTCTGCTATACTCCGGCCATGAAGAAGAAAATGCCACACATACAAAAAAGAATTTCATTGATGCTGCCCAAACAGGCACAAAACGCACTTATAAGATGGGAATCTTGTGGACCAAGGATCATCAAAGCCTCATTCAAAACAAAGAAAGAGTTCATTTCAATGAACGTCATCCAATGCTATGCGCCTACCAACGACTACAATGAATACGTTAAAGATCAATTCTACAATAGGTTGCAGTCAATCGTCGAGAAGTGCTCAACAAAGGACTTGACCATTCTGATGGGAGATCTAAATGCCAAGGTTGAAATGGATAACATTGGATATGAAGACATCATGGGACGACACGAACTGAGAGAAAAGAACGAAAATGATGAGAGATTTGCAAACCTATGTGCCTTCAATAAACTGGTCATAGGCGGCACCATATTCCCACAAAAACGCATTCACAAAACCACATGGACTTCACCGGATCACACCACGTAAAACCAAATCGACCATATTTGCATCAATAAAACGTTCAGGAGGACTATAGAGGATGTGAGAACCAAGAGAGGAGCTGATATAGCCTCAGATCATCACTTGCTGGTCGCCAAGATGAAATTGAAACTCAAGAAACACTGAACAATGAGACGGACAATATCACAAAAGTTCAATACAGTCTTCCTTCAGGATACTAACAAACTCAACAAATTCAAGTTAGCACTCAGTAATAAGTTCCAGGCCTTTCATGATCTACTCAATGGAGAAGGAACTACTGTGGAAAGCAACTGGAAGGGGATCAAAGAGGCAATCACTTCAACATGTCATGAGGTCCTGGGTCACAAGAAGCACCATCACAAGGAATGGACCACTGTTGATACACTGGATAAGATTCAAGAAAGGACGAACAAGAAGGCAGCAATCAATACCAGTCGAACAAGAGCAGAAAAAGCCAAGGCACAAGCTGAATACACAGAAGTAAACAAACAAGTGAAGAGGAGCATCAGAACCGACAAACGTAAATATGTGGAAGATTTAGCAACGACGGCGGAAAAGGCTGCAAGAGAAGGAAACATGAGACAATTGTATGACACGACAAAGAAACTCTCTGGAAATCGCCGCAAACCAGAACGACCAGTGAAAAACAAGGAAGGCAAGGTAATCACCAACATTGAAGAGCAACGGAACAGGTGGGTAGAACACTTCAAAGAACTTTTCAATCAACCAGCCCCACTGAACCCACCCAACATCGGAGCACCACCCACAGACCTCCCAATCAATCTTGGCCCACCAACAATCGAAGAGATCAGCGTTGCCATCAGACAAATCAAGAGTAGCAAAGCATCAGGACCAGACGACATTCCAGCAGAGACACTGAAAGCAGATGTAGCAGTAGCTGCAAATATACTCAACATTCTCTTCAGCCAGATTTGGGATGAAGAACAAGTACCAACAGACTGGAAAGTAGGACTCCTCATCAAGATACCAAAGAAAAGCGATCTCAGCAACTGTGATAACTACAAGGGCATCACTCTTCTCTCAATACCAGGAAAAGTCTCTAACAGGATATTGTTAAACAGAATGAAGGACTTCGTAGACGCCAAACTTCGAGATCAACAAGCTGGGTTCCGTAAGGATCGATCGTGTACAGAACAAATCGCAACTCTACGGATCATTGTGGAACAATCAATTGAATGGAATTCATCACTCTACATCAACTTCATTGACTACCAAAAAACATTTGATAGAGTGGACAGAACAACACTATGAAGGTTTCTTCGACACTACGGCGTGCCTCAGAAGATAGTCAATGTCATACGGAATTCCTATGATGAATTAAACTGAAAAATCGTGCGTGGAGGACAGCTCACAAACTCGTTGGAAGTAAAGATCGGTGTCAGCCAAGGTTGCTTACTCTCACCATTTCTCTCTCTCCTGGTGATCGAATGGATCATGAAGATGTCAAAATCGGGGGGTAAGCACGGGATACAGTGGGCAGCTACGATGCAGCTAAATGATGTTGACTTTGCAGATGATCTAACTGTTCTATCGCACACGCAACAACAAATGCAGGAGAAGACGAACACTGTACAGGCAGCCTCAGCAGCAGTAGGTGTCAACATACACAAAAGGAAAAGCAAGATTCTCCGATACGACACAGCATGCACCAATCCAATCACAATTGACGGAGAAGATTTGGAAGATGTGAATACTTTTACATATTTAAGCAGCATCATCGATGAATCTGATGCAGATGTGAAGGCGCGGATCGGCAAGGCAATAACAACATATATACCATCGAAAAACGTTTGGAACTCAAAACAACTCTGTCAACCAACACCAAGGTCAGAATTTTCAATACAAATGTCAAGACAGTTTTACTGTATGGGGCGGAAACTTAGAGAACTACGAAAGCCATCACCATCCAGAAAATACAAGTGTTTATTAGCAGGTGTCCGTTGGCCAGACACTACCAGCAACAACCTACTGTGGGAGAGAACAAACCAGATCTCAGTGGAAGAAGAACAACTGGAAGTGGATAGAACACACACTGAAGAAAGCACCCAACTGTGTCACAAGACAAGCCCTCACTTGGAATCCTCAAGACCAAAGTAGGAGAGGAAGAGTAAAAAACACGTTACACCGAGAAATGTAGACAGACATGAGAAGAATGAACAACAATTGAATCGAACTAGAAAGCAAGGCCTAGGACAGAATGGGTTGGAGAATGCTGGTCGGTGGTCTATGCTCCATCGGGAGCAATAAGTGTAAGTAAGTAATTCTACTGCATATCATTAAAATGGTTGAAATATTTGAATTCTTGAGTCCGTTTAAGCTAGACCACCATTTAAAAGCTGTAAGCACTGGATGGCCTTCTTGTTATAGTATGGGACTCCTTAAAAATTAACACCGTCGGATGCCTGCTCAGTGGTCCAGAGGTTAAACGTCCGTGCGTGAGACCGGAGGTTCTCAGTTCAAGTCCTGAGTTCGGGATCGCCGGTGCCCGCTGCTAAGGAATCCCATGATAGGACGGAACGGTCGACCAGTGCTCCTAGGTTTTCAATATTGATCTAGCTTAGATCGACTCATGAGTTCCACTATTAAAATTATTACAATCACAAATCCACATTCTGAAAATGGTTGAGGTCACACTATTAGATATTAGTAAGTAATATGATGTAGCACACAAAAAGATGCAAGTGGGAAATTATAAAAAGAGTAGAAAAGATGTGACTGATTTAAATCGATGTTCCGTGAAACAGCTCACTATATTTCGTTTCTGATAATGTGACATCGCCAAAAATAATATACAACACACCACATTCCAGGAGAAGTTGTATCACCTGCGAATGGAAGCTAAAAACAGTATGAAATTATCATCTGAATTAACTTCCAGATCTGTCAATCTGCTAAAGAAAACAACGTTCGCCATAATTCAACTAAAAAAACCCATATTTAATTGATAGAATTCAGAACTAAGCTCGTTTTTGTACATAACCATGACTGTAACATCATTTGGAAATTTTACAAGTACAGAATATTATTAATAAAGATGATAATAATAATAATTATGATAAACATTTAGATTTCTAATCTAATTCTAATTTTCATATCACATGAAAATCATTCAACGTTGAAATCTCATATGATTTGATACATGATTCCATTATTACACATATACTGTTTAAACTATTTGAATGATGAAATATACAAAGGCGATATATTATAAACAATTATTTATTCGCATACTTTTATCCAGAAATTTTTATAAAATACCTAAAGCATTAAAAAGTTATCTATTCACAGTTTATTCTATGGTACCTTTCATTACGAACTAAATTTACTTGTATTTAAAATTGTCGAATCACTCTATAGATAGACATTCAGATGATCACTAGTCGTAAACTACTTACACTTTGCTTCAAACAGAATTCTTTCTTGAAAGTTCAAATATTGAAAAAAAAACTTCTGCTTTACTATATTATGAAGTTACATACATTATCTACATGTGTTGACCAACCAATTCTATGGACAATGTAATAAAATCCAATAAGACGATTATGATACAGGTAGACAGCAATTATTCGGGGATTATTAAACGATCAGTAGTTATTCAAATGTCCTAGATGTAGATCACTATTCACAAAGTTATGATAATGCAGCAATGTTATTGACAGACATCAAGAGAACGAAACATAAAACCAAGCAAAAGAGTAAACCTTCACTGAACGAATTGAGTCGCTGAAATGAAGTTCTTGAGGTGTAGCATTTCCAGCCCTCAGTTGAATGAGAAGTTAACTTTCAACCTCGATAACGCATCAAACTGAAACTCGTTGACTTCAAGTAACTGCAAAACTTACCAATAACCTCAGATAAATTCGCAAACGCATGACACAAACACCCTAACTGTTCACCTGAATTTTCACTCTTCATAATTCGTTATTGCTAATGAATGCCACAATTTCAAATGATGGATTGAACTCCAACAGTTATTTCTTCTCAAGCATTCATATCAAGTTTGATTCGCTAAAACTAGGAGTCCGAAAACTGTCAGTCATTCACCATTCTCTCCTGTGTCCCAGCTCCGAACCGATTTGTCTCAAAATATATCCATTACTCTTTGAATTCTGACTGATCAGTTCAGAAAAGGGGAGAACTCGCAGTTCTACTCTGAATCCTGTCTGCCTACCATTTGCTTCAGAAAACTAGATATTGAGAACACAGACGTGAGGTTATTTCAATCTATGGTTACATGTTCCTGTCACGGATATGAATAACAAAGCCATATACAAATATACATACAATTGCAGATAAAAGATTATCTCGTAAACATTCATTTAAAGTCAAAAGCTTCTTCTCTCAAATTACAATTGAGATTTCATTCTAGGCACAGATATCAATGACCAAGATCGCATTATGTTTCTGTGATTCCAAGTGTGATCGATGTTTTTAGACTTCCATGAAATACAAATTATTCGAGTTAACCACAATACTTACATTATTCAATGTCACACAAAATACAATCAACTACATGTAAAACATATTATTATCCAACTCCAATCCAACCATACATGTTACATTTGGTGATTAAACTAATCTTCTCTAAGCAGGATAACTTTTCAATACACCCATGATCAATAACCACACTCTGCGGATTAGAACACGTTGTTTATAGGATTAATTAGATTTAAGGTTAATTGTGTAAAACGTTTTTCAATACACAAGTGATGGAATTATATGTTTCACCTCAAAACATCTACGTGAACAAATCATAATTGCTTGTTTCAATTCTGTTGCACTTAACTATCATCCATTTTAATTATCATTATCATTTTATAAACCTATAATATCAAACAGTAACAAATGGACTGTTCAGTCAAGCCAGAATAGAACACTTTGGAAACAAGTTTGGAAACTTTCGTTGAGAAACGTCCACATAAAACAGAGTAGCATCATAAAAAAATCATGAAATACACATCTTGTCTACTGAACGCAAAGATTTTTTCATTATTATTCTCAACTCCCACAGGGTTCATCCACACCAACTTGCAAACTAAGTTTTTTATAATTATGAAGAATATGAGTGAAATACACTTCGATCTTCAGGTTCTCACGCAACACTTCCCACAATACTTTATGTTATATGTGAAAAGATTATATGTACCCTAAAGAATATATGTACATGAAATGACACGGAGCATCTGTAGAGTGTAGACAATCATAAATGAAACTTGCCAAAACTTCATCGCAAAACTACAGTGAGTCTTGGGCAATTTATAACTAAACAAAACGTTAGTTTGCTGAATACAACTCATTCATTTCTCAATAACATTTTACCCATTTAGTTTTATTGTTCTGGGAAAGATTCTTTAAAATTCACCAAACTCATTATTCCTAACAAAAATTTAGTTAAAACGTGATAATCTATGGTCGTTTTCTTTACATTTGCAACCAATCTATTCATTCAAATGTTGATCACTTATGAGTTAATTAACAGGTTTAACTGGATTAGAACAAATGGATCTACGCATAAGTTCCGTACAAATCACATGAGATATTGGTTTCGAACAATAGTTGTTTGTGTGAATATATTTTACCAACAGTTCGTGAGTCAGAAATACACTCTCAATCTAGTTCACATAAAACCAACTCAACAACTTCCATTCTTCATACAGAATTAATGAAAAACAAAATCACTGATGCTTATCACTTCGGTGAACTACACTGAATGTCTATAGAAATAGTCGATTGGTGAGTGACCGTCAATTCAGATTACACTTACCGTAAAATACGATGAAATACGAAGCTCCACCAAAATTTTATCCAATGTTTCCAACTGGGAATTCGTCGAAGTTTTGGAATGGTGAGATACGTAGATAATAAACCTCTAAATATAAAGTGAAATATATCGACATAGGACTATGTTATGCACAGGAACAAATCGTAAACAAGACTAAAATTGTTTGTTTTAAACTACGATATGATAAAAGCGCGTTAAAAACCTCAAAGGTACTCTCAAGTAGACAACCATGGAAGAGAGGGACAAGAATTTCACACCCTTAATTCATGAGTTTTATGACCAGTTTTCACTATAATAATGGTGTAAGCAACAATTTTATTCCAATTTATTTACCGCTGAATGTATGCGCTTCGCAAACACATAGATAGTTCTAGTTTAATATCTAACTAAAATGTACTCTTAATCTTATTTAAGCAGTATCAAATAAAGTCTTTATTACAAGATGCAGTTTGAAAAATGAAGGATTATTCTACAGCAATTCAATCAATGGGATCATTAACTGTGGTTGTAATTTTCTAGAAAAAAGTGTGAAGTAAAATTTTTTTGTGTCGATAACTTTTATACATTATCTAGATACCAGTTATGAATTATACGCTCATATGCTCAAAGAATATGTGTAATCCAGTTGGCAGATTCAGTTAAATATCATCAGAGAATCACCATACATCTTGAGATTTTAGCATTTCAGTACACATCAGGATGGAAACTTTCATTTGATCCAAACACGCCAAACGGTTATAAGTATTCATAATTTAATGAACAAACTTACGAGAGTTTAATTCAAAGGTAAATACAAAACCGTAAGCCTAAAAACGTTTTCTTAGAAACAATTAAAAATTAAAATAACTAATTATCTCATATTCTACTAACAGAAAACCATTTAATGTGAAACTGGTATCGGATGTATGTGGTAATTGAATGTGAAAAGATCTTGTAACTGAATGAGACAGTAAAAACCATTGAAAGAAAGGAATGTAGATTAAAATCCGACTGTTACTAGGTATTTATTTTAATTTCATCTGGTGATTTGATTTAAAATTATACTGAATATCATAATAGCACATACATTCACCAAATCATATGCTTTCTAATTCAACCTATAACTGGAGAGTGGTTTGGTTATGATAATGAAGTCAATTTAAAAGTCAAAAGTGTTCATACTTACTATGATCAACGCCCGTGTTTGATTAACTCCCTAATATGGCGAATTGTAATTACATTCTTGTAAATACCACTTACTTAGGCGTTAGACTAATTTCGACTAGTGACGGAGATAGCATACTGAAATGTTGCATATTTGTAATCTCTTCTCTAAGTCAGTGAGCATTTTTTGTATTTATGCAATTCTTTTAGAATGACTCATCGCCATTTAGTTTCCTCTATTCACTTTGTAACTATTCTTTTCTCACCAGTATGAAGGTGTTTTTCAAATTCTACTTTGACGGTGGAGAAGATATAAGATTCATTTTATCCTTGATGGTCCATAAAGATGCAATACACTTGAAAAGATAAATGACAGTTTCGGCTGTTGTTAAAACGTATGATATGGCTCACCTCAATGAAATCATTTGGGATGCACAATTGAAGTTGTGCGACACTTACTATAACTAGTTACAGTACAAAACACTATTGAAGAAGGAAATTATCTCTCAATTGTGAATGATCTAAAATTGCTTTGATATCGTGATTAAATAACATACTCTTCAACTTTAAATACACGTAACTACACTTGCATCCAACATGTCAGAGGAAATAAATTTTATTTTCCTTAAGATTTGACTACTTTTAGGTCATGTCGAACCTAGTGCGTGGCGGAGTATCGTAAGCGAAACAATCTACTACTCAGTATATGTAGCTATAAGTAGGCATGTCAGAGATTCACTGTCCTTTTAAATATTTAAAGTCAACTTTTACTTAGTCCCAATACTACTGGACAAAATTAAAAAATTAAGATAAGCCGGTAAATATCCGTTATTAATGCTTACAATGACAGTGTGAGTAATTAGGTCAAGAAAATTTTTTATCGTAATTATCGTTATTAAAACAAAGACAACATTTCTGTCAAACATGAATAGAAAACAGAGTATGTAGACGTACGACATGAAGAAGAATGTATCCACAGCTAGAGTTGCACTAATTATTACTTGATAGGTCCACTTTGGCTGATGAATTTGTGAGAAAAGTAGCAGGTTATCTGAAAGAGATCGTTCAGGAAACTTGAAATGTGTAGGAAAAAATCAAGAAGTGGTGAAATCAATGCACAAAGATATTACATTACTCTAAAGTCAAATAGGCCTATAAATGCCTTTTAAAGATATTAATATGAAAATATAAACTGGCATATTATCTGATTGTATTTTGAAGTACAAACTCCATATAGTGAATGAGTTAAGACTGTCTGAGAGTGTTTCTCTACCACTAAGCATATATACTTACTTAGTTACGCCTGCTACCCCTTGTGCAGCAGCATAAACTTCTCACCACCATTCTTCATCAAACCTTGTTCTGGAAAATCCTTTCCAGTGTCTATTCATCCTTTTCATTTATGCTTCCAACTTCCGAATCAATATGTTCTTCAGCCTTTTGTCTTTCCGTTTCCCTTCAAGATTGTAAGTTTGCACTTGTCTAGTGATGCAGTTTGATGATTTCCTCAATGCATGTCCCGTCCACTTTGAACGTCTTTTCCTGATTTCCTCCTCATCCAAAACCTGGTTTATTTTCTTTCACAGTAATCTGTTGCTGATGGTATTCGGTCAACAAACGTTGAGTATCTTGTGTTATCAAATTTTTTATAAATCTTTGTACATTTTTGACGATGGTTGTAGTAGTTCCCCACGTTTCAGCTCCGTATAGCAGAACTGTCTTGATGTTCATATTAAAGATTCTGACTTTGATATTAGTTGATAGTACCACTAAACATAATCTCCACGAAATTATTCATCGTGTCATTTCGCAGCAGACATATACCTCTGTGGCTACAATGATTTATTCTAAGAGAAACTGGATCAGTCCATGTTATGTTACTTACGTGAATCAAATAAATGTAGACGTAGACTTTGAGTGAAAACATTCGTTAGACTAAACGAACTCGAAAGAAAATGTTTTGTGCGTAAATTTATTTAAAATGTCTAAATGACATCAGCTGGCAGTTAAAAGTCATATATGATTAGGTGATCAACAGATAGAAAAAATCTATAAATAGTGGTAGAATTTCATCCTCGCAACAAAACAGACTGTTAACTTACTTGCAACAAACATGCTGAATGCTATACAATGTCCATAAATTATCCAATTCATGGTTAAAAACCGAATCCCATCCAAGCACAATAACGGATGACTGCAGTGCTGACCTGACTTATTTGGAACTTGATTTGGTTTGGAGTTCCAAAGATGCCACGTGTTATAAGGAACAGAATAAGTCGCAATGTATTTAATACACGGATTTATATTTGACAAAATATCTTTTGAGTAAAAAATAAAGACAAAAAAGAAGTTAGTAAAATCTCGCTGTTCGAATAAATAAAACTCGTACTAAAGTAGGTAAAGTGCAATCAAATAAGGTATCATGTAACATCTGTTACAACGGCAGGGACAAAACGGATTTAATAGTTGAAAAACTTTTTGTAAGCTCACTGAAGTGTCATAAACAGTAATCACAAACGATAATTATTTCACAAACCAAACACATGTACTTTGTTTGTCTAGTACAAAAATAACTTGAGATGAAAAATAGGGTCTTATGAAAACTCATGGTTTGGAAGTAAATAAACCTCGATAACATTTTTTAATAGAAATATATTAACTTATTTTCCAAGGTACGAATATAATCTGGAAACGTTTACTGTATTTGCTAAGTCACTAAACCTTATGATTGACTACTTTTGAAGTGAACTAAAAATCAACTAAGACGGACTCTGGTTCCTGTCAAGAACAAGTTAAAACGATACAATCATAGGTAAACGATAATTTACGGTCTCGAGAGACAGACTTGTATCAACCGGTTACAAACTCTAAACCTAACTTTCCGGATTACGAAATGTCTACTTTAACTTTTAAAAACGTGTGTCCGCCACTTGAATTAGTCTACTCTTTGCATACTGACAAACTTAGCACACTAAGTAGAATAATGAAAGATATATTACACTATAGTCATATACTTGGGCAGCAGAAATTCTGCTCGCCTACTTCAAATCAGTCAATTACAAAGACTTTTTATAAAAAGTATATTTATTTATGAGTGAAAAATGACTGGAAAACTCAGTACTACAAATAATGTCTTTAAAAGTGGCAAATTCTCTTACTTGCTCGATGTTCAAAATATGATAGCTTATGTGTGCTAAGATGGCCAGATGTAGTCTGTTCAAGTATATTTTCCTCCCCAGTGGTCCCTTCACAATTATTAATAGGTCCACTGGTAGTAGATGCTTCTGTTGGCATACTGACATTTATCAGTCTGTCGTACGAAAATTCACAAATACGATAATTTAATCTACACCACAGGACTAAATCCACAACTGTTCCACTTATCAGAAGAGAGATCATAACAACTAGCAAAGACCTAAAGAGAAAAAGAAAACAATTAATTTGTTTGCGACAAAATGTTAAAATCTAACCTAAGCTCTAATTAAGTGGGTTAGATATAAACTAAACTAAACAAACAGCAAACACAAATGTTAGATTTTACATCATCAAATAATGTCAGCCGACAGGGCGGAAAATAATAAACTTCAACTTCCCTAAATCGACAACATTGTCATAGTTTTTACATGGCATTTTTCGGCTTACGCAGCTATGCAGAACTGAAGTGACTGACTACGAAATCATCAACAAACACAGACATTTTCTCATGAAAAATAAAAGTGATTAGTTCCTCTTTGTATAAATGTGATATTTGTATGCAGCGATGATTTTTTTGCACAGTATTCAGCATTTAATGTGAGATCGCAAAACAATACTTTTATTTGTGCCAACCGAATTTTATCTGACCTAAATTGAAAAATGCTGATAATTTTTAGCATATTAATTCAAATATTTCTGAATATCAATGAAAGTTTTCATTTGAATATAACTCGAGAACTCCATAGAAGTCTAATAAAAGAATTCAAACCGTCGAAGTGGGATATTTTGAACAACAAGTAGTTGTGGAAAATAACTAATAAAAAGCACCATCAATACAATATTAACGGTGACAGTTCTTCAAAAAATGCACGGAAATAATGAGAAACTTATTTAGTTAGATAAATCAGTGATAAGTGAAAAGTAGTCAAAACAATCAACCAAGAAGAGTCCGCGTTGGTGTTTGTTGTATATTGCTGGTTGAAATGAAAAATACAGTTTAAAAACTCACATTGCTACCCAAAACCAACCGTCTTTAGGTAGTTCTCCAAAATCTGCATGACAGAAGCTTGTGGAGTTATCTATGGATAAATTTACCTTGGAAAGCACTATACAATCATAATTAAAAATTAACAAACCCATGTCTAGTAGCCAAATCAAATCATCCTTCGTACAAGAATGAGGAATGCACACTCCATAATTCAGTTCGAATGACTGATATAAGAAAATATAACGAGAAAAAACATACCACTTTTTCAGGAAGATCTTCGGCTGAAGGAAGTTTCACATATGCAGAACAATACTTTCCTTGAACATGCTGGGACAAACCGTAGCTAAAATCTGTAATATTTCGACACAATTCCATGCTTCCCACCCAGTTGATACCACCACCAGAGACACCATGGACAATCTTGCCTGCAGCATCCAACCCTTCGGAAGAAATAAAATCAAACGCACATGCCTACATTTCACTGCCTCCTTGTCTGATCGAATGATTCCATAAACAATCGAGGTCATATCGACGACGCATGCAGAGTTGTTATACAATGGATTACCATTTAACCTCTTCTGATCTAAGTTCCTAAGCATCTCGTACACTGAAACTCGAGCATATTCCGCTAGAGCATTAAATGGTTTTAGGAGTTTCGGATCAAATGGATGAAGGAGAACAAGCATAGAATTATCATAAGAATAGAGGGGTAGACTTTTGGTGGATACATGACTGGGTAAAAGTGATGCAAAGGTAGTAAAATACAGGAAGAACCACCGCATAACGTGAGGAATGTCAAGTTTCATTTTTCAATCTATATTGCCTCACGTAGTCTTGTGTCCGTAAACGGAGAACTGGCAGAGCAATGTCTGGAATGAGTAACAGGTAATTCTGATCGAATTAGTAGTATGTAAACAAGGTGTAGTTTTTGAGACACTATAACAAATCTCAATGTTGAATAGCTGTTGTACAGATGGTGAATTATTTCTATGCGAATCTTGGTTCCGAAATCCCATTTCTTTGTCACAAAACTGTGTGAAGCAATCGCTTTCTTGCATTTGTTACTTTAGGTTTCGATTCCGTGTTTTGGTAATGTTTGAATAGCGGTAGTCTATCAATTCGGATGCACTCGTCTAAGTCAGTGTGCCAACTGTTTGTGGATTAGAACATTTTGTAGTTCAAACGTTTGTCTTAATACAGAAAGGTTTGTGAGCATCATCAGCTATCACATTACTAAGCTGGAGATTGGTTACAATTTAGAAAATATTGAAGTGAAAACTTGAGTACTGAAAAAAGACGATTGTTTCACGAATGACAGATATGTTAACAAGTTTTTTATGGGTAAGAACACGGAGTCGAGGAATTGAGAGGGAAAACGGTGTGTATAAAAAGAGGTACAATGAATAGTTGCTGATATGGAAATTTATGCGATGTGAAACAGTTCGTTCGACTGAGTGTTAATGGGTTTCGCTCACTACTTCAGGATTACTATTTGTTTATCAACACAACCTGATGACTTTCCTGGGAGAAATATCTTTTTTTCGCTTTATTGTTAGCCCGGGGGTTAGTTGAATATTTCTTATGACCCTAATCTGGCGCATCGTTTCAGAGGTGTTCCGCGCTTGCTGACTTTAGGTTTAATTATTCTGTGGTGTCGATATTACAGATATCTTCCACCCCTAATTCGGAGATATCTTTACCATCTGTGAAAGCAGGCCGTTTATACTTCTCTTTTCCCACATTTCTGTTCTGCTTGCTAGTCTTACTAGGAGTAGGAACCTGGGTAGGTGTGTGACCCTGTTTATTTAGTTGGAAACCTAGTTTTGTTGCTGTAGTTCCGTGTATCATGTTATACATATCACTCCAAGATTGTAACTTAGCGTACAATTTGATTGCAAGCATCATTTCTCCGTCGACTTTTAATATATATGTAGATACTCCAATTTATAGTGTGAAAATTTGTTTCAGTTTGTTATTAATTGCTTTGCGCATCGATATACTTTGATTTAGTAGGATTAACAGATAAACGGTGATTTTATGAGGCAAAAAGGACAATGTAGGTTGATATTAATAGTAGGGATGTTTAAAAATTATACTGCGTTACTAAGAAGCTCTTTTCAACTCAGAGTCATCACATAACTCTTAATAAGTGTCATTGAATGACGGCATGTTAACATCTACACAATCGCTTGAACAAGTTTCGACTGACGCATGTTCCAAAAGTTATCTAGCAACATTATCATTACCATCCCACAACATTGACTTAGTTTTACTCATCTCTACTCTTATCATCTTCGTTTACACGTTATTCGTATGTCCGTTGATCTATATTGTTTGAACAGTTGATTGTTGAGTAATTTAATTGTGATCACGAACCAACCAGCTTAAAACCAAGTGTGAAAACGCAGAACCACAGGATAACCGTTTTGTCCCTGTATGGGACTCCTCAGCAGTGTGTATCCACGATCTCACACTCAGGACTCAAACCCAGTACCTTCGAACTCGCTATCGAAGGTGCTCGCTAGAGCGGTCGAAGATAAGGTTGCAGCCTTGTGTCAGCCTTTATATTTCTGTGATATGCATTTATTTGCTTTTGGATTTTATTTTTTCGGAAAGTCACATCTCGTGAAGTTTTCTTCAGATTGTTTCACATTCCGCATTTGATTAATGTTAACAATAATAGTGTTATTACAAATACTTACATTTTAACTACGAAGACAACTAGTAGAGGTTCGATTTCAAAGTTTAATAATAATTCGAAAGTTTCTGTTTCTTGGAAACAGAATCAAAAAATTTCAAAAAAGCACGAGATGATAAATCTCAGAGTAATGTAAGTAATACGGAACGCCCAAATCAAACACCAAGACCACGTTTTTAACCAAGCAATCAGGGGCGAAATCATTCATAGATCCCTACTCGTGAAAAGATTAGTAATTAGAAAAGAAATGGGGTGATAAAACGTTCTTAACTACCGTTGATGCATCTCCTTGCGTAATAAACACTCAATATGTATAATTTTATTACGTAATCAAAGCTAGTTAAACCAGCGAATGGATGTCACTTTAGATCTTTTACTAACCTTTAATATATTCACCTATCTCTATCCTAAGATTGCTTTCTTCATTATGTATTGTTGGTTGTTACAATGCAATGAGTTGGTGTAGACGATGATGTGACGTACACTTAAAATCTTATGTAGTAGGCAGTCATGTCACGACAAATCTACAATTTTAGGATTAGGGTTATTATTAGAGCAATACTAATATCATAGTAGACCATAATTCAACAGATTATTTTCACAGCAAATCAAATGTAAAGGGAGCAGAACAAAGTCGGGAAGACAACGTTAGAAGAGTCGAGTAAAACACCTAGGTGTCTATTGACCATGAACAGCAACCCATAGTACAGGACACAGTTCGCGATCCTGGTAATAAGCAATTTCATGAAGAAAAAGTGCCTATGGTGGCTATCTCTAATGGAACTGATCAAACGACTTTAAACAACGAACAACTTGAAATCCAGAGGACAGATGCTTCTTAGGTGATGAGATCAGCCATGAATTTCCTCTATAACTACATTAGCGTATCAAAGGATAAACTAAGAGAAGTAAGAGACACGAATTCCGGTTAGTTTTGAAGATCATGGACATCATTGAAACATGGCTATCACCCAACATCATGGATAATAAAGGGGAATGATTGTTACAGTACAAAAGGAAAGCCCAACACAAATTTAAAATACTTAGTGGAGTTGGCTCTCAACCACACGATCCTTGATGGCAAACTGAGAATTTTTTACACTGTAAAGAAGGTTAAAAATGATGAACACAGAAACACTTGATCCGTTTTGTATAGCTAGGTTGGTGTACTCAATGTATAACATATTACGTATTTTAAGAGTGCTACTCAGCAATACAATAGGACATGTCGATATGAAGAATGATGTGACTTCTCTGTAATTTTTTACCGATTACATAGAAAAATCATGGCAATTTTGTGATTGTGGGTTAGATCTGTTGTTCCTGTTCATTTCGGGAATGTCGGCCTTTTTCCTTATATATCCCCTATAGCTATGTTTTCACTGTTCTACTACAATCTTGGCTCCGAAGGTACCTAGAAAACAGAATATTTCGTAACAAGGCAAGTGGAGTGCACGCAAGTCGACTGACCTCAACATCAGGAGGTTCACAAGGAAAAAGCCTAGGTCCACCCATGTTCTTGACTTTCATTAACGACCTGTTAGATAAAATTAGCGCGACGTCACCTAATTTTGCAGGCGACACTAAAATCTGGTGGTCCATCAAAAGTGAAACGGATTCCTTCGAACATCCTAAGAACCATACGACAATAGGGGAATGAGCAGTAGATAATTAAAAATAAACTTGTCGAAATGTCATGATAAAAACATACTGCCTTATTTTACGTAAAGAACCTACACACTCCCTATTGTCTCCTTATTGCGTCATTTCGGGCTTGTAAACGTGGTAAGCTTGGACATCAGTTCAAACTGCAATGGGAGATGCAGTTAATGCAAACGCAACTCTCAACTTTACGTGTAGACACTGGCGCAATCACCACAGAGTTGTTCTCAACACTTTTTGAAACATATACACGGTATATCAATGTCTTTGCGCATTTTTTCCTCAAAAATATCATGAACCTATCGGACGAAATACGGAAACGAGCGATGAATTGAGTGATTGTGCTGAAACATAAATCCTGTGTGGACAGAGTACAGTACGTGTGATTATCCTCGTCTAGCTACAGAAGTATACTTAATGTTTTGGCAAATGCGTACAACGTTAAGTGCTTTAAACCACTCCAACACGAGTGTAATACAAGAACATCAGCAGCACACTTCACTTGACAACCTTCGAAAGGCTTCACATCGGAAAGCAAACATCTAGGTACGCACTCGGATTTTCTCATAACGATTTTCTCCCATTTGCGATGGTCTGCTAGCCGAAGTAACTACAGTAACCTCTATGCATAGGGTTAAGGGGAGACTTGAGAAATGTTTACTTAACCATGAATAACAATTCCCCTCTCGAATCAGCCGTATTTGATGTATATCCCACAAATTACCATGGTTACCGCCAATGTATATCAGTAACTACTTCCTATACTTCTTTTATCAACCCCGTTCCACCTCATAGTTCTCCTTCTTTTTGCACACAAACAACTTGGTAACTTATCTGTCATTCATGAAACACTAGTCTTTTTGCAGAACTCAAGTTTTCACTTCATTATTTTCCATATTATGACCTGTTTAGTAATGTGGTAGCTGCTGATGTTCAGAAACCCTTCTGCAGCTAGACAAAGGGAGTCATACGTATTACAAGATATGAACATCTACAAATAACTACCGCAGCAACTTGAATGATTGGATTCGATTTGCTGAACTACAATTCGTTGTACAGTACCGAATCGCTATAGGCGTGCGGAACTGATTAGAAGTGGGCTCCTAGGAATTAGTCCGTCTACTCATGTTTGAGACAAGCGCATTTTTTTGAGGCGCGCTATATATGTGGTGCGTTACATCTTTCTCAGTTGTATGCCTGCTTCCTGACTTCATTGCATGAGGTGCACATTTGCCTTCATTCTTCTTATAATAAAATTAGACTTAAAAGGCAACCCTTTTTGTCTATCATCTTTTTAAACTTTGTCATGACTTCCTGGCTTTTTATATCTCTATTGATAAGATGACTCACTTTGACTGATTCTTGAGGAAATTGGTTTTCCTGAATATTCATTTTCTAGTAGCGAACAAACTCCGCCGTGTTAAATCCAGTTGTCCTTCTGGAACTGTCCTGGCATATGAGTACTGGACATTTAATTCGATTTGGTTATATTTAGTTAAATTGTGCAAAAAGAGATTGCGGAGAACATGGTTGTCATAATTTTGTAAGTAGTAGAGTGGAGAAGGAGACTAATTATAGAGTGGTAGACAAATCATGCAGAAACAGTGAAGGCTGATGTGTTCGAGTTTCAGGCCAATCTCTCGTCCCCATCTTTGCTACAGCTTTATTCAGAAAATTGCAAGTGGTTATATATCAAAAGCCAAGAACTTGGGTTGATATTTTTCATAAGCTTCCATGTGTCATTGAATATGTCAATTAAAGGTTGGGACATCATTTCTCTTGGTCATAGTTTCCCAAATGTGACTACTAAATGTGAAAATTCACATGCCGTAGGTATTTCGTGCGTTCTTGGTTTTCGGAACAGTTTACTATGTCCTCTAATTTGTCTTCAGTTGTGAAAAAAATAGGATACATGATTTTCAAAACAAATTCTTTGTATATTTCGCTGCAACCAGTTTATCTTCTAGTCTACGCTTGAGAATGGAAGCCTAACTTCTCAAGCGGTGTTGAGATTGTTAAGCTACGCGGCTGTTTGATTGCATTTATAACTGTCCTTTCTACGTTTCTCAGTGATATGAACTACCTTTGAAACAAGGTGATACGGTTTGTGTACAGCTTTTTGCTTTCGACCACTAGGGTTGTGTAAACTTCATTACAAATATTCGTGTTTGTTGGTGAAAGCACGCCTTTGACCCCCACTTAGTTCTCAACTCTTTATCTACAACCCAGCATCTGTGAGCTATATTGTTTGTCATGACCTACTATGACTCCTAAATCAATATAATCCAGCACTAAATGCACTGACGTTTACATCATGCTGTATTTACGTGCGTAATTTGTATGTAGATATACTTGGCTGCAGTGATAGGTGTTAGCCAGAAATTAGACCAACTTGCCAAATTGTCTACATTGGCCTTGAGTGTATGTACATCAACCTCTTCTGCCTGCCAGATTTTGATATCAGCCTTACGTAACATGTGAGACATAATGATGCGTATGACTTCATTTATATTAAGTATAATCAGTAAACGACATAGGACGAACCCCTGTGATACTCAACAAAATTGATTTTTGCTGTTTTATCAGACGAATTGAACTTATTTATGATATTAGGTCTTAAAAATAAATTTTTTCTATATCATTCGATAGCATCCACTTTTCAGTTTATAAAAATTTACATTATATACATTTATATATATTTTTTCATACTATTAAAAAAGATGTCCACAATCTCGAGAGAAAATATATGCTCGAACTGTCTGAAACAAGCTGATGTGCATCTGATATGTGTTGAATGTGATTGCGTACAGCTATGTATTGCTGTAAGTTTTGTAAACTTATTGTTACTTGCAGTGCTACTGTTACGGTGCTGAGTCTGGAATACACAAGAAAAATCATGGTTATCGCGTTTCGGTAAATATTCTGTAATCCCTCTGTTAATTACCGTAGAGACTAAATTTACTGCCACACTCTATTCTCGAGGGTTGGAATTCTGAGGAGGAATTGAATCTTCTTGAAGCATTGGAGCAGTATGGAATTGGAAATTGGTACGTGCTTTTCCTCCCACTCAGTTTACTTTTTTAGGGAGGATATAGCTTTAAAAGTGGGAACTAAAAGCTCTGAAGAATGCATGTATCATTACTGTAATCGCTATTTGGGTGGAATATTTGGCCTGGAGTTGTTGAGTGATAATAAATATCCTTCTCGAATTACAGATCACACAAACCGCGTAGCGTTATCTCCTATGCAACCACCACACTCATCATTTATTGATATTGAAGATCAACAACTGTTGGGTTACATGCCAAACCGTGGTGACTTTGAACGAGTTAGTTTTGTTCAGCCACTTTCGTTTATCTATTTTTTTATAGGATTATGACAACGATGCTGAGAGCATACTATGTAGATTACATCCCAGTTTTTCTCATGATGACCTAGAGGACGGTATGTGGTTTAAAATAGTTTATTGTAGTAGCTATGGGTCTTTGTAACTGCTCTATTTCGTACCTGGCTAGAAACCGTTTTAATTCCATCTTACTAATAACTAGTTGGTTGTATCGAACTTTAAAAATTAAGCACGAATAGAAGTAAACTGTTTTTTAGACCTAATCACTTCGCATCGACGAGTGATATTTATTGGAATAATATCATATTGATAGAAAACAAGGGGTTCCCAAACCGAAACGTTACGTCGGCCCATAGTCTGATTCGTTTTGGTAGATACAGACTACCTTTTTTAAGGTTCGCGCAACAACCGCAATCAGTGGCTGGAAACTTTGTCGACATGACTCAAAATGTCGTAATGACTTAGATACATACACTGATCTTTCTCTAATCTTGAGCTCCAGTGTGTCTTCATACGTACCCCCACTTTTTTAAACCATATTCTCAATACCTATTCACATTTGTCCTAGGTTCAACACTTATCATGGCTGACTGATAGACATTTCGATTCCTATTGTTTGCGTCTTATTTTAACCTAGTTGACAAAATCTAAACTTTCTGTGATATATATATATATATATATATATATATATATATATATATATAATCTAGAGTTGAGCTTTTTTGTCTAATCTAAAAAAGTACCAGGGTATTCAAGTGAAATGTTACCGAAAACAAATAAGAGTGGAAAAAATCAAAGGAACCGAAAACTAAAAAAGGAAAGGTAGTATTTTCTCAAAGTACCAACCTAATGCGAAATACACATAATGGATTAGGTCCTAGATAAAGTAGAAGATATTTTTGATGTTCATAAATTACAAGCTACCACTAGTAAAATACCATGACGTTTTGCTCGAGGAATTTACAGACGAAGTTATTTCCAGAAAGAAACCTTAAAATCAAAATATTGGTTCAGTTGATCATTACCTGAGGATCAAACTCTTAATCTTTCCCACTCCTATAGATGTATTTTAAATTGCACCTAGAAAGTGATCAGTTACTCATATTAACAAATAACCTAACTGACATTCGTCTTTATGAAAAATAAAGGATTGAATTCGTACTTGAACACTTCTCTATTGAACTGATGTCATATGAAAATAACATCATCCTTATAAAAATTGATTATTTAATTTCTTCGTAAAAATATACAAGTTTTACGTTGCTTTTTATTTCACAACATTAATTAATAGTGGTTAAGGCATGATCTTACTGGTAAGAGAATAAAACAATAAAAGTATAGTTTTTTGTGTAGAAATCACTGACTTAAATTATCACAGGGCGTATAATAATTAAAGTGGTAGTGTCGTTTATTTATATAATAATATTTCATGAAAAGGGACATAAGTGAGAAAAGGTTATATTAAAAATATAAAACTATAATAACTTTTTAGTGTGTACAGAAGACTGATATACTCGGAAACTTAGTTTTTAATCAAGTCTTAAATAAATTTGTATATTGGAAACTAAAATACATCGTTTAATTCAGAAAAAATAAATATGCTGACAACAATATTGAAGTCTTTCTTAATAATTTTTTATTTATGTTGAACAAATAACTTATTTCGCTGCACCCACTTCACCATTTGAATGGATGACTAACTGCTCTCCACTAGACATTGCATGAAACAACATAAAATGTCAACCACTGAATCGTGTTATAATGTTGTGTAAATGAAATTCATTTTGTGGTGGATATCATCAAGTCTTAGGTAGTTAAAATCCTTTTTGTAATAGCTGACCAAATTTTAATAATTAGTAGATAATGACGATGTTACAGTATCTTATACTCCTGATAAAAACTGCTATTTTTTTGCCTAATTATAACTAATTTACACTTCTGGGATAAAAAGAATACTATCCAGAAATACTTTAAAGTATAAATGTATTGAATTGCGTGGTGGAAATTCGTGGTTTGGAGATTCGATCTTTAATCTTTGGATCGTGGGTTAAATCTCACCTCATCTGCTATGCATAGATCCCTGCGTAGTGTATGTCTGAATCTGTACCATCTAACTATCTAGACCGAAATAGATGAAACAGAGTTCTTGCCTGTGATTCATTAATGAAAACTAAACCCCTTAACCAATGATCTCATAACTCCATAATATTCATATTATTTTACCTTTATGTTGTAGGTTTGGCATATTTAGGTGATTGATTGTTATACATAGCGAATCAAGTATAGGTCTGAACACTTGATTTAGAACCAACCTGTTTTCTGTAAAGACTAATTATACAAATCGGCTACCTGAAACTAAAGAGGGTCTTGAGGTTGAATGTTTTGATTACTGAATCATTTCCTCACTTTTCCTAGTTAGCATTGATTTACCTTGATACCAAATTATAAAAAATAACTAAGATATCGAGATATTTCATTTTAATTGAATCTGTCTTATTTTAAAGCTTATATAATCGACCTAAATTTATATGAAACCGAGTCATCTTCATATATATCTGGTGGTTCATCGTTTAAAAGGAATTAAACAACTGATTACTCATAGAAGATTGTCAGTTGTTCAGCAGTAATAATCTCTTTAAGAAAATATCTTTCTTTTTCAAAGAAGTATAAGTCACTGTATCAATGAAATTAATATTGTTTATTTTTATTCATTACTTTTGGTATTGGTTTATTGGTATATGTTTCGATTCTTAGTTATTACTGTATTAGCCATTTCTCGAAATATCAGATACTTTGGTATTCACTACAATTTGTATAATTGCCCAATATTTTTTTAGCTTTAAAAGTAGCACAAGTCAATATTTACATGCAAAGGTTGCGTGAGCGTCAAAGGCGCAAAGAAATTGCTTGTGAACATGCTTTGATTCCTCATATTCTAGCATTTATTCTAAACAAACGTGTAAAAAAACGTATTCCTGTAGTAGAAAAACACATTGGAAAAGAATATAAACCTGCCAGAAGTAAACATCGCGGACGTCCACCATCAATGACAAATATATCACACAACAAATTAAATAGTAAAATAACACCCATGAAAAAACTATCTAACATTAATGAATCTTTGAGTAAAAGTTCATCTAAAAAGCCTTCTCCAAGTAGTTGGCTTGCTGCTCCATTTATTGTTCAGTCATCTGAATTGATAAAAGGTGCACCAATTGTAGTCAATATTTCATCGAATGTTGTAAATAATCAAGTGCTAACCGATTCCAAAAGTATAAATCCAACTAATATCTACAAAGTTGAATCAACAAACTCATTGGAAGATTTCAATGGATTGTAAGTTTGTAATTAGTAATATTGTAGCATGACAAAATATTGATGTTTTCTCTAAGGTGAACACTGTTAGTGTTCACTCCCAAACGTTACTGAATTCAATTATCATTACTTCCATTTATGGCAACTTGAATAAGCATTCTATTTCACGTTATACATTGGTAATAGTTTTCATGCTATCATATATACATTTTAGAAAATCTAATATTTGTATTATTTAAGGTCACATAACCTTGCCTATTGATTAATTGCATTAAGTACTTTTCATAGTTCACAAATATTTCAACATATCGTATGAGGTGGCTGAAATATACTCATGATTAGTGAAAAAACAACGAGGTCAGGTTGTTAGTATAATTCAAAAACAGCTGATCCAAATGTTAGACAGTGTTTAACAACAAAACTTTATTAAGCTCTATCTTATATTACTTTGGATTTACACCAAACATAGAATATAACTCATTTCTTAAACATTCAGTAAAAATGAGAATTTCATCCTGAGAAAGTACTGTCTTTCGCTAGACATGCTTATTATTTTAAAGTTTTAATCATATTCTTAATTCAAAGTTAAGAATCATCTTTAAACTAATCTAACTAATGTCAGTTGCTAATCACTTACATAACATGAGAAAAAAGGGTATATTGTATCTAAACATTGAGAAAGCATAAAGTCGACCTATGATTTTTCTGGTTACTTACGTACGCATCTTCCCGGTTTCTTCTTCCGCTGAGATCTGGTTTGTTCTCTCCCACAGTAGGTTATTGCTGGTAGTGTCTGGCCAACGGACACCTGCTAATAAACACTTGTATTTTCTGGATGGTGATGGCTTTCGTAGTTCTCTAAGTTTCCGCCTCATACAGTAAAACTGTCTTGACATTTGTATTGAAAATTCTGACCTTGGTGTTGGTTGACAGAGTTGTTTTGAGTTCCAAACGTTTTTCGATGGTATATATGTTGTTATTGCTTTGCCGATCCGCGCCTTCACATCTGCATCAGATTCATCGATGATGCTGCTTAAATATGTAAAAGTTTTCACATCTCCCAAATCTCCGTCAATTGTGATTGGATTGGTGCATGCTGTGTTGTATCGGAGAATCTTGCTTTTCCCTTTGTTTATGTTGACACCTACTGTTGCTGAGGCTGCCTCTACACTGTTTGTCTTCTCCTGCATTTGTTGTTGCGTGTGCGATAGAACAGTCAGATCATCTGCGAAGTCTACATCGACCAGCTGCATCGTAGCTGTCCACTGTATCCCGTGCTTCCCCCCAGATTTCGACATCTTCATGATCCAGTCGATCACCAGGAGAGAGAGAAATGGTGAGAGTAAGCAACCTTGGCTGACACCGATCTTTACTTCCAACGAGTTTGTGAGCTGTCCTCCACGCACGATTTTTCAGTTTAATCCATCATAGGAATTCCGTATGACATTGACTGTCTTCTGAGGCACGCCGTAGTGTCGAAGAAACCTTCATAGCGTTGTTCTGTCCGCGCTGCCAAATGCTTTTTCGTAGTCAATGAAGTTGATGTAGAGTGATGAATTCCATTCAATTGATTGTTCTACAATGATCCGTAGAGTTGCGATTTGTTCTGTACACGATCGATCCTTACGGAATCCTGCCTGTTGGTCACGAAGTTGGCCGTCTACAAAGTCCTTCATTCTGTTTAACAATATCCTGTTAGAGACTTTTCCTGGTATTGAGAGAAGAGTGATGCCCCTGTAGTTATCACAGTTGCTGAGATCGCTTTTCTTTGGTATCTTGATGAGGTGTCCTACTTTCCAGTCTGTTGGTACTTGTTCTTCATCCCAAATCTTGCTGAAGAGAATGTTGAGTATATTTGCAGCTACTGCTACATCTGCTTTCAGTGTCTCTGCTGGAATGTCGTCTGGTCCTGATGCTTTGCTACTCTCGATTTGTCTGATGGCCACGCTGATCTCTTCGATTGTTGGTGGGCCAAGATTGATTGGGAGGTCTGTGGGTGGTGCTTCGATGTTGGGTGGGTTCAGTGGGTCTGGTCAAGTTATGACGCCTCATAGTGATTTCACCGATGCTTGACTCAATTTCTGCTCAACATTACAGAATTAAAAAATGGAACTAACATTAGGTTTCATTCCAATGTTGTAGTATGTATGTACGTGTAACATCCAGTTTCTTCGATCACTAATCAAAATGAAACTGATTCAATAGGATTCTTTTGTGTACTCATACGGCAATGAATGATTCAGAGGAAAATCGGGAGTATTTGTCGAGATACATTACTCAATGAGAAGTTATGCTACATTATTATTGGTTTCTGAATTGTAATTCAATTTATACTAATTGAATGATCCCGTTCTTCATAATTTCCACCGAACTTTGGTTAGTGTTGAGTTGCTACATATCCATTCTGTGCGGATCGCCTCGATATAGCTATTTTGTCAAAAGTTTTAGAGGGTAAATATATTTTGACTATCATTGGAGTGCAGGACTCTCATCTCATCCTTTTTGGAACTGAATGTACCTGTATCTGTATATTAATGTTTTCACCAGGACTCCAATCAAGTATCTATGGATTCAAGCACCAGTACATTATCCACTGATCTACCTAGCCCGTACAACCGCTAGCCTGTGCAACGGCTGTGAATTTCAATTTAATTTGTAATGATTTGGATTATTGACTTAAAATTCATGTCCATTATTGTACAAGTGAATGATTATCTAAATTCACTAGCTAAGCGGATAACGGGTTAGGCGTTTGAAACGGAAGGTACTGAGTTTGAATCTCGTAATAAATGTCAACTCCGACGTGCATTTCCATTCAGCTGACAAGCACCAAATCTTTTGTGATATATGTCCTGGATTCTACTGCTAACCACATTCTATCTCATATTTTCTGAAGTTTTTATCCATTCTTTTCGGATGTATATTTTGAAATTTGTTGAATATATGTACATTCTTCTAACTTGTAATCAGTGTAATATCTCTGCTTGTCACTCTTTTTGTACAACATTTCTTTATTTAAATGAATTGTTCAAATGACTCTATTGTTTGATTGATTGTCTATGTATAATTTTTAGACTACTGTATATAAAAGTTAGTGTCTATTGCAAGCTGTGAAATAAAAACCCTTGACAACTAAGAAGGACTGAACAACACAGTAGAATCAATATATTATATTTGTTGAAAAAGATTTTAAGCTCTTATGTTTTATCTTAGGTACATGCTGTCGTGTTTCGAATAAGGATGAAATATTTACTTATTTAAATACATATAAAGTCCGATACAACTGAACACTAAGTATTTATGTTTACAAAAATATTGTTTAATTGGAGTACAGTTCAATTATAAGTATAATCACGGAAGATATATCTTTCAGTCAGTAAAGGGAATCGCTCTTCTTAATACAGAAAATGTGAAAGAAAACTATTGCATGATTTTTATTAGATTCTGTTCCAAACTACTAAGTTACAACATTGTTAGGAATTTAATCAGGGAATTATGATGAACTAATAGATGTCAGATCTATATAGATTTCGTTTTTTTTCTGTTTTCATATCTGGTTATCACTCTATAAATTGATCAATGACAATAGAAAGTTATCTAAAACGTCTTAGTTTTGATTAGTTTTACAACTAGTGTTAGTTTGATGATTTCAATTAACACTTTCAGTAATATAAAAGTTTGTTTAAAGTTTTGTCTACTTTTTTTTTTAAAAACTTTATCTTTCATGAATGAATTTTTTTTATTTCAGTTATTTAAATGAAAAATTAAAACCATTTCTAAGATATTTCACTGGTATACAAGGGAAACATTTCATGGAGAATTTGTACAGTAAGTTGTCGTTGTTGTTGTCGTCGTCGTCATTTATTTCTTTTTCTTTTCCTAGAAGAAGAATTAATTAAACATGAAATTAAATATTTACTTGATTTACGAGCTAAAGGAAAAACACAATTAATGGGTTAGTTGTATGTTGTATTTTATCATTATTATTATTATTAATATCAATATGACAATTTATTATGTATAATTAATTTAAATACATGAATTTTTTCCAGGAAATAAAATGGATTTTACTGAAGTAAATAAATTTCATGGTAACGTATTGATTGATTAGTTTAAAAGTTCTAATTCTTTGTCCGATCGATCTCTTCTTGAATTCCACAAGTTGTTGCAAGCCTTCAAAGTTGATACCTTTGGCTGACAGTCTAGTAACAATTATATATATATATATATATATATATATATATATATATATATATATATATATATATATATATATATATATATATATATATATCAGCAGTTAAAGACTTGCATTAAACAAGAACTCAGGTGGAGACAAACAATTTATTTAATAGTTGAATTCATGAGTCGTTTTAAGCTAAACCACCCTAGAAAACCTGGAAGCACTAGACGGCTGTTTCGTTCTAGTATGGGACTTCTCATCAGTGCACATTCACGATCCCGTATGCGGGACTCGAACACAGGACCTTCGGTATCGTGCGTGAATTCTTAACCTCCTGGTTACTGAGTCAGCATCCAATCGTGTTAATAGTTAACTTCAACCAATCCACGATATTGCGCGACCGTCCATTATTGTCTTCAGTGAGTAACTGCGTCACAACAGACGCGATTTGATTCCACTGGTCACATCTACCCACTAGGGACTTATGAATTCAAATTTCAAATGACTACAATTTCCACAAACCTTTGTTCTGACAATAACCAATTTATTATTTAGTGAAAAGTTACAGAGTTCTTTCGTAAAATGTTAAAACCATACATTAAATACTTCAAATATGGTTGAAAAGATTCATCATTGATAATGTTACTATAGTTTTCTATAATGGTTACTCCATAGGTGAAACGAAATCCATAAAAGCTGAATAAACGTAAACAATTACTTTTGTTTATTTATACAAATAGTCATTAATTAATTAAGTATTTATTAAATAAAGTCAATGTACAAATAGTTGCCTACATTGTGTTAATTCATAAAATAAAATTCATAGTTTTAATCTGAAGTTATAAATTTTTTTGTGTTATTATGTTTATTAGGTCACTAATTAATGCTAATTCATCTCTCTACTTTTTTATGCAATATTATAAACTATATTATTTTTTATACAAGTGTAGTATGCCTGAACACTGATTACCACGACGCGCAATGCTAACTAGTGTTGGGGATGGTTGGAAGAAAGTTAGGGGCGGCCAAACAAAAACGTAGCATCAGTGCTTGAAGTCACTAACTGGTTTGAGCCATGTTGGTCCGCGTGACTATCGTAACTAATGGTTGGAGACTCTTGGTATCATAGACCAGAATCTATCACTCTCTGTCTTCCCTTAAACTACGAGATTAAAATAGCTTCATATCTTTCTTTCTACGAACTAATTCTTTCTTCCTGTACTATGTCATAATATGCAATCTTTATTTAATATATTACCACCACTGAATTAACTACTTCTATAGATTCCGTGTTCATCTTGTTGTGCTAATGAGGTATGGCAACTTGGACCGATGCAAATATGTGCCTGGTTCTACTTTGTAGCTGACTGGCTGAGTAGTTACTTAGTGGTTAAGTTGTTCGATATTCAGACTCTAGGTCCGAATCCCATCTCATCTACTATAATTTGGACAGCTAGTTAGTGCTTTCGCTAACACTCATACTTGCTGTGTGAATCGAAGCCAAATACACGAATTATTACCCAATAATAGTTTAAAAGTAGTGATAATTAAAGTCTTGTACTTACAGTTAACACTTCATTAATTTGATTAGTCAGTTTTATCTCTTTTCTTTTAACTTTGTTTTAAATACAAAATAACGTATAAAGGTATAAAAATCAAATTCCCACCATTGAAAAGTTCCATATATCATCAACATCAAATACAACGACAACAAAATATCTCTGGTCAAAGTACCGAACAACAAACACGTCAGTTACATCACAACGTGAAGAAAAGACGTAAACATCTAAATACTCCATGGTATATGAAAATGCAACGTAAAGTTAAACAATGTAAATAAACGTTTTATAAAATGAAGATGATAATCATTCTCTCTATCTCATACTTTTTGTTTTGATTTTACTGAGTAACTATAACTAACTTTATGTATATTTATTATGTAGAACCCAGAAGAGATTCAATATTCAATTTTTATCTCAATTCTATGTCTAGTTGTATACAAGATTCAATTGATCTTTCTTCTTGCATTTACTACTACAATATTATAATTCTGATTATCATTATTTTCTATTTTGGGTTATTTAAAGGCTAAAAAAAGAAAGAAAATGTATTTATTGTACTGTTATTATTACTATTATTCCTATCAAACTATGTATCTTCTGCAATAAAATTTACTTACCAAACTGATTTTCTTTTATTCAATCTTAAGCAAACTAAACTGATAAATAATCATTTATTAATTTATATCAGAAGGGGTTTTGTGGAGATTGTAGTAATTTCAATAGTTGAGATCATGAGTTAATTGAAGCTAGACCACTATGGAAAACCTGGAAGCACTGGATGGCCGTTACGTCCTATTTTGGGACTCCTCGAAGCAGGATATTTACAAAAAATACTCTAAGCTATTAGAATATTGGATATGAAAGCCAAAAGTATTGTGTAGGGGATAAGTCAATCAGAGTCGAAAACGTGACTTTTAGGCCTTTGGTCGAAATTCTAATGTTATGTATATCTTTGTATGCTTCTCAAAACATTTTAAATGATTATAAGAAACTCATTTTGCCACCATAGTCCAAAACTGTTAATGTTAGACGTATTAAGCAGATTTTGTTTAACAGGCAGCTTGATACTATGCGTGGATCTTAGCTCCAGACACTGAGAAAAATATTAACCTGGTGGCACTATAGCTTATGGCAAACTGTGGTGTGAACTACTTATATTGATATAAGTAGTATATAACGTGCGTTAAAAGAACGTAATGTCTGGCAGCAGATGATGGCGAAGATCAAGAAAGGTAGAGCGAGAACACAATGGGATTTGTAAGAAAACGCATGAACAAAGGAATGGGAGACGATGGATTGGTGTTTGCAACAGAAACAGTACAGTTTGGTTTGATGCATGAATATTTTGCAAATTGACGATTTAATATATGGTATTCGGATTTTGTTGATAGACTGTAATTGTTGTGCTAAATGTATCCGTTTGTTCCCACCCGTGTTCTTGTTCATTACAAAACTAATTAAGCCATGTTTTTTACGAAATACACATCCGCACGATTAAAGAGCAGTTCTGCATTGCGGCTGATGTCAGCTCTTATTGAGAGTTCTAGCTAAGAATGTGGGACCTTTACAAATCTATTTAGGTCCTTATAAGAATTCGAGGAAACGGATAATTTGTGTCCATAAGATAAGTCTACATGCTATTGTTTTTTCACAAGAGGAGTAACCTGTAGAAAATTTTAAAAAATCCATTCATTTTGCAAAATCTGTTTATACTGTTAGTATTACCGTTTTGTTTTCTACAAGCTATATTTACTTACGAAGGATGTTTTTTGATTGGCTGCGAAGTGCATGAAAACTCTGCGGTTGCTTTAATCTCATTCCTGTACTCTTTCTATTTGAAGTATGCTAGGGTGAATAAGACCAAAGTATTTTCGTGTTGTTTCATTTTGTATCGTATGATAAATATACACTAACATCGTGTTAAATATTATATGCTGAACAAAGTAAGCAGTGATTAGCCAATACGCGAAGACAGACGTATCCGGTCATATTTAGTATAATACGCTATATTATATGTATAACTGATTTCGCTTTCGTTCCACTCTGACTCCACTTGTTTACTGATTTGGAATATGTGATAATATACTGTTATTGTGACTTACTTCGGGTTCTTGGTTGCCAGTCAGATAACTTAGTGTGGTGTACTACGTGGTCTAATACTCAACCTAGTAGTTGATTCTACAATCTAATCATAGAATGGTCTAGTGAAGTATAGAGTCGTGGACCACAAACCCTATTTTCGGTTATAACAAAATTCATGTCACATTCCAAATTATACAAACGGTTTGTTTCGGTTCGTTTTTCATCCATTATGAAAATAATTCTCTTCATGTAACAAGATCAGTTGAGAAACGTCTTAAAACCAGTTGTGTGTACCTGTAAATCATATATTGTATTAAACCCCAGCCTTTTTAAATCCTACAGTAAGGATGATACATGATGAATCGGTTTACATTCCAAATCTTAATTACTTCCTAACACAGGATGCTCCTTACTTAATATTATGGAACAGTTCTGACTTGTCTGTTGTTACCTAATATCCCCAACAACAATGGTATTTTTTGACAGAATGATAGGATTTGACTTTGTTAATCGACGGGTTCTGCAGTAATGTTTGTCATTTGTGGAGACTATCTTATATCACTCTTGGTCAAATAGTAGCTGCAATCGACCTTAAGTAGTGCTAATCAAGACCGACCGGTTTCTCTACTTCTAATTAGTTTTGCGGTGTATGTACTCATACAAATCGCACTTTTTTTATCTAACTATTCAGAGAAATTCCAATTACAGGACTTAGAATACAGATGAATTCGTCCTGTTTAATGAAAAACTTGACAAAATCCGGAGTTTTCTGATAGCAGTCAGTCAGTTAGCTACAACGTAGAACCAGGCACATATATGCATCGGTCCAAGTTGTCATACCTCATTAGCACAACAGGATGAACACCGGATTCATAATAGTTAATTCAATGGCGTTAAATTTAAAAAAATGATTGCATATAAGTATATAGTACAGGAAGAAAGAATTAGTACGTAGAAAGATATGAAGCGATTTTAATCTCATAGTTTAAGAGAAGACAGAGAGTGTATACACCTACGCCACTGATAGCAACAATCTAAGTATGTTTGAGATGAGGGATTATGACTAGTAGTTGAGTGATATAGCTGAGAATCAGTCTCAATGGAGTAAATGGATGTAATCTTTTTCTACCCGAAAATCCTAAGCTTATTCCATAACTTAATTTCATTTCTTACTGCCACTAACTCTACTTTGATATCGACCGTGATAATTCCACCTATTGTGTTGATGAAGTATAACGTGAAATGGTGCAATATTGTACTAGATTATATGTTGCTTATAGATGACTAAGTTTTTGTAGCTCTAATAATCGCTTAACTGGTCATTCTCTTCATAAAAACTATTTCACAGCTAATGATTTTATGTAAAATTCTAAATTATGCACTATAGTGTATCCCCATCTTACCTAGCAGAACAATTTATTTAAACAAATGAGACAAATATATATATCTTAAGAAAAAGACAATAAATCATAGGATCAAGTATACTTGAAAGCCTTTGCAATTTTACATTCAAATAGTCATACATTTACATTTTTTTCAAACACGAAGCGTACGTAACGAGTAAATCAATTAGTAAATTATAGTTCTCAAGAATTTGTTTACCACACGATATTTTTCATTCCGCTTATTGTAATTAAGAGAATGGTTCACTTAATACGAACGAGATTCATGATAACCTTGAGAAATAATTTTTCATCAAAGCATACTAAGCAAATCATGCTCAAATGATCATAAAACACTTATATGTTTGAAATGTTTCGATCGACAGCATCGCGTGCTCACTGAACAAATCTCTTCAAGTGTTCTGATTATCTGATACATATTCGATAAGGCAATTTCATAGAAAACATCAATAGTAAGACAATCACTCGAGTTTCACAATGTTGTTCAAGAAATACCTGTTTGAGTAAGGTCAAGTTTTTGATCAATGATATTAGCAAATATAGAAATGGCATAGAATATCACTCAATTATGTATAATAAGCAAACAACTTTCGGTAATTGTGCAAGTTATCATTTCATTATTATTGTTATGTTTAGGTCTCATCTTTTTGTATGGATACACTGTATATACGGTAGAACAGTTAGTCTAATGTTCAATGAATACTAATGTCATTACAAATTAACCCCAAAATCTTTTGGCGGAGTTTTGTTCTCTGAGCTGGATGGTTTGGTCGTGGAACTTTCATCATCAGCAAAAACATGAACATCTATTAGCAGTCAAACGTCATGATATCTCTTCACTTATATCAATACACGTGGATAACTACGGACACTCATTCGATTGGAAAAATGTAGAAATCTTAGACAGAGGAAACTCCAAGAACACAAGAGAATTTTTAGAAGCCTGGCACTCAGGTCAATCAGCAATCAACAAACATTGAAATCAATCCAATTTATCAACCAATCAGGAAAATCATGCATAAATATAGGAACAAAAACCAAACCAATGGGAGACAACCAAAACAAAGTAAACAATGATAAATTTAAGGTCAATAAGAACCAATCAACATCGAGGTGCACAGAACAAGCTGTGAAACACATATGGAGAGATTCGAACACTTTACTTCTATCTGAAGTTTTTGCTGATGATGTCGTTCAGAAGAACGATGAAAGCTCCACGACCAAACCATCCAGCTCAGAGAACAAAACTCCACCAAAATCATCCACCTGAGCTACAAATCTTCTCCACCATCTCATAAACCCCAAAATCACTTATAATTTAACATTGTACGACCTTAATGAGTTCAAAATCATGAGTATTAACTTGAAGTTTCAGTATTTGACTAATATCGTCACATGGACCCTTTTAGCTTCGATCCAACCACAAATTCTATCTGAATATAAGGAATTTACAGTTGTACGTTGTTTGTATATATATCCGACCTGAAGAACTGTCACAGGTCCAAGTTAGAGATTGAGGAAGTTGCAGTTTTTATTATATCCAAAGATATAAACAAGTTCGCATATATTATGAGTTAACTGATTTTGTAAATACTATTAAGTGATACTAAATTTAATGATTTTAAGACAAAAGTGTTAATTCAACTCCAGGATAGATAACAAAGTACACAATGTTGATGAAATTTGATGTGAAACGAAAAAGCCAACTTAAATACCCAACTGAAATCTTCAGCTTTCTAGTTCTTGTCGTCTAGTTATGTGAATAATGTAGCTTGACAATGAATTCCAGGTTCATTTGGTCGCCTTAATGGTTGACAGCTTAGTAGTTACAGGCTTGAATTACGCCCCACACAGTTCAGTATGAACAACCGGGTAAGTATCACTACCTCGCCCACTACGAATGTCTTGATGTAAAATACATGAATATGTATCTGGTAAGTGATTTTTGATAAGGCGATCATCATTTAATTAATATGAATTGTGTGCATTTCATTGATAATATACAACTGTCTAGGCCATTGTAAACAGAATGTGATTGGAACATTTAGTTAAAGCCAATCGCTTTAACCTGTAAATAACTGTTCCAATCAAATACTTGAGATCAATCATCCAGTTAGTAAACCCCTCTTGCTACCATACTTTAAAAGATGAAAAGAAGCAGATTTCAAAAAGCATATACTTGTCATTTTTAGCTTTAGGAACCAGGATAAAAACAGATAATGATAAAACAGAAGTTATTGATTTTCTTTCATTTTTATGGTTAATCTTGCCATTTGTAGAACACCCTCGCGAGTTTTATGTACACCTAAGAATCCAGTAGAATGTACAAATATACAATCAGGCAGCCCAACAATACTACTTAACTGTTCATCACGTAAACCTCTCCAACTTTCGGGTAGAGGAAGTCTAAAATAATGTAAATTCAAAAAAATGACGTTGGATTCACCGGAATAATATATATGATTACGTAATAACTAACAAATATCCATTGATATCAATAACCAACCTAATTTAGACACTCACTGAAATCCAAAAAGCACTGGACAGCTGAGGAGTAGTAGTATGCGACTCCTCAACAGTGCGCACCAACGACCTTATCGTGGATCGAACCCGGTCTCACACTCAACCACAACCTCCAAACCACTAAGCTGGAATTCAGTGGTGCACGTCATATGTTCGCCATCGAGACCTGAGTCTAATCCTCGGTAAGTTTGTCGACGCACAATGCTAAGCACGAATCATATGTTCAGTGCTTTTTTTTGGTTTTCAGTGGATGTCTAAATAAGATCGGTGTATATGATATGAATGACATCCAATAATCTGTACAAACCTCTAATACTAATAAATAATGATTGGTTCAGGATTTAAAATCTCCAGTTATAGGTGAGAAGCTCAAATAATAACAATGAACTGAGGACAGACAAGTACAAAAAAACACAACTAGTCCAATATAGATGAACAGTTAAAAGCAAAGTGTATCTTTCCGTTCCCTCGTTACTACCACACTACCTTACATCAATCTCTTCGTTATCGTTCTCTTTTTTTTTGCGCTCCTTAGTTTTCTTTTTTCTATTTCTCTTCGAATTTTCATTGTTTTGTGTGGCGCATATATATTGGCGCTCTGTTGTACCAATATTTATGTGTTCAAATAAATAAATAAATAAAATGTATCAACAAATGACACAAAAATAAGTTTACGATTAACCGATCACTAAGAAATTATACAACAGAAAGACTAGTTAATATCAGATGGGTTTTGTGAACATCACAGTAATTTCAAAGGTTAAGATCATGAGTCAGTTGAAGATACACCACCATGGAAAACCTGGAAGCACTGGATGGCCGTTTCGTCCTGGGTTCGAATCCCACAGGGGCGAAGTCGTGGATGCCCACTGCTGAAGAGTCCCACAATACGACGAAACGGTCGTCCAGTGCTTCCAGGTTTTCCATGTTGGTCTAGCTTCAACTGACTCATGCTCTTAGCCATTGAGAAAGGCTAGTTACTAATGAGTACTACAACTATCATATACAAATTTCACAATAAATAAATGAAAACTTACCTTTGCGAAAAATTATTATGCTCATTCAATGGTATAGCTTGTATAGTCCATGTACTATCTTTACGTTGATAAATAACAAATAAAATTTGATTATGTTTTTCAATTTCATTTACATTCATATTATTTAATAATAAAGATTTTTCAATTTCAAAAAAATGTGCATTCCAAGGACATCCAGTACCTTCAATATAAATTATTGTACCAGATGAATCAATGGAATATCGATTTTTCACAGCATTTAATACAATTTCACGAGCTGGATACCATGTATCAGCATAGAAATGAACTAATGTAATAAACTCTTGATCAACTAATTGTAATGCATTCTGAAAACAAATCTAAAATAAATGGATATACACATATACAAAAATTTATTAATATCGTATAAAACAAAACTAATCATAGAAAAATGATTATGTTTAAAGTAATCTAATAGTCCCTTACAAAATTTACAGTATTTTTAAATATGAGATGGTTTTCGTGGATATTGTAGTAATTTCAATGGTTAAGATCATGAGTCAGTTGAAGATAGACCACCATGGAAAACCTAGAAGCACTGGACGGCCGTTTCGTCCTATTGTAGGACTCCTTAGCAGTGCGCATTCAGGACCTCGCTCCCTGCAAGATTCGAACCCAGGACCTACTGGTTTCGTGCGTGAGCACTTTTATCGTACTATGGGCCATGATATACCATTAAAAAGAAAGTTAATCTTAAGTGTTAGATAATGTTTACTTTGAAATGAAAAATAGTTTTCTTTATGTATTACAAAATGGAATACATAAATATTGCAATACGATGACAGATATGTCCCTATTGTTGTTATCGTCTAACTATAATCACATATTAAGTAATAAAGTTTATTATGTAGTGGAAATTATATTCAATTTTTCAACGGGTATAAAGATATTTTACTAAAATACTCTTGTACGGTCGAAAGTGGGAAGAGTTAACTTTCCCTCTGAAAATGCTCTTACATGGCCACGCGTATATAGCCGCTGTCAGAGAAGTACTACTCATTGCCTTCTCGTGGCATTACTATTGTTTACGAAATTGAGAAAATGAAAAGAGAATGTTCGATGCCTTAACCGGGTTAGTGGATATGGAGGATCTGCCTAAGGGAGTTGAAAAACCATGATTCCCAACCAGTGGTGCACATGGGCTCCAGGATCCTGAGGGAACAAATGGCGCATGAACTTATTGTTGGTCAGCGACTATAATGGGACTGCATTGTGCATTAGACCTCTAGGGGACACACTTCTTCCCATATGAGACTCTTCAACTACGTGTATCTGCATCCTAGAGTTGATGTTTACTCTGAGATTGGAATTATTATACTATAAACTTTCATTTGTAATCTTGGAAAAGCAGACATGTATATCAACTTACAGTTTCATCTGTATCCAATTGATTCCAAGCTGGATTCATACGATTCACTCGACTACTTAAAGATGTATTCATAGAATATCTAGAATTCAAAATGATTAAATATCAATTTGAAAATTCAAACAACCTTAAAGGTGTTATTGCCATCGGAACACCATTATCGATAGCGTCTATCTCAACGATGAATGAACTATACATCTATAATAACAGAAATAAAGAGAGAAAATGTTTTGCCAAATTCTGAAGGAAGAAAATTGCATCCAGAAATAATCGATTTCTTGATGTACAAAACCTACCTTATCAAAAAGTGCCGTCACTAATGGATCCATATTATTTTCATCTATACCAAGTATACAACTTAGTATTTTTCGACCGAAATGAACGTATATCAAACCTGCACTACTTAATTTTATATCCCAATCAGAATTCGGATAAAAATCTTTATAAGTAAGGTTGAATTCTCTACAAAAAGTAAGATTTAAAGAAAAGAGGAAAAAAACTGAGTTAACTTTAACAAATTATATTGCTAACCTTTGATGATGGTCGTATAGATGATTCTCAGCATTGAATACACCACCAACGTCAACGACGATATCACATGTTGACAAAATACTTGAATCTCTTGTGCGTATAATTTCAGCATTTGAGTATTCCGGTAAATGTCTAAGCATTGCACATGCAAGTATTTCATCTGCATGGAATCGTCCATCATGTGTACCAATACGCAGTTTTGAATTAGCTACCATTGATAATAACGAAATATTGTTAGCTACATGAAAGACGAAAACAACACAGTATGATTATTGACTAAAAGAATTGATTGAGTAAAGCCCAATTATATTTAAGTCGACTGATTTACTAAGTGACATATTCGTGTACTTGGTTTACAGCCACATCACAAGTATGAGAGGCAGTTATGCGACATGGTAGGGTATTTATCGAGTATGAGTTTTAGTGGCTAAAAGTTGAACGTTTTAATTACATACTATTCCGATTACATAATAGGTTCATGTTGTCGAAAATATTCACAATTTTATGGTGTTTTGATAAGCAGTTTGTAAACGAGTAGATTTTGTCAAGAGAATCATATGTTTGCATATACGATATCAGGTGAAGTAGTTGATGTGGGTTTTGTGTTGTAGAGGCAAAATTATAAAGTACATTACCGCTCTCAATACTTCATGAGAATGAATGTTATAATGATTTGTTCGATAATTTAATACTTACAAAACATATCAACAAGTGAATGATAATATTAACTACGAAATAGTACTTTTAAGCAAGTGTTTGCAGTTGTGCTAAATTTAACGTTTTAACTAAATTATTAGTCCTATTCAACTGCACATAAATTTCAAATTAGAAAATGCATTTTTAAAAGTTAGTAACATTCGCAACGTAATCTTTCTATTATAAGCAAAGATGGATGATGGCTAGCAGTGGAATCGAGGACGCGCGTTTCGTCCTATTCGGGAGTGGTCACTTGGATGCACCACCTGCTTTCTATATTCTCATTGTATAATAAATAGCAAAGTGTAGATGCATTCACTATTTGTCTACCCTGAAATCCTAAATTTCAAACTAATTTTATACCTTTTATTGTGGAAATCCATTCGTTTTACTCAAATTAGATTCTCTAATACTAATCCTTTTTTGACTATCCCTGATACAACTATTCATTGGACATACATATTGATAATTTAAACACGCAGCCCTAATCTAACTTCTATCTGACGTTTGTGCTGATGATGTCGTTCAGAAGGAAGATGAAAGCTTCACGACCAAACCATCCAGCTCAGAAAACAAAACTCCATCAAAATCATCCACCTGAGCTACAAATCTTCTCCACCATCTCAGTTACAACAATTGCAAGTAAACAGCTATTAATCTAAATCAAACAAACAATAATTGACATTTAGCACCTTAAATCATATTAATAATCTATCGTTGGAAATATATATCAACAAGAATAACGCCTTAAATAATTACATTGCTTCTAGATTTTCAATGGTTGTCTAACTCAAATCCGTTCGTGATTTCAATCAAATGAAGAATTGTACTTTCAGTCAACAACTACATAGTACGACAAAATAATTGCTTTTAAGTTGTTCCAAGTCGTAAACAAAGTAGGAGCTGAAACTAACGTACATCAACGAAATTCGTGATATTACATTCACGTAACAAGAAATAATTAAGAAGACGGACAGTTGAGAAGTTAAATTAATATTAGCGTCTCTTTTATTTAAAAACAGAAAAATGTAATCTGGGTACCCCAAGTTGATAATTGAATTTTGTAGTAAGAGAATAATTCTTGGAAAGATCGATAAAGAAAGTATTATTTCTAAAAATATAACTATGATAAATATAGAAATGAATCAAGAAAGGGAACAGAAAAGTTACTCATCATGTTCTACATTAGCTTTAATAAATTGAAGTGTATACTACCAAAGAATAACACTAAATAAATATTTAATATAATCTTTTAAACTATTCGAAATACAATAAAGTATGCCATTTATGATAATCTAATTTAACAACACCTTCACATACATACACTAAAAATATGATCAAAATGAAAATACATGTTAACGTGTAATATGACATCTGAAATAGATTTTAATCTAACACTGAGTAAGAAGGAGGTCAAGTTGAAGAATAAGAACACTTTCAGAAATTATTGATAAGAATTATCATAAATAACATGAATATTATAGTTTAGAAAACATTAGTGTTAGTCAATGACAAAATGTTATCATGAAAGACCAAAATTTAACAGCGTATTAATGGACTGTTCAAAAAGGACTGACATAACTAAATAAAGTTATTAACGATATAGTAATTTTGGTGAAGTTTAATTTTCTGAGCTGAGTAGTGAAGTTTTCATTGACTTTTAGGACATTATTACCCTATGTGGAAAAATAACTCAGAATAGTTCACTTCTATCTATCTATCTATCTATCTATCTATCTTAATGATATTGCCTAGAAGGAAAAGATAATCTCATGACTAAACAATTAAGGTCCGAGAATAAAACCGTGCCAAAAACACCCACCTAAGTAAATCTTCACCATCTCACAGGATAGTAAAAATTAACGAATATTGTAACTTACAAGCAAAGTATAGATTCATGAACTGAACTCCAAACCAGAGTATATTATATTACAGCTGATGATATTAACCGATTACTCAAACCGAAATGATGGAGTACATGAATTAAATTTCAAATCCTCTAACTGACAGCTAAATATATTAACTACTAAGCTACTGATCCACCAATTCACTCTCTAACCTCATATTTACCATGTACATTAACTTTATATGAAAACAATGAAATTAGTGTTGACTCTACTATTGTGATTATGCGAAGACTATATTGTTGAAAGTTTTAGCTCAATAAGCATAATCTGTGTCATCAGTTATATCGGTATCATTTTTTTTTAATGCTGAAGCTAACTATAAAGGTAAGTACTGCAAAAGTACGTAATGATGATACAAATGTATATTACAAGAAATATCTCACTTTTAGTCAACTGTACACAGAATGAAAATAGATAAGCAGGGAATTTTTGAAGCTTGTTGAATTGATAAACACTTTGAAGAATCTAAAAATACAAAACTGAAAGGATAAATTTCAGTTTCAATGACACAACCAATATACCTATAAATTCATCTTTTTTAAACAATCAATAGAGTTCCAGTTATGCAAATAAAAACGTGATCAGTTTAATTTACTTAAATATGCAATAGATTAAATTATCAATTATATGTAAGTTTCTAAATAATAAACACTTAAAATGTCAATGGTTGAAATCATGAGTCAGTTGAAGCTAGACGATCATGGAAAACCTGGAAGCACTGGACGGCCGTTTCGTCCTATTGTGGGACTCCTCAGCAGTGTGCATCCACGATCTCGCCCCCCCCCACGAGATTCGAACAAAGGCAACATATTTTTTGAACATTTAATGTTTACATGAGATGGCTAGTCAAATTAAAGACTATAATAACGAAAGATTACAGTGTGAAGTCATATGATAAAGTAGAGTAATCATGTATATTCATACTAATAGGAAATCATGTAATAACTAGTTCGATTTAGTAAAATATACAACGTGAAGGATAATAAATTAATAGTCATTGTGTATGCAAATTCATGGTATTTCATAAGCAATAACAGGTTAATTTCTAATCAAAAGTGTTATCAACTAACACCAGTTCCTTTTCATTATAACTATTGAACATGGCTTCAGATGCTTACTATTAAACAGTGAAAATTACATGACAAAAAAAAGATATTTACAGGATTCTTTTTTTGAATTTCTGACAAATTTTGCAGCAACTTATTGACTAAGTTAATATTTATAAACTCAATTTTGAGCCACAATTTCTCGGGATAATAACAATTAATAATCCTCTTCTGTTTAAAGTGCCGTAAGTGAATTGGGATTCAAAACCATAACCCAGTAGTCAATAATCGAATGTTTCACTCATTGAACCAATACGTTTAGCTTAAACTTAAAGAAAATTGATCACAAAATCAAACAATAAACAAATACTAATCAATTAGTTTTCTGTTTTATACTAACGAGAATTGATTCCGACATATTGTATATGATTTAATCAATAAACATATACATTTGTGCAGTAGTAGTTGCTGAGTATTTTGAGCTATCGGCTTTTGGTCAACAGGTTACCCGTTCTGAATCCACTCCGCCTATTTCTATTCGGGGGGAGGGGCTAGTTAATACTACATCTCCCATACAGTTAATGTGACATAAAGCTGTGTAGTATAGATCTGTACATTTTAGAAATAAAGTAAAAGCATCAATGGCACTAAACACACAACATCCGACTGAAACAACAAAGATTCCCAAATATAATGGAGTAAGTTGATACGATAATAAGGAACGAATTGTATTGAAAAATATGACTACCACAATTTACATTGTGGATTAGTTTTAGTAATACAGCCATTCCAAAAGAGGAAGCATTTAGCAGCTTTGTTGATTGTGGTAGAGCCGTAAAACGAAAAAGTAGATTAATAAAATAAATAAGCTATCAAGTGGTAAAACCCAAAGCAAACAAATGATCCACTCGATTAGTAAACTAGTCACTTTACAAGAGGGATTACAAGTATTATCTAATAAACGCCAAAGAACTCACTAGCTAAGCGGATAACTGATTGGGTATTTGAAGTGAAAGACATCGGATTGAAGTCCCAGAGTAGGTATTCACACTAGAATCTAAGTACATACAATGGAAGAGTATCAAATGCGATTAAACGCGCGTCTTGGATTCCACCGCTACCCAATATCTAACTTTGTTTTAAAAAAAACTTGTTACTTAATGGCAATAGCGAGACAATCTGCTAAGAATGTACATATGCCAATAGACACTGACCAATCATAGTCCTTAAAATTAACAACGTGAAGATTAAAACATTTACAAATAAAAGAATTTAAATGCTTGAAGATTCAAATGAACTGTATGAGTGATCGGATATTGTGTACATTAGTCACCAATTTTTATTAGCTCAACAGTTATTAAAGCTTACCAATAACAGATAACTAAATCGATATGTAATCAGTTTATTACATGTCTAAGATAAGTTACTGATTAAAAGCATATAGTATAGTTCAGACTATTTTATGGTTGGATTTGAATTGAACTAAAATGACTTAGAATTCGTAAGATTATAAATGAACAGACAACAAAAATAAACACATTCACCTGATACTATTTTGCCAGATCAGATATGACATTTGTAATATCATGCAACAACATACAAGTACAAACAAGCAGAATTTAGTAGACAAAAGAGCAAAAACAAATAATACAATTACATTTATTGAATCTATAATCTGATGTTGAACAATAGAGCAATGCAGTTTAACCCAATAAGTTACGAAAAAATAGAATCTATTTAATAAACAATGGCAGAGTAAAGTTAAAAATATATATTTCTTATTTTCAATAAAAAACAAACAAACAAACAAATAGATTTGTTTATCTTTTATACAGCGTTTAGTGATGAGATGAAATGCTATCGAAACCGTAAGAATAACAACTAACGAATGAATGTATGTATATGTGTTTCAATCTTTCCCTCTACCTCTACCTCTACCGCGACCACGACCTCGACCACGTTCTTTGCTATTGTTGCTATCAGAGGATGAACATTGATCTCCTCGTTGTAATTTGGATTTCTGAGTATTTATGCGCTTTTTTGGATCATCCTTTTTAATCTAGAAAAAATATATATATTAGATATAGAAGGAAAACCAAAGGATAGATAACTGATAAATATAAGTATGATAACAACAAAAAACAAAAAGTACTCATGTGGGGAGCCAATCAGAAGTAGCCTTATGAGAAGGTCAATCGATGGCAACCAGAAGTGACCTAAAGGACAAGTGCATTTCATTGGCTAAATAGTGAATCAATTTCCTAAGGATTAGAGTGGTATATATATTTATGAATAAATATTTGTAAATTTTATTCGGTAGTTTAATACAGTTTCTCACTCACTCTCATGTTTTCACTCAAGTAGTCAGTTGGGGAGTCGGCGTGTAACAAACCGCTTATTAGTATCAGATTTTGGACACCGCCTCTCCCAATAAAAACAAATGACGACGGTGAGCAGAAAACAACAGAAAATGTCAGTGTACATTGTTGCATTATGTAGATTGTTAAAATCAAAACAGACAAATGTCTACAGTGCAACAATAAAAAGGTAAAAGTAATTTATTAATGCTGTTTAAGGCGTTTTCCTTTATTCAATAATTAGCAATGTCAATTCAAATATAATATAAAGTACTGACATCTTGAATTCAAATGTGTACTATTCAATTTAGAATTAAAAGCCTTACATATACGAGCAGGTGACCATACATATCTATGGATCTCATCTTGGTAGAAGATATTCACCTCATAGTCATAAGACATAATATTATTATTTACAAAATGCAATAAATTTTTATATGGACAATCGTTGCAACATACTAAAATCATGGCATCATTCTTCAGGTCGACTTTCTCGTCTTCCTGTTCTTCTTCTTCATCATCGTCGAATAGACCAGAATCATTTTCAATTTCCCCTTCAAATGAAACTGGAGCACCACCACCACGTTTACGTTTAAAGGAACCACTTGATGAGATGACATACGGTAGTAAATGCGATGATTTATTATACGTACGTGTTAATGCAGCTTTGACCTTAAAAAAGATATAAATGAGTACATTAATAATAAATTATTTAAATGAGCTAACTATAACAGTCAGAAAGTTGATTTATGAAAGTTAAGAAATTAGTTTATCTAAATAATATAATAGAATAAACAGGTGATATGACAGTGAAATTCATTTGACTAAATACCATATATAGTCAAACATGTTCAATTACGAAACATTTAGTTAGGAAGTGTCATAGGGTTGGTATTCAATAAATCTTTGTGGTATTCTACAGATATGGACAGAGGAACAATACTAAGTTTGGTTGAAGCCGTAGCTACATGACAATTCAATTGCCTCTTCCTGTGTGTTGATGAATAATTTGTTCTCACCTTAAACTTACCCTGTTAATAGTGACTTATCGTATAAAGTGATGTAAGTCCCATTATTTTCTAGATTTCCTTTGCCTCATTTTACATGTAAAAATACCTTAAATAGGTTCCTACATAATAGAGGGAATATGGTCAGTAATGAAATCCAAGACAGGTATTTCATCTTATTCAGAACTAATCCGTGTACATACTTGCATCTCAGTGTAGACATTCACGCTAGTACTCGAAACTAGTACCTTTCCGTTTTACACATACCATCCATTATCCACTGAGCTACCGAGTTAAGATACCTCACAAGCTTATGAAACACGAATAGATTCTAATTGAAAATGAAATAGTTTGGATTATTATGTTGCTGATGTTTATGACTGAATTTTGATCAGTCATAATTGTTAGAAATGTATTGTTCTGAAAAAACACATCTCATCATATTAACCACATTTAGCAAACAGACTGATTATTTCAAATTTATATACTGAAATTGATAATTTATTCATTAAATCCATCATATTGTTCTTGATAGAAAAAGATTTCAGAAGATAGAAACACTAAGAAAAACAAGTGGAGGTATTCTACTCAACTAAGACTGGGATTCATAAAGAATTATATCCTTATATATTGAATACCAGAAGTAACATGATTAATTAAACCATTGAAAAATAAAATAACAATGCGAGCAACAACAGTTTCATTTCTATTCACCAAATCAATACTGTCAAAACAAACTTTTAAAGTTTTGCATAAAGCGAGCAGATAAAAAAAGCATAAAAACTTAATTAAAGTAAACATTTACGTTGAATTTCAATTTATCTCATCCTTCAAGTAAAAAGTGTGGAGTAAAAACTCTACACAAACATTTGTTTCTATTAACGATTGATAGAACCCTAACACAATAATGAGTTAGTGAACTGTTGCGTATATACGATACATCAAAACCTATACAAGTGTGTGGTAAGTCTGCTCAATGAACAATCGATGCGATTTCTCATCCGCTGCTAGTAACCCCTAAGTTTAATTTTTCGCGGGAATTTAAACATAAGAGAAAAAGCACGATGTGCAGAAAGAACGCCTTACTTTAAGGTTAAGTTTATTGACAGGGAAACGATACTATTTGTAGATATACACGACCTTGGGTTTCTGGCAATTTATAAAAGGATACTAAATCTAGCTGCAGTTTAGTTAAATATCCAATTAGGACCGTGGCACGTAATTCTACATTTTCTAAATGTTTCCAAGAAGCTTCCATTCAACATTGATTGGATCAGTAGTACCTAGCGTTTCTGAGCCCCTAAAGACTTTGACGGAGGATATTTTTAAGGCCCTTCTAACAGCATTTTCATTAGCACATTGATGACTATTAAAATAAAGACAGCCCTATATAAGTTGATCATATTAATTTCTTCTGGGCTTAATGATGAAAAAAAATCAACGATTCAAAACAGGTGTATATGAACATTGCCAATTTTGAAGCTTGAGTAATCCCAAGTGAATGTCATATTTCATTTCGTATTAACTCTTAAAAACAAGGAAGTTTTATATGATTCATTTCTTTACCCTCATTAACCTACAATAAATATGGTATTTAGTCGGATAACTACAAATTATTACAGAAAACATCCGTTTGCCATAAATTACACTATAAGATTATTTATGAGATCTGATTATAACGTTTATGCCTTTTTTTAACCAAGGCGGTGCTATAGAGAATTTAACCAAATAACAAATTATTAGATTCACAATTATTCAAGTTTAAAGTATTATTATTAAGTCAACACATAAACAAACAATAATATCCTGTCATCTCTTATATATACCAAAAACTACAGAGATTCAAGTTTAAAAAACCTTAAAAATTACTATAATATCCACAGACACCCTTCTGATATTAATCGACATATGCTCACTAGTGACTGTCTCTAAGACGCATTTCCTTGAGTTCTGGTGAAAAGCAGTGACTATAGGAGTTCAACCACGTCTGTTGTGAGATAGTAACTCACTGAAGACAATGGTGAATGTGTCACTCAATTTCACGGATTAGTTTAAGTTAGACACTAACACCGTTGGATGCCAGCTCAGTAGTCTAAAAGTTAAGTGTTCGCGCGAGAGACTGATAGGTCCCGAATTCGAATCTCGCGAGGCAGGATCGTGGATGCGCACTGTTGAGGAGCCCCAAAATAGAACGAGACTACCGTCCAGTTCTCCCAAGTTTTTCATGGTGGCCTAGCTCCAATCGACTCATGATCTCAACTACTGAAAAATTACCATAATATCAACAAAAACCACTTCTGAATTTAAAAGAAAACCTTAAACTTTCTTTTCACTGGTCGAATAGGAATTGGTAAACAATCTTATCAGTTTTTATCACCCTTTATTTATCAGCATTCTTTTTGTACCTTGTCCTTACTAGATATATATCATTTAAACTGATTATTTACACACAGCACTCGTTTATCATCTGATTTTTGATAACTATTATTTTAATGAGTTCATCTTTTGAAGTTCTAACCTATTTGCTACATCAATATATATGCTCATGTCATTGATTTTCTTATACATACTAGTATATACATGTCACCTTAGAATCACAATCCGTACGATTAACATTAAGATTTCTTAGGTATAATTGTTATATCCGGATAAGGAAGATTAATAGTAACCGCTAGGATCTATTTACGGATTATTATTATTATACATATTCTTATTGTATAACTTAAGTAACTATATTATATGTATATTCATATTCCATTTATGACGAGCTTTTGTTAGATCTATTGACTACTATTATACGAGTTACTATTCTTAAGATATTTCCAATTTATTAGTAGCAGTCTATCACAATTACAGCCACTTTTTGGTTTGATCTTGTATAATTGTTATTTTCTGTTTTATGATACGATGAGATCTGGTTTGTTTGTGCATAAACCCTTTGTGTCTGAAATATATGATCAGTATAACGGAGACTGATATTGGCGTTTTGTACTAAATTAGCTAGGTTAAACGAGGAGCTACTATCTTAGTGGATCAATAAGAACTCAGAATTCACGCTGGACTGCTCGTAATGGTTTATGCATTATTGGTCAGTAAATCGGTGTTCTAATTGGCGATCGTATCACGTGATACATTAACCTGGGCATAAGGACATAACAATAATCATATTGAATTAATACTATAAGCTCATAAATTATCTTGATTAGTGTAGTATTATATATATATATATATATATATATATATATATATATATATATATATATATATATAAACTTGGATTAATTTTAATTTGGTTATTTATTCTCTGAAGAAGTGACTTACACTAAGTCACGAAACGTCAGAAAATCTAATTTTTCTACTCATTGGGATATTACAAATATATTATTTATTTATAGAAACAAAACTGTTCACTTACACATGTACCATCTTCTAATTTATAAGACAGAAACTGATATGGTATTGATGTTAAAGCTATTTAAAAAAGGGTAACATCATGAAAAAAAGATTGTCGATATGTATGCTGATAACTTACTTTTGAATCAACACTAAGCATTCGATTTGGTCGATTCGGCCAAGTAGTTAATTCCATTATAGAATCAACATCTTCTCTTGTTATTTGATAATTAATTAGAAATTGAATAGCACTGTCAATATCACCTTAAACAGTTAAACAAATAGTTATTGAAATCAATACACAAGTATTTTCGTTAATAATAATAAGAAAACACATGATGATTTAAATGGGAAAATTTCGAAAACTATTACAAGTCTTATATAAAAGAAAATGTAAACAAAAAGATTAGATAAAATGCAAAATGAGGACAAAGATGATGTTAATCACTCAATGCAATGAGGTATCTTATTGTTTGGGGCACTCGATTCTCGATCACTTGTTCTCAGGTTCGAACCCCGATTCGCTTCAATTCGGGCTCACACTTAAGCGCCTGGTAAATAATTTGATGTTATTGGTTAACTTTTTACATTGTAAGCTCTCTTTTAGCTAATTTTATCAGTATTTTTATTAACTGAATTATCAGGTGTACAGATTCGTATACTTAGCCTAAAACCACATTTTAAGCATTAAAGCTAATGACACTGTCCATTTACTCAAACGAAAGTACGTGGATAGGGATTCGATCCTCAAACTTATTGGCTGAAAGCTAAAACCCTTAAAAACTGATTCATCGCTTCACCAACTAACCTATTATCTCCAAAGCTTGCGCCGATGACGCATAAAAGTTCGTTAATTATCAACAGGCTAATTAATTTTGTTTATATCTGATTGAGCTCTATAAAATGACAATATATTGTGTTTTTATAATTTAGTTTAAACAGTGACATGAGGTATTCGTTGAACTGAAAATTTGGGAAAGTACAAGTTTTGAGCAACCTATGAATCATGAGAAAAATATCAGCAATATTAGGTTTGTGAATTTATCGCTAGTTGTTTAGATGATACAACACAGATAGATGGGTTGAACTTCCACACAATTACTCAAACTCCTCAACTTTTGTTTGAAGATCTATCAAATAGAAAACTTTTCCCTGATGTACATTAGACAGTAAATCATAATAGCCTTCATAATTAATTTTAAAACCTTAACATTTTACTGAAATGTGTTCGCTTTTTTACAGCCTTTAGAAATACACAGCTTTTTAGTGCTATATATATATTTTCTAAAAAATTTAAATATCTCTCCAATTGTTTAGAAATGGAAGTTATTTCTTGGAAAATTACGCGCACTTATTATTTGACCGATTTCCTTTCCAAAACATTTCAAATACTAAAAAAATTGTAAGAATGTTACCTTCTTTAAGTGGACGAGTGATAAGTTCAGAGATTGGTGTAGCATAATCTAGCAATAATGTAAGCGGATTTGATGAACCACAATGAGTTGCTAATCGTAAATGTGCAGCTAATTCCGAAGTAGTCCGATTGATACGGCTTTGTGTACTGTTCTTACCAAACCAAGAAGGAAATGAAACACCACCTGGGCCACCAGGTAATGAGCCACGAAGAGTACGACCAGGTGAAACTGTACTGAACACACCTTGAATAGGTAATAAAGACCATGATCCCGTACGTGATGATCTGATAGTAGATGAAATGATATCTGCCGTGGCGATGTCAGACGCTGCTTGAGACATTAATTGCAAAATTTTTTTATCGTCACTAAAACAAAGTTAACCAATTACATACGAACGAACCGATGGACACTATTAATACAAATATAAACAGTACGAAGATGTGCGGGTCACAAACCATACCTTACTTTCTTACAATATATACAGCGAATGTAAATAATTTATAAAATAATATTTTACGTGTCTATTAGTTTAATGTAACTTACTACTTACAGTTGTTTTTGAACGATACTATAAATGTGAGGGCTAGTGATGCTACCTAGACGTCCAAACTGCTAAAGGCTACACTCATACATTTAAGACTGACGATACGCCTCAAAATAAGTGTCACAATTCAAATTGGTAGGATGTCACAACAGCTATCCAAGCTTTATAGTTCTTCGCTATCAGTGTATTTGTATCGATTAGAGCAGAATGTGGAACACTAATCTCCTTGAATAATTAAGAATGGTAATTTCTAAAATCGAGAAGCACCGAATAAACTGCTTGAATCTTAAAAATAATGTTTCACTGATGACTCTTCCGCTCAGAACTACAGAGAACACGGAGCCTCTGTCGATTTCAGTAAGAGAGACGAAACGCTGAGGTATCAAAAAAAACCAGTTGAATTATGGTTAGATAAACTGGGTTTTTTTGCTTACAATTACTATTGCAGTAGTTACAAGAACTTGATTCGTAACAGATAACTGATTGAACCTAATATTATAATATTCAATGGGATGGATAGTGTTAAAATTGTTTAAAGTGAAGACTTATTGATTATTTCGTGTCAGTTAATTATATTCTTGTCTACTCACTCGTTAACTAACGAATAACTAATTTGGTTGAATATCCATCTACATAACGGTATTATTTCACAAAATCGAAAATATGCATATACTGATGGAACAACTTCCTCGGTGATATCAAAACTAACAGAAAAAAAGAACCAGGAAACAAAATCTCGTTCATGAATGTTTTGACAGGGAAAACACAGGAACATTAGAAATGTTAGTGTAGAAGTGTCCGAGTATGAAAAACTAAAACAGTAACGGTACAATAGTTGTGAACAGACACCATGTATGAAAATCCAAACAGCAATCACGATTCGAAAAATTGAAAGAACTCATCTGTTGTCTGCTTTCAGTAAGAATAACTCTCCTGGCACTTTTATCAAAGTGTTTGGTGAATAGACGTACCACCAAAACGTCAACCCTGGAAACCAAGAAATAAATTATACAGTCGTTGGGGGAGTCCCCAAAGTATCCCTCATCAAAATTTTTAGGGGCTTAGAAACGCCAAGAAATATTGATTCAGCCAGGGTTGGATGGAGGTTTCTCGAAAACATCTGGAAAATGCAGAATTACGTGCCACGGTTATAACAGGATATGTAACTATATTGCAACTAGATTTAGTATGAATCCAGAAATTGCCAGAAACCCAGGGTCGTGTGTAACTCCCTAAATACGCTCGATTTTTCTGTACAAAAACTAGCCTTGGAGTAAAGCTTTGACTCGCATTTCACGCTGTCTCTTTAGTACTCCAGTTGATGTGTAAAAGTAGTTGAGGTTGTAGGACCCGTTTGGAATACAATTGTCTTATCGATAGCAAAACTTATCATCCATGGCGTGTGAGAAATATCTCAGAAACTACTACAATGATCGCGGAACCCTTTAGAATCGATTTCACCAACGGACCAACGCTAAAACTCAATGACTTATTATGCAGCCCTAAAGACAAGACAATCAAAGACAGATCCAATATCACCTACAAAATAAACTGCACAGGTGAAACATTAAATCAGGCAAAGTAAGGAGCTCCTTTATTTATGTATACATGGAAATAAATTGACAGCGAGGCAACATGAGATAGGATTGATATTAATCCACTTTAACACCTATGAAAATGAATCCGACCCAGAAAATGTCACAACTATGGATAATGGAAATTCTAGGAACGATAGAGAATTTCTATATGCAACACATTCAAATCAGTTGGCAATCAATAGATACGTAGGCATATGCCCCGTCTATCGACCATATGGAAGAAGCTAATTAAAAATATGAATGACAGTCAACTGAAGAAGACAATCAACAGGAATGAACAAACAAATGACAAGAGAGAAACCTATGAATATAATCATTTAAAAATTACAGCATCCGAATGAACTGACTTAGCCTTTGAGATATAAATGAAAAGCCCACTTCTGGATGAAGTAGACACTAATGATTTTTTTCTAAAACGACAATGAAACCTTTTCAATTAAATTATCTAGCTCAGATAACAAAATACTACGAAAAGCATCAACCTGAATTACAAAATATTCTTAATCATTTGAATGTAATCAGTTAATCGGTTAGCGATTCTCTTTATAAAACCTATTTCTTTGAGATATAGTTATTGGCATTGTTAGTTATTTATCAGCCCACATACAAATCGAATGGTTTATGTGGCGCATATTTATTTGGTGCCTTCTTATATCTATGTTTATGTGTTTAAATAAATAAACTTTTAAGACATATATGTATACAGTAACAATATTATTAACGATAGTAACAATAATACTTACTGGGTATTATGAACTCTAACATTAAGATAATTTTCTTCAACAAACAAAGGAATTAAATTGTAATCTTGAAAAAATAAATCTAAACTTTCATTGAATGTAGCAACACTGCCTTGAGAACCAGAAATATCCGGTGCAAAAACTTTACGAATCACATCAAATGCACTTAAGTGTAGATCTTTACGTGCACCTAATGCATCCGCTTTTAATCCTTCGGAATCAATTAAACCAGAACTACACCACATTTGAACATTATTAATTACCTAAAATTACAAAGTATACATGGTTGTTTTTTTAATTATCTATTGTTATCATTGTTGCTAAAAACAAAATACGTTTAGGATTAACACTGAAAGTAAAATTGTGATTAAAAAAGCTTGGGTTATCAGCAACACTCTTAATGTCCAATAAGTACGTTATATATAGCTTTTACGCACATTTTCCCATTGATTAAATGTATCAGTGCTTCACATTAGAGCTTAATTTCCACCAAATATTTCTGTTCAAGAGTTTGAAGTTATCTCTGACTATGCTGGAGATACTAGATCCCTAGAAATCACTTATTAAATGTTTCATTTTTGTGATTTTATTATGCGAATTTGGATTTACTATTTTCTCGCCGAAAGCATCCATTTTTACCTTAAGTTTGTAATTCGCACTCGGAAGTACCTTAAATACCATTGATTCGATTTCTCCTTCAGTACGCTATTTTGTGACATTTTCCAAGGATAGTCTTGTACTGTATATATACGCATGTTGTGTGCTTGTTTTGTTCGTGCTTCTGGCTGCTTTTGGAATATATATTTTTTTTTTCTATCGGTTAGATCTGGTCTTCTCCCTCTTGTTATCAGGGCTAAGGCGGAATGGAATAGCTTAGCTTATTCTATCGTTGTGTTGTTGACTTTTGTTCCGTTCGTTATTTCTTCAAACGTAGCAATCTGCAATGAACACTTTTTTGTCGTGCAGCACAATAGGTCAGATGAAAAATAAAAACGTTGTTAAAGTTGGAATTTGAAATGAAATTTATAGGTCGAAATCGCATAGCAATATGTAGCACAAACTCGCTAATCGAGAGGAGAAATGAACGAAAGTGCTGTAGATACAACATACAGTTACCGAACATTGAAATGTTGCGGATAAACTTACTGAGTAAGCTATATATGCTTGTGTAAACAATGCTGTGACCAAAATTCTAATTTATAAGGGATTATTCCCAAAAATGTAGGTGAAATTTAATATAAACACTTTCAACACGCGATGAATTCAAGCTCATGACAAAGCTAGAAATATTCATTTACTGAATACTACAAAAATTGCATGCATTGAATAACTCGGACATAGTGAAGCACATCATAAAATTGTTCATACTTCAAACCCCATTTTACGTGTAAAGGTCGTTGGTGAAGTACTATTTAATTACCTGAATTGAAGTAGATGAAGCAGGTTTTTAACCTATGAACTAGTGTTTAGATGTCAAATGCTTTACCCAATAAACCATTAGCTCCTAATCTTAATACGGCTTCTTATCGACAACAAATTATGTACAGATTGTGTGGCGCATATATATTGGCGCTCTCTTGTACCAATATTTATGTGTTCAAATAAATAATAAATAAAATAAATGTTTAAGTTCATAACATAAAAAATTAGGCGATAATCCAAAAAAGGAAGAAATAGCTTAAAGGATTTCTAAACAAAATAACAACTTGGCAAAATGATAAAAGTTTCTTGTATATTTTACCTGTCTAATATCATGATTACTAGAATCGATAATATTTGTTAATACATCCGGAGGCAAATTCACATTTTCTTTGCAAGCAATAGACAATACTGCTGACTTTATTTGTTCAACTCGTGGACGATGAAATCTTAGATCGAGACAATAATTAGCCAGGGAGCGTATCTAATTAAAATAACAGAATGTAAGAGTAAACATAAAAATAATACTAACTGCTATTATTTAATGAGCTTGTCTGGAAAATTTCCTTAAAATTATAACTGTTAATTCACCTTACTTAACTTACCCCAATTCCTATCATCAGATAATCTGGTGTAATAGTTATACTACTTAATAATATTCAGTAGTTAATTCCACTTTTATTCATTTTGGGTATATATAAATATCGTGTTCTCCATAACTTCTCAGTACTTACATGAATTTGTAACATTCAGCGAACTCAACCATAGACGTGACTTATAAACACTTTGGACTGTTATTTTTAGTTTTTTGGAATCACTGAATCTTTTTTAAGTGTAACAGTCTTCAAATTTCGAGTGCCCAGTTGCCCTTTCGATTACTGTTGTCGTTGTTGAATTTAGACACAGTTAATAACAGTGATTTATGCTATCATATGTCGTTAATATACTTTCGGTAATTATTTCAAGAACCATTTACCATTTTATCTACATCGATCAATCAAACGCCCCAGAGGCTTGTAGCTTATTTGGATATATTTTTGCGAATAATCGGACCGCTTCTCAGACCAAAATCTTAGTTTCCGAATTCAGATTATTTGTGCATAATTCTATCATTTGGTCAGACGCTTAGATAGGCTTACCAATAATTTTAAATAACAAGAATTAAATTTAATAATAACTTAAGTCTAAATTTGAACGAATGATTAGTTTCACAACATATTTGGACACCGAGTAAATACATACATACGTAAATACATATTTGTAAAAATCTCAGTAATTGAAATTATAAGAGATAACTCTAGGTTTTCGCTCACCAGTCTAGTTAGAACATCTCCAAGGAAGAAATTAAAAATCAAAATTATAAAAAATAAATAGGCCGCACAAAACAGTCGTGTACAAAACGATTATCTAATCATGTTACGATATGGAGTTTGGAAGTTGTTGGTATGATATAGGTTTGAAATATGGTAAATGAGTTGTAACAGAGGGAATTAAGTGTGTGTGTGTGGGGGGGGAATCTGACTTGGAAAATAAAAATTTTAGAGCTTCGACAAAGAAATACCTTAATCAAGCAAAAACTTGTATATGCGCATTTTCAATCATGTAGTGTGCTAAAAACTTCAAAAATATGTTAAAGATACCTTCAGAGTTGAAAATGCTAGGAGGAAAGTCAAATGTGGAAATCTCCCCGAGATCATTTAAAGATACATGTTAACAATTGATACAATTTAAGTATTACTCCAGCTTTTGAACGAAATGAACAATAAGACAAAATACTCTAATATTATTATTGAAGCGCTAAATTTACAGTTGGATCGTGACCTTTTTTATAACTTTCTCAGCTGTTAGTAAACAATATTTGTTTACATATACATGTATAGAGCATGTCATTTTATTTCACAAATAAAAAATGAAAACAAAACAAATTACTGACTTTTATAGCCTGACGATCATTGCACATACAAATAATAGGTAATTGAGTAATTTTAATCATGTTAATAAGTTCTTGCATTCCTCCGCGATCTTCATTACCAGCCATACCATCTACTTCGTCCATAATTAAAACGTGACGACCAGAATTTAATGTTGATGCTATGGAAAAAAAATATTTAGTCCATACCATCAAATTACAAGTCATTGATCTCTGATGATAAAAAAGTACAAGTGTTTCATGTTTACTATAAGATCTGAAAGTCCTAAATTTAGATTGTTTTATTTACTTATTTATTTAAACACAGAAACAGGAGATAGTGGGGAGAGTTTGCTCTTCCTCTCGAAATGCTGTCATATGGCTACGCATATATAGCCACTACAAGGCAAGCTCTACTCACTGCGTTCTCGTCACAGGTGTGTTGTTTACGAAATTGAGCGGACGTAAAGCAAATGTTCAGCGCTGAAACCAGGTTGGTGGATACAGACCATTAACTTATAGGAGTTGAAGAACTGATTTTCGAACAAATGGTGAACATGGCTTTCAGGGCCCTGAGGAAACAAATCGTGTACGAACCCATTGTTGGTCACGGACTACCATGGTATTGCATCTCCTTGCGTTGCTCCACAGCCTTATGGGTCAGATCCTTAGTTCAAAGAATTCAGGTGTGACCCTCTATGAAAACCAACTGGGCACACGGACAGTACCACAACCTACACACAAACCAAGTGACTTGTGGGGCACATTTGTATTCAATGCCCATTTGTGCCAATATTTATGTGTTCAAATAAATCAATATAGGATGGGAATCCCATGGATCCAGAATTATCAAATCATCATTCGAAATAAAGGAGGGAATCACAACGAATGTCATTCATTGTTATGCACCCACTAGTGATAACAATGAAGACGATAAAGACCAGTTTTACTAGAGGCAGGAATGGGATGGACAACACCGGATATCAAGATATCATGAGATGGTATGAACTGACTGGGAGAAAAGAACGAGAATGGTGAGAGATTTGCAAACTTATGTGCATTCAGCAAAAACGGTTATATATGGCACAATATTACAACACAAACACATACACAAAGCTACATGTGCCTCAAAGATCTCACTACAGAGAATCAGATCGATCATATTTACACCACTGAAAAATTCGCAAGGTCAATGGAAGACGTGAAAATCAGGAGAGGAGCTGACATAGCTAACTTCAGATCACCACCAACTGGTGACTGTCAAAATGAAACTGAATGTGAAAAAACACTAGACAACTGAAAAACAGCATTACAAAGGTTCAACACAGCCTTCCTTCAACATACTGACAAACTCAACGATTTTAAGATAACTCTCAATAACAGATCCCAAGCCTTACAAGATTTACTGAAAGAAGAAAACACTACTATGTAGGACAAATGGAAAGGAATCAAAGAAGCACTAATTTCAATGCGTCAGGAGATGCTGGGACGCAAGAATTATCATCACAAGGAATGGATCCCTATCGAATTACTTGACTAGATTCAGTAAAGGAAGAACAAGAAGACAGCAATCAACAACAGTCGAACAAGAACAGAGAGAGTTGATGCACAGGTTGAATACACAAATGCAAACAAGCAAGTGAAGAGAAGCATTTGAACTGACAAGCAGAAAAACGTGGAAGACTTAACAACGACTGCGGAAAAATCTGTAAGAGAAGGAAATGTGAAACAACCATATGACACAACAAATAAACTGTCTGAGAAATACAGGAAACCAGAGAGACCGATCAAGCATAAAAAATGCAAGACAATCACAGAGATTCAAGAACTGAGGAACAGATGGGTGGAATAATTCGAGGAACTCTTGAATAGACCTGGTCCATTAAATCCACCGGACATTGAAGTACCATCCACAGACATTCCTATACGTGTCACTCCACCAACGATCAAACAAGTCAGGATGACCATCAGATAAATCAAGAGTGTGAAAGCAGACAGACCTGATAATATATCATTCGAAGCACTAAAGTCAGACACAGAAATAACTGCAAACACGCTCCACGTTTTATTCGGGAAGATTTGGGAGAAAGAACAAGTGCCGACACACTGGAAATAAGGATACCTCATCAATATACCAAAGAAAGGAGATCTGAACAAATGTAGGAACTACAGAGGAATCATACCAATATCGGTAACAGTAAACGTTTTTAACAGAAGGTTGTTGAACTGAATGGAAGTATCAGTAGACACCCAACTCCGAGATCAACAGGCCAACAGGATTCTGTTACGATCAGTCGTGCACAAACCAAACTGCGTCACTATGGATCATTGTTGAACAATCAATAGGATGGAACCCATCAGTACACATCAACTCCCTTGACTATGAGAAAGTATTTGACAGAGTGGAAAGGAGAACCTCATGGAAACGTTTTCGACACTATGGTGTGAAAATCGTCAACATCATCCAGAGTTAATACGATGAACTAAACTACAAAGTCATGCATGGAGGACAGCTGACAGATGCATTTCAAGTGAGTACTGGAGTCAAACAAGTTTGCCTACTCTCCCCCTTACTCTTTCTTCTAGTGCTTGACTGGATCATGAAGACCTTCACATCTTGGGAAAGCACAGAATATAATGGACAGTTTGCATGCAACTAGACGATTCGGAATTTGCAGATGACCTGGCATTTCTATCCTATACACACGGACAAATGCAGATCGAGACAGCCAGTGTAGTAGCAGCATCAACAGCAGTAGGCCTCAACATAAACAAGGGGAAGAGCAAGGTCCTTAAATACAACACAGAGAACATCAACCCAATCATAATTGATGGAGAATCTGTGGAAGTGGTCGAAAATATCACGTATCTGGAAAGCACCATCGATGAACTAGGAGGATCGGATACAGAAGCAAAGGCAAGGATAAGTAGAGCAAGAGCAGGATTCCTATAATTGAAGGACATATGGGACTCAACGTGGGGTAATAGGCGCAAGTACTGTATACATAAACATTTAAGAATACTAAGATTTATATAAACTATCACCGCTAAATGCTGGTAAATGAAATAGGAGAAAATCATCATACACATACCTTGACCAAACGCCATATGTGACAAATTCCGTAAACCCAAAGACTGTCCTATTTCTTCACTTAAACACCGCTTGGATCGACAATCGGATGCATTAAATTCGCAATAAGTATAACCGAGTTCTTTGCATACTAAAATAGCGGTTGATGTTTTGCCAATCCCTGGAGGTCCCGAAAGAAGTGCTGCGCGCGCCCACTTCCCATCATCACTAGATGATGGGCCCCATGGAGGGGCACTTGAGTAAGCCTTCGCTTTTAAACCTGAAAAGTGACAAGCATACAAAATTTTAAAACTAAGGTCAAATATAAGAACAGTTGGTCCCCAGTTTTATCACGTCATAGAATAACATAACCGATATTTCATCGGAATAGCAGAAACAGATTATTTCATGGAATTTTCACAATGACAGATAACTAAAAAAAGGTTCTACTTAACGATACAAAAATGACTGCAATCTGCTTCACAAGTACACCAAACGAGTTTCAAATCATCAGACGATATGAATAGTACTAAAAGTCTATAAGCTTGAAATAAAACAGCTAATGAATCTAGTATGAAAATAAAAAGTTTTTAACGAGCAGCATATATGTCACTTGATATTTCGCGTTTCATGAACACAGAAAGATAAGGTTAGAGTCTGGAAAAAAAGATCTGCAGACCTAATGTTACAACTTTCGTTTTGCAACACCAGGTAACGTAAAATAACATTGAGAAATGATATTCATTACATGAATGATCGAATTACTTCTGTTTGAAGGAGAATTAATAACTATAAAGGTTATAAGATAACTGATACACCACAAACCTGCTGAAAAACTCGAGTGCCAGGAAGATAGCCAACTTAAAAGTCGATTGGCTGGACTTTGTGCACCGTTTTGACCAATCAGTGAGCGAATAGACGTTGGTTTATACTTATCAACCCATAATTCAGACAACTTCGAACTCATTTCCTTGGACAGGGAATCTTGCTTATCGATGACATTAGTAGGAGTTTTGGATAAACCACTGCTATGACTTCGATCAGTTTTATTACTGAATGTTGAATTATTAGTTAAAACAGGACGTGCAGTAAGAGGAAGTTCACTACGTGAGGACACAACAGATTTTTCTGCATATTTATTCGGAGATTCATGTTTATGAGATTTAGGAGCATTATCCGGTGATTTGGTAGATTGATTCTTTTTAGGGGATTTTTTAGGACTTTTTAAATTTTGTTTACTATCGTTTGCATCTGCAGGCTCCAATTTCTTGGAAGATTCTGAGCTGGATACATTCGATTTATGATTTACAAGAGGAATATTACTGGACTTTTCTATCATTTCAAAAAGATGTTCTTCGGTAATCTGCTTAATTTTCAAATTGTTAGCCTTCACGAATTTAAAAAAGAACATAGATGTGATTAGAAAAAAAAATTTCAAATCAAACACAGAAATGAATAATACTATGTGCTGTTTAACAGAAATAATTTTTCCCACTGAAATATTTCAAGTGTCGTATATGCTTTTACAAATAGTGTTCTCAACAATACCGAAGCCCAGAATCGAAAGAGTACAATAGCTCTACTTATGACTGGATAAAATGTCTTTCTAAGGAGTTATAACGAATGACCAAATGACATGTATAAGGTGATGACTACAGTAAAACAAACAAATAATAACATAATTAGAATAGACACAATATCAGTACTTCTTCAGGTCCTTCATTGTCTAAAATACAGAATTCAAAAGGAACTCATTTAAGTAAAGGTAATTGATTTATTTAGGTTACATCACTACTTTAGCATTCGATTTGTTTATAACTGGTGTACAATCATAGCTGAGCCAAAAAGTATAAATTAGTAATAATCAAATAAAACCACAAAATCCAACTGAATAATCATTTTGTGAATAGAATTACCATTAGTTGAATGATTGAGTACTTAAAAAAATACATCTATTAAGAATACAAAGATATTAATTAAATGCAACATATTCAACGAAAATAGTATGCATGTAAGTTCTTTATTAATTAACAAATAGAATGATCAAAGATAAGAACGAAAACCATTATGTTCATTGTCAATGACCCTTCCTTCTGATTCATTTTAACACAAACTACATTCTTTCCTTAATATTATTAGTTTTAATGTTATTATTTAGTAAGTAGGTACGGGTGATTTTTTCAAGATGGTTATAACCTATTATGTCAGAACTTAAAGTAATCATAAACTTTTAAGACGACTGTATCGTTCGAATTTATGACAATCAAGTATTTTTAAATACTAGACAACATCTCTTAGGCGAGTAAAATAAAAATTAATGAAGCCATTTGAACAGTTGAACTATGAGTTTTATGTTGATCATAATTGATAAACAAACTTTACTTTCTAAATACCAGATGCAATAAACATCGATGAATGATAATAATCATTTCAAATGTTAATTAATCTGTCAGTGAACACAATGCTAGACTAGGCTTTTATATGTAGTGGTTTGTAGATTAGTAGTATCCATGAATAACTGAAATTTAAGGGATATTGGATCTTTCTCCAATTTATCATGTATTATTAGCAATACTTATCAATAACCATCTGCTTAAACGCACAAAAACAACTGGCCAACACGAACAATAAATACTGTGAGACAAAATGGATTTAATTTATTTTGTATATATAAAATCTTTCATATCTGGATCAATTTTATAAATGCTTTATATGTAATATATTTGAATTGATTGAGTATATTGGTGAAGAAAAAACTACAATTATTTTCCCCGATTATATAAGCCCAATTTACACAGGAATAAGCGCGAGAGAGAGATCATCAGGAACAAGTATAGATTATTTATAACAAGTTAGAGAAAATAATAAAGTTAATACTAATTACAAAAATCAACAGTGGAGTGATACATGACATAATGAAGACAACTGTAATGATAATACTCAGAAGTGGTATGAAAATTTCAAAATTAAGTATTCATTGGATTTGATAAAGTGATGGCAAATTAATCAATCTTTTGAATGATGAATAGATCTTCCTGAATTACATATGATAATTAAACTAAGGACATAAGAAATCGATGCAGTGCTGGTTTCTAGATGACGACGTTTATTCGAGTTTGGGTCAGTTTATTTAAACGGAAATTCGATAAATACTTTTTTTTCCCAACGAGGTGACGAGTCATATCTTTTTGCACATCCCAACAGTCCATAAGATAAAAGACCCTATTTTGGAGCCGAGGAAAAGTTACGAACATATCCGAGTATTATGTTGACCTCGAAACTCGTAAATCCTTACACTAGCTTGTGATTATAATTTTCACGTAAGTTATTATTAAAAACTGAAAATTAATCTGCCGTAATGATTCACAAAAAGGACTCGCATTGCTTCGAATTCATTGTTTGAATGTCCTTGTTGTCTGTGATGAGTACTGCAGAAGTGTTTGAGTGTGATGAAAAAATTAATAAGATTAAAAAAAGGGTTTCAAACACGCTACTTTTCATCTCCATTGAAGTCACGTCTATAATTGCAAAAATCTTGGTGGGAATATAATAAAGGAAAAGATAGATAGACACAGAAGGCATAAACTATAATTTAGCATTTACTTTTACTTTAGAGTCTCAAAACCTCTCTTGAAACACAGAATTCCCAAGTCACCTGCAAGGCTACTAACAACCCCAAGCTCGGGAAAAGAGAGAGGGCTGGGTGTAAGGTGATAAGCCCCTTTTCGCAAAAAAGAATCAAGTTACAGAATCTGTAAACACAAAAAGTGAATTCAACTCTGTTCCAGGAAGAGTCTTTATGTATAAGACATGTGACAGCGCATGGTGAAAGCCGTCTTCGGAATCAAAGAGGTCGACAAGTCTTCGGACAACCAAGGAAACAATAAACATTGGGACGTGGAATATCTTTAAATAACCACATAAATGAGAAGATACAATTTGGTCCTGCTTGAAATAAGTGGAACCCCTCTTCTCATATGCATAGGGTATAGAAATCAGTAAGTATTATACTATTCAATCTTTCTCCAATGTTAAGATTTAACAAGCAGTTGACCTAATTACATATTCGTACCTCAATGTAGACTAACTAAACGGTATACTTGGGATATAAAATTTTACAGTTTAAAAGTACTATTATTTTCTACTTATAAGTAGCCGAGTTAAGATTATACTAAAATAGCTGGAACTAAGTAGCTTAGCTGATGAAAAAATAAAAAATTTAAGGTGGGAATGACCAAATATTAGTTTTTTACTCTTAATAAATAAACGATTATAATGGATTTAAAACCCACCTTCTCAATTTTGGCTGCACCAGGTTCACGTCCGACAACGAGATAATCAGTCTTTTTACCTAATGTTTTTAAAACTTTTCCACCACAATTCTGAATAAGATTTGCAGCGTCTTCTCGTTCAATACACTCTAGTATTCCAGTGATGAGAAAGTTTAGTCCCTTTAAACAATCCGGAGTTCCCTGGAACGGAAAGTGCATAACAATACATTTCGTTTCGCTAATGTCGTCTCATAGAGACATTTCTAGATCTTAGGAAATAGTATGACATTTTCATTATTGTATTTGACAAACTCAAACAAACCATCAAAGACTACGAAAAAACTGAAAGACATCTAATTTTAAAAAAGATTGCGTAAACTACCTGCCTGGTCATAAGAATCCCTAGCTTTCTGCGTAAATACCACCACTACCACATTTCATGTCCATACTGTATAAATCCATATACGATCACCTTTAGAGTGCAAAGCAACCACTAATTCCTGATGGCTTGGGGGTTAAAGCATGTAGCTTTCAGACAATAAGTCGTAAATCTAAACTACGATCCCGGTTACTTCTGTTTGGAAACCCAGACACTATTGACAGCTTTATACAAAGCTTGAGACGCACATCTAAGTACATAAATCTGTACTCAATTGATAAAATATATCACACTACAGAAAGTGTTCAGTTATAGCTTACGGATTATGCATGCGGACAGCTTTTAACATCTTAATGTGACATTCCTCAACAAGGTACGTAAACTGGAGTAGAAATGGAAAGCTTTGCTGTACAGGACAGTCAGATTTTCTTTCAACCGCTATATCGCTTAGGATTTGAAAATGCACTATGCTTTTTTCACCTAATACCTAATAATTGTGTTTAGTTCAAACCCATATAATATTAAGTGGATAACTTAAAAGATAGTTAAATTAAAATATGCTACAAATTCAGTGAAATCGAAATCTTTTGGTTACGGCTAGCAGGAGAGAAATCGTCAAAATTGAGTTGTTTTTTTTTTGCAGTGAACTCAAAATAACATGACTGATAAGTCTCAAAAATTCAACTATTCTTATGCCGTACATTTTGTTCTTGACTGTTTTCTTAGACTTTGTCTAGTAAATCTAGGGTACGTTTTATCATTATTTTCATTTGTTTGGTTTCCCTTCTTTAATTACTTCATCCAATGTTAGTAAAGGGTTTTCAGCTCATATTGATAACTTTATCGAGGTCTAAGTTGCTCGTCTAATTCGTCAAAGACTTCATCAGTCCAACTAATCATACTAACATGATTGTATAGTGTCATAACACTAGGACTTTTAAGGCATATATTACTATCCCATGGACCCAACAAAACCCACCTTATACTTTTGTGAACTGCTCCATTCATGTAAGGCTTGGCCTCTCAATGTCATCTGACCACTAGTGTACAGCACATTTATTTGCTAACTGATCCTAAGACAAATAATTAGTTACACCAGCTAAAAAAATTAATTAATTTTACCAATTAGTCACTGAAAATATAGTTGCCACATGAAAAATTCTACACCAATGACATTTGTTTGTGAGCTTAAATAAGCTGTGTCATATTTTAGACCGTTTACATCAAATTAAGAGGACTAACCTTTGGAATTTCTCTTGACCCAAGACTGCGAGGACCATCGCGAGCTTTGTAGGCCCAAAAATGCTTTCGATCTTTTACAGCAGTATCAGTGCTATCATTAAGAGATTCATTAGCCTATTTTACATCATTAAAAATCAAAAAACATTTGAATGGTAAGACGTTGTTAGCGTTTACACAATATAGGTATTTCACGAGTGACAGAAACTAAACATAGATTACATATACGGAAAAAAAGCTAAATGCCTGAAACGAATGGAAATTCATATGGGATATCTATCACAGGATTAATCTTAGCCCGTCAAACTGGTATGTGAACCGAAAAGACAATATTCCTTTTACATTTGTCTGTGACTACAGCACTTTGTGCCTAGTCATAGACATGCGAATGAATTTGATGAACTCGATAATAAAAAACAGCCTCGAATTTCCCACAATAACGTGCTTAATCACGCTTGGACCTAAATAGCCGACAATGGAGAGGTAAACGCTGACAGTGTTAATGCGTACCCTAATAAAACAGAATATATGTTATACTTCAAAATTCCCATGGTAGAGTATGATGAAAAAAGGAACAGCTGGATCTACGAACAATTTACTCAAAGCATATCCAGTGATAAACACCTACAACAAACACAACTACCTTATAAATATAGCTTTTCATTGACAAACACTATTATTCACTGACCAGAACAAGTTGAGATTGAGTGCCTTTAAATAATAAGAGACCACTTCACAAAAGGTAACATGCTAGAGTGAAGCGATTACTTGGAGGTCAAGGTGATCAGATTCCGACTAAGTTGGAACTACGCTCCACATAGTTCTGTCTGAGCACCCATGTAATCTGAGTGGCTCCAAAACGAAGCGTAGCTCACAGCCAAGTATACAAAACTATTCTTTGCAGATAAGACATATTTACGACAGCATGCTGAAGAGGGTCTGAGAAAGAAGTGGTGTTTGGATTCTTCTATGTAGTTATTGTTGTTTCAAATTTAATAATCGTGATAATTAACCTTATACCTTTTCCAGACAAGTAACTAGAACGAAACTTTTAAAGAAAATGCATACGAAGTTACTTGTTTCACAAGTAAAAAATAGAAAAGAGACTAGGGATGCTTCATAAAAACATTAAAATCAGTAACAAAAGTATGACTAACCATGGATGACGTTTGATTACTAGTTGTCTTCACACTCTCCGAGATAACATTGATTTGGGGTGAGCTTTTATAACTTTCTCTGATCCCCAAAGGTGTTTTCGGAGATAATATTGGTGTATCCGGGATGATCTCCATCGGTGAATGAGGTGGTGTGCTGACGACAGCAGAAGGCTTAAAACAGATGTTTTGACAAATGTAAGCAAACAAATAATTTAATAAAATTTATTGGACCATCCGAAATGAATGCTGTCATGGATTGAAGGTATATACATTATAATTGTGTCAAGCATTTTGAGTGACTAATTAGTAATAATAATAATAATAATAATAATAATAATAATAATAATAATAATAATAATAAAATAAATAAATAAATAAATAAGAAGAAGAATGTGAATAATTTGATTGTTAATCGAAGCATGACAAGTATTTTCCATAAATATCGACATTTCATCATATTTGTGTGTGGTACTGCCCGGACATTCAGACCGAAGCAGGTGGTTTTCTTAGGGGGTCACACCACGAGCCTTTGACCTAAAGGTCTGACCCGCAAGGCAGTAGAGCATCGTCAGGAGATGCAGTCCCATGGTAGCCGGTGACCAACGATTGGTTCATACGCCATTTGTTCCCGTAGGATAATGGAGTCCATGTGCACCATTGGTTTGGGATCCGGTTAAAGCGCCGGACATGCGCTTTCCGTCCTCTCAATTTCGTAAACAACACCCCAGCCACGAGAAAGCAGTGAATAGGAATTATATATATATATATATATATATATATATATATATATATATATATATATATATATATATATATATATATATAGTGCCCTCTTGTGCCAATATTTATTTGTTTAAATAGATAATTAAATATATAAATAGTGACTAGTTAGCCAGTCAGTTATAGTGACAGATGAAAAGATGCAAAAACAACAGAGCATGGAGTAAATATTTGTTATATAGAAACTTAGTGCCGAAAATATAGCTGAGAAAGGAAGCAAAAATGTAAAAACAATATGCAGAAAGATAATAACACGTTCATGATGTAATGCGCTTTTACAAATGTGGAGTGTTGTAAGCTGTTTTAAGTTACTAATGATAGGATACAATTACTTTGAAGACAAATGCCAGGAAGTAACCACGCAATAGGTACAGAAATATTTAGCAACCTTGAATAGTAGGAATCTCGCACTAGAAACAGTGTTGAAGCTAATATAAGCGATTCTCGAAATGGCACTGCAAAAGTTTAACCATTTACCCGTTTGAAGATACGGTAAGAATTAATGTTGAGGATTAAGACTAGGATTTAGGGTTAGGGGGCAGGGTAATAGAACATGGTTAGTATTTTGACCTGCTTTAATGCAACGAACTTATGAGCTCATACAGATGAAGAGTTTTTACGCAAGAGTTTAAGAGATGCAATCTGAAACCCAATTGGTTCATCCCACAGTTTAATAATACCAAACCAACTGGTTGATGATTATATCAACCCCTTGGGGCAAAAGCAAACTGCAGAAAATGGGCACAAGATATACAAATAAACTTTCATAAACATGTTTGGATAGACTGAATATTTTTACCATTACCTATTGAACGGCGATGAAGAATAATATCGTACAATTTCCCTAACAAACCTTTTTAGTAATGAGTTGATAAGGACCAAAGAATTCATATTATTCAAAAGGTTTACCTTGGTATTTGATTTTTTTCCAGATGATCCGAAGAATTCATCAACGGAAACTACATTCTTCTTAGGTTTCACAGACTGTGAGAAGTACGCTTCAATAGTATTTGCTTTCTTGCCACGGGAGATCTTGCATAACTCTTGCTGTCGTCGTAAAGCGTCGATTATTGACTGCTGGGAGTTATCACGGCAGGATATTTGATTATCTGAGGGCTTTATTAGAAAGTAATTTAATACCATCGACGTCTGTGCATTTCCTTTTCTTCTCGGAATATCGCTTCGTGCTCTGCTTTACTGTAGTCGTTTCCTTGGTCTTGATTTCATCATCTATTTTTGAATATGAACGGACTGAACATTACCTGAATCCGACTCACTGAAAACGACCCGTCGCTTCATTGACGTAACGTTCCGTACATAACAACCTCAATTGCATTTCCGATGTTAAATGAACCAAATCATAAACCATATTGTAAAATAATTAAAATCAGTCAAATAGTTGTGGAAGGAATCGAAGAAGCTTTCCCTTAACAGACTTCCGTGTCTAGTAGCAGGGGATCACGAACAACTCCAGGCAGGAACCTAGGTATGTTAACGATATAAGAGGAAAAAGAAATCGGTAAATCATAATATGATACTATCCTTAGACCTTAAGAATGGGTCAAGTTGCCTCTTGAAGGACTCCTGGGAAGTCACTTGGACTAGCTCGGCCGACAGCGAATTCCAGCATTTGACAACTCTTCAGGAGTAGATGTTGTATATACAGTTCGTTCTGTGGTTTTGTGTCTCGAGTTTCTGGGTATTACCCCATAGTTTTGTGTTGAATTTAAACTTGAGTATGTATTTAAGGGAATATCCGAAAGTGTTAAGGATGCTGGAAGCCAATAAAAGGTCACCTCTAAGACGCCTGTACTCTAATGGGTAAAGGTTTAGTGACTTGAGGCACTCTTCAAAAGACTTGAATTTGAGTCCCCGAACTGATTTCGTGACTCGCCGTTGGATACGCTCCAGAGTGTCCCTATCCTTCTGGAGTGAGGAAGGAAAGACTATGTTTCCGTACTCTAAGTAGGGAAGAATAAAACTGTTGAAGATTATACGGAAAGTTCATCTGTTAAACTAGCCAAAAATGCGCTTCAATGTTACCAGTGCTAGGTTTGCTCGAAAGACATTTTTGTCACAGTTAGCGTAAGACTTTAAATCGTAGGGCACCAGGACTCCTAAATCTTTTTCGATTCGGGATACTACTAGAGAGGAGTTTCTTAATTTGTAACTATAGTCTGCGACATGTCTCAGATGGACTACTTTACACTTTGAAGCGTTAAAAGTATGTCCGTTATCGACTGCCCAACTATGAAGTTGAGTCAGATCCTCCCGAAGTGCCTGTATATCGTCTTGTTTGCGTATCTCTCCTCAAAGTTGCATATCACCAGCAAAAATTAATGTTTGACAATACCTGTCGAGAAAGATAATTTGTATAAATCAAGAAATGAAGAGGTCCTAGTACTGAACCCTGGGAGACCCCACTAGGACATTCCATAGCCTGAGAAAAAGTGAAGTTGACCCTGATCTTAAAATGTCAATTTTTAGGTGCGAAATAAGCCAATCTATTAAAGGCGAGTTTATACGTAATCCTTTGAGCTTGTTGATAAGATATATAACTTTGACCCTATCGAAAGCTTTTCAGAAATCAGGGTAGATTATTTAACCGTACTTGCGATCGAGGATGCTTGCCCATCTATCCACCACGGTCAGCATTTTGGTTATGCAAGAATGACTCTCTATGAAACTGTGCTGTTGAGGTGGAAAGAAGTTTATTGATAATTAATAGTCGTGTATACCAGAGATTCCATAATTTTTGAAGGTTTAGAGAGGGAAGCCACCGGTCGTTAGCTCGAAGGTTCTCAGCGTCGACCTCATTTGAACTTTTGTGTGGTGTGAGCCAGCTTCCAATTTTCCTGTAGTTTGCTTCGGCTTAGCGAGTGTGAGAACATCACGCTAAGCGGCGTTGCCATGATTGAAGCTGCTTCCCTAAGTATACCAGAATGAACCATATCTGAACCAGGATGTGTCGTTTTTAGATGCTGCAGATTCCGGTACGTCAAGTCAGCACTCAGGTTCATTTCTGCAAGTCCTGTGCAGTTGTAGATGAAAGTTTCATCATTAAAGTTAGTCAAGGGTCGGTTGAAATGTCAGAGAGTACTATTCAGCCAGAAGATAAGCGGCGTCACCGTCGTTGTTGGTCGAGCCACTAGGATCTAGCAGTTGGGAAACTCCAGTTTTGGCTTGTCGAAGAGAGGTTGCACAACGAAATTAGCTTTTCGGACTGGAGACAAATTTATTCATAAACTTTGTCTGGTACTGAACCCTGCCTTCTCTTATAGCCTTTGTGCATATGTTCCTTATGTGTTTGTGTTACCTGCACGCTCCATTGTTGTTAGTTCGTTTGTATTCTGCGCAACAGTGCCTTTTGCGGCTTTGTAGGCGAAGAGTGCGGTTCTTGATGATTGTAGGTTACTTGTAGCTTTTGGGGACCGTTTGAGGAACTGAATGATTTGTAGCACATATGAACGTGTCCAGTAAGAAGTCCCAAAGAATATCCATATCGAGTTGAGGGTGAACATCCCAATCCACCTGTTATAGATAGTCCTGTAGAGCTGACACATTCAACGGTTTGAAATCCCAGCGTAAGTTGTTGGTGTGATATCTTAGCTCAGTTTTGATGACGAAACTGAAAGCTATAACGGCGTGATCGCTTTTTCTTAGGGGAGCCAGGATTGATAGGTTGTCAACTAGGAATTCTTCGTTTGTAAATACACAGTCTGAGCGCGATGGTGTCTGACTGTTTCTGCAACGAGTTGCCGACTTCAAATTTTCGTATAATCCCAAATCCTCAATGAGGTTGAAGAACCGAGCTTCAGGTAAGTTTTCACCTTCAATATAGGTATGTTCCGCAAAATTGACTCTAGGGAGATTGAAGTCCCCTAGAATCAGGGTATGAGTGAATCCGAGAAGCGTAGAGCGGGATAGTCCTTCCAGCATACGGCCGTCATACTCGATATCGGCAGTGGGCTTCCTATATATGACTCCGACTAGACACTTCGAAGTAGTAGACGCTCGATATAAGCTGGCTATTAGTCGAAAGAGATATGTAGCACGGCGTACTCGCTCGTGTTTTGGTATGAATTTGTGACCGAGCGCCTTCAGCTATGTGAACCCAATAAAACTATTGCGGTCAGCACCAAGTGTCGAAGACTTGCGAAACAAATTTTTTTGAGGATTTCTTAACCGTTCTGCTCATTTCCTCCGTAGAGGGTTTGTGATATCTCCAAGACGTGGCCAGTCCGAAGTTTAGACCCAACAATACTGTCACTGTTGAACGTTCTTCTGATAGCTTGTCATCTTAAGCATTGTCTGGTCATCTTTACGTACTATGAGAGGCCATGTGGTACAACATAGTATTGAAAAACTAATATAATAAACATTTCGATTCGTCACAATCATTGCCGGTTTTTCATCTTTTCCAGCAGTACTACCAAAGAAAAAAGGATATGCGGGGGCATGTGAAATCGCATTCATGCGTGTGTAAAGGCACAAGACGGGAGAAAAAGGGAAACAAGCTTATGCACACACGTTTTGTAAATGTGCAAAAAACCTGGAAAGATTTTCAGATAACGAATTGTTTTTGCAGTAAAAAACTATATATGGTCATAATTAAAAAGACGTTTTTATGACACAGTAATGCACAAAACCATGATAAAAAATTATATGATGTCTTACGTGCGGTAAGAGTTTCCTTGTGAATACGCGAATTTGAGGTGATCGATGTTGATGTGAATACGTTAGTTCTGTTCTTATCGATTTTGTATTATTTAGTTTTATACTCAGACACTTTGAAGAGTCCTTTGTATGCCGTTTTTAGTAGTTGTTTAACTGAGTCGCGACGTACAAAGACGTGTTTACTAAATCGTAGGGAAGGTCCAACGAAAACATCAGTTGACTGTGGTCGAGTGGAAGCAGGTTTGACATTGCGTGTGTAAGTCTGCTACTGTGAGAGTTTAGGTCCATATTCGTTGAAGAAAATGAAGGATCCACAAATTCTCCTGTTAGTTGTAGTGCGGTTACATAAACGAGCTGAGTTGCAGGGTATCCAACACCAGCCTTTATTGCATTGTGAGTGGAAGAAATTTGGTCCAATGCAAAACGTTTGCAGCTGAGAGCGAAGCTCTTAACTGTCTGTGAAATCGTTCTACCAACCTGTTTGCTTGTGAGTGGTAGGTGACCGTTCGGAATCGTGTGATTCCAAATAGTGTATTCAGACAACGAAAGAAATCAAGACTCGAACTGGTATGCGTGGTATGTAGTGATAGTTGAGTGACAGCAGAAGAATGCTGCCCATCGTTCGGCGAATACGTGAGTCACGGTCTAGGCAAGTTTGGAGGTGAAAGTATCTATTTGAATCTGGTAGGGGTCCCACCAAATTCAGATGAACATGGTCGAAACGTGCATCGTGAGTGCAGAATGAAACTAAGGGATATTTTTGATGTCTAATTATCTGTTGTTCACTCATTGTTGTAAGATCCCTCCGACTACCGTGTCGGGTGAGTCTACTTCGTCAATGATTAGTGCTTTTACATCCTGCTTTATGAAAATTGTTGCTCTGGCGATAAGTCCCTAACTGTGAAGAGTACGTTTTCCGAAATATCTTCCTAATTGATTCGTATTTCTACAAATTTGATCGGTTAAGGTTTCATAAGAGACTCTCAGTTCAATAAGAACCGTCGATGGAAACTTACCGGACCATTGAACGTAAATGGTCGCTTGATTGTAGTCGGTTCTGAATAATCCGGGATGACCACCGCTTTGTTTTTCAGAGGTTGGATACCTTGAGCATCAATAGTATGTCCAATAAAATCTAGAAAATCGGAGCCAATTTGAAATTTATAAATGTTTACAGTAATACCATGCTTTCGCAGTCCAGATGCTGGAGATGAGATTCTGTTTCTGGACTCGCAATCAAGCATCCATCAACATACGCATGTACGAAGTTGGAACACAATCAATGAATGTGTAGTGGCATTGGACCATAACCACACAATCCCCAAAGCTGAACACGAGACGACTCGGAAAATAGATATTCAATATTTAACGTGGAGAAATACCTAACGATGGAGAAGGCGGGAACAAGGAATTGAATTAATTGAAGTTGATCGAATGGCATGGCTCGGCCTTGTAGGCGTGGCCGTTGTTGAATGTTATGTTGCATCTCTTATTCGTATTAAATATATTGTTCTATCTCTAGCCTAAGCTTGTTCTACATCATGTATTGGTGATTGTTACGATACGATGAGTTTGTGTAGACTATGGTATGACTTCTACGCAAGATCTTATAGATTAGTCAGTTATATCATGACAAGTCTACATTTTTAGGATTAGG